CGTGAGAGTAAGTCTCCACACTCTACGCCGACGTTCTGTGTCAGAAAGCCGAATGGCAAGTGGCGTATCGTGCATGCTTTCAACAAGCTGAATGCCGCTACCATTCCGGCGCAGACGCCGATCCCTCGGAAGGATGTTCTTCAGAACAACATGACAGGCTGTACGGTGTATAGTGCGCTCGACTTGGTCGATGGATATTACCAATTGCTCATGAGGACGAGCGACATTCCTCTCACTGCGGTGAGTACTCCGAGCGGCATGCTCTGGGAGTGGTTGGTGATGCCCCAAGGGCTTTCGAACGCGCCAGCGACGTTTAATCGTCTTGTGACGCAGCTCTTCAGGCCCCATCGGGCGTACGCGCAAACGTACTTCGATGACATTTTTGTCCACAGTCGTGCGGAGCACAGAAAGACTGATGTGGAGAACCATGTGGAGCACCTGCGTGTGTGCTCGAATGCATGCGTCAAAACAAGTTGTACGCCAACATTGACAAATGCATCTTCGGAGCGGAAGAGATCCCGTTCTTAGGGTGCTTCATCGGGAAGCGTGGCCTGAGGGCCGACCCAGGTTAAGGTCAAGGCCATTGTTGACTGGCCGGTTCCCAAGAACCAGAAGAATCTTCGCAAGTGGCTTGGCTTGGCCAATTAATTGCACAAGTACAGCGAGAACTACGCTGAGATGGCTCGGCCACTCTCTAATCTCCTGAAGAAGGATGCGGAGTGGTGTTGGGACACCGAGCATCAAGATGCGTTCGCGTCCATTAAGGACAGTCTCCTGCATGCGCCCATTCTGGCTTGCCAGACCCCGCTCGTCCGTTTAGTGTCGTCTGTGACGCCTCGGACGTTGCCATCGGCTGTGTACTGCTGCAAGCAGACGCCGAGGAGAGCGTGGTAGCGTTCGAATCTCGCCAACTGAAGGCTGCGGAGAAGAACTACGCTGTCCATGACAAAGAGCTACTTGCGATGAAGTATGCGCTCGTCAAGTTCAGGGTGCACATGTTGGGCTCTCAGTCGTTCGTGATTTACACCGATCATGCGTCGTTACGCACTGCGACTCAGTCGCCTCACCTCTCGCAATGGATGGCCCGTTGGCTGTCCTTCTTCGCGGAGTGCAACTTCGAGGTGAAGTACAAGCCTGGTAGGCAGAATGTACTTGCGGACGCGCTGTCGCGCAGGCCAGATTATGAGCTGGCTCATGTTACGACCGTGACTTCGTCATTACCGGATCGGATCCGAACGGCTTATGCCAAGGACGATACTTGTGTCGCGTTGCTAAAGGCGCTGGGGAGCAAGGAGTTTCAAGCCTCGAACATGGAATTGTCAGTGCGGATGCGCGCGCGGCTACACCGTTATTCCCTCGATGGAGGCCTGTTGTTCTACAACACTGGCCCCGAGGATACGCCCCGCGTGGTCATCACTCATGATGAGGATCGGAAGTACCGCATCCTCTATGAGGTGCATGACACGCCGCTGGCCGGCCTTTTTGGCCGTGAGAAGACCTACAGCTCGGTGAGCACCCACTACTGGTGGCCGAAGCTGTACAAGTGGACGTGCACTCATGTGCGCACGTGCGAGACGTGTCAGCGCGTGGAGGCGTCACCTCATGCTGCAGCGCCGTTGGCGAGTTTGCGTGTCCCTTCGGGCTGTTGGCAATCCATGAGTATGAACTTTGTGTTTGGCCTGCCGGCGGAAGCGGCGGGCAACACTGGATTCGTGGTCTTCGTGGACAAGATGGCTCACATTTCGGCTGTGACGGATACCATTGATGGTAAAGGTACAGCAACGCTGTTCTTGGACCGAGTGTTTCGACAACACGGACTCCCTGAGTCGATTGTCTCGGACCGAGACCCCCGCATCACGGGCAACTTCTGGAGCGCGGTCTTTGCGGTGCTTGGCACCAAGCTGGACATCCGCAGACCGATGGTAAGACAGAGCGCATGAATCGCGTCGTCGAGGACGTGCTTCGCAGAATTTGCGCCGAGACGCCGAAGCGCTGGAGCGCCATGCTGCCACTCGTTGAGTTTGCGTTGAACTACGCCGTGCACGCCTCGACAGGCTACACGCCGTTCTACATGAACAGCTTGTCTCATCCCCGCGTCCCGCTGACGCCGCCACTTGGTGGCCTCGGGCTTGGTGGGGGAGGAGAAGCCGATTTTGCTGATCGGCTAGCCGATGTCAGCCCGGCTACTGTTCGTAAACAGGTTGACGCTTGCTTGTCGACGCGTTTGAGTGTCTTACGACATGTGCGTGCCACAATGGCTGAGAGCCAAGACAAGCAAAAGGAACATGCAGATACCAGGAGCAGAGGCAATGTTGAAAGTTATGAGGTTGGGGACCTGGTGTTGCTTAATGCTAAGAACCTACCTACACATGCAGTGTCAGCCGTCTTCAAGACGAAGTTGCGCCCGCGCTTCATCGGGCCTTTCAAGGTTGTGGCCAAGAAGGGCCTTGCGTACACTCTCAATCTTCCGAAGAAGGTGCGGACGCACCCCGTCTTCTACGTGGGCTTGCTGAAGCTGTACCAGGACCCGATGCAGGTGCGGATGGAGGCACCGAGGGTGACGAGGTCACAGGCGCGTAGGCCGCGGTCGTCGAGGACGCAGTCGCAGGCGTCGAGGACGCGCCCATCCACGTGGGCACCGCAGGCACAGGCGGAAGAATCGGCGCCGGAGGTGCCGCGGGCACAGCGAGAGCCACAGGCGCAGGAGGCGCAGCAGTCGGAGCCTGCATGCGGGCCAGGAGGTCGAGCTGACCCTGAAGCACAGCCTGCTGACGCTATAGTTCCCCGATCTTCCGGCCACGCTGCTCATCGCGATCGCGATAGTATCGCACCCAGTCCTCCAGGGCCCCAAGGCGGTCCCAGACACCTCGATCCATCGCGTCCGCTCGGCGAGCTCGTCGAGTTCGGTGGCAGTCCGGCCCAGACGCGCATCAACGTCATGGATATGATCCCGAAGGCGACCCGCCTGCTGCCGCGCCTCCAAGAGCTCACCTTGAGTCGCAAAGGGCCCTACAGCGGCCTCCACCGGCTCTGCTCAATGAGCATGGGAATCTACATTACCATGTGGAGCGCCTCCTGGTGAAGCGGAGGTGCCGGGGTCAAAACCAGTATCTGGTGAAATGGCGAGGGTACCCTCACTCCGAGAACTCATGGGAGTTTGAGGTGCCCCTCCGCCAAGACTGCCCAGACGTCGTGAACGCTTTTGATCAGCTTGATCACCGGCGCCCCGAGGGCTCAAGGCCGGCACGCCGGCCGTCCCGCGCTTCCCGCCAATAAGCTGGGGAGCTGCTGGGTCAGCCACATTGCTCCGAGGCTGACCCTGAGCCACAGCGCTCACTCCCTCGCGGGAAGGAGCGGCTGGAGTGCTCGAAGGAGCGAAGCGCGCAGCGCTAAACTGGGTCTGCGGCTGGGCGAGTGCCGAGAGGCTGCGCTTGGCTCGGACCTTCGCGAAATCGAAGCGGAGCTTGTGTTCAATGCGAACTTCCACTTCACTGAAGCTGGCTCGGAGAGCATCCATGGAGCTAAGCTTTCGGCTGTGCTCGGGCCAAGACTCGAACTGAGCTTCGTACTCAATTGAGTCTTCCCCCGGGCTAAGTACCACCGGGTACGTCCGCATGGCGGGCACGGGCTTGCAGCCGCAGCCTTTCGCGATACACCGCGACAGTCGTAGACTGTGGAGTGAGGAATCGCTCTCGCAGAGACGTACGCAGTGCGAGCTCCTCCGGAGTACGGGCCGCAGGCCCAATGGCGTGCGGCGCGAGAGACAGCTGGAACGCCTGGCGACAAGCCTCCGCGGGGTCGCGAGGCCGGAAGTCGTAGTCGCCAGTGCTGGGGTTCAGCAGAGGCCGCGGCTCGGGGCGCTGGGAGCGCATAGGAGCCATCTGCGCCGCAAGCTGTTCGGACTGAGCTTCGTCCATAGAGTTGGAGATGGCAGGGCCCAAGGGCGCGTCCTCACTACGAGGCGGCGAATACCGTGGCTCAGTGAGCGCGCGCAGCTCGTAGAGACCGGAGGAGCGTTCAGGGAACGGGTTCGGAGTTCGCAGCGGTGGCCGTGGCTCTTCCCTCGACGGCGCAGCGCGCTCTGCAGGTGGACGGCTCGGCGAGCGCACAGGAGACGTGCGCGCGGGGCGCACTTGGTCGCGACGGCTCGGAGAGCCAACTGGGGCCGGCGAGCCTTCTTCACGGCGTGTCGACGGCGTGGGCGAAGCGTCGCTGCGGCTCGGGGAGCGTTGCTTGGCTGGGGACGCATCTCCTCGGTTCGGAGAACCCAGCATGGACTCGTCCACCTCGCTCTCTTCACCAAAGAGTTCCCTAGGATCCATGATCTGGCGGGTTGATGCTCGAGGGGAGCTGGGGCTTGCGCTCTGCGAGCTGTGCTTCTGGCGGTGCGCCGCGAAGTACTCGGACACCGAGAGCCTGGAAGGCGTCGAGTGTAATGGGCCTACTTTGGCTGACTACTTTAGCTTACACGTGTGCGCGTGTATGTGAGGAAGCGTAGCTTAGTTTAAATTAGAGTTAATTATACTCGGGCCTCCGAGTATAGATTAATCTAAATAATCGATCCAAATAATGTTTTTGGGTTAAAATGTGAACTGCTATTTTTGTTTTATGTTTCTGACTTCCTCTAAATGTAATATTCTAAGATAGGAATCTGCCAACGGCTGGTTGGCAGAATTCCAATGCTATGCATGTCGCTCATTGGCTAAGAGATGCTGCTCTCAGCCAATAGGAATCATAAGTCTCTATGGACCACCCGTCGTGGTGGTCGTAAATGTATGTAGCCTTTGGTGTATCTACACCAAGGTCGAGGAAGTCTTTCGAACCTCTAACAGACGTCGTGTCTGTTAGAGTTACAAGTGACTGTAGCCACTTGTGCGTGTAACCCTGTTACACCATCCCCCCTCAAGGTTAGACGCGCCGAGTCACGGCACGTCAATCAGGAAATTGACCATTCGTCAATTCTTCATGTTGGGAGAAAGAAAACTCGAGCTCATTCCGCAATGAGCTCGCCGCAGAAGAAGACCGCCGCCGCAACAGAGGGTAACCTCTATGTTGCTCAGTACCATGAGCGCCAGCAGACAAAGCGCGATGCGCTCGCTGCAAAGGCCGCGTCGGGGACAACCCAGTCGGAGATTGTCCTCGAAGGTTCCGCTTTAGTCAACGACGCCGTTGACTACGAGAGTGATGACGTAGAGATGGAAGAGGGCGAGGCCTCTTCCAACAAGCGCAAGGAGTCTATCGACAGTGATAGTCTCGACCCGCATGCCGGGTCGAGACGCCCTCGTGAAGGAGACGATTCGGACGCTTCAAGCTCGAAGCGTTCGCGCGGCGAGAGCGAAACTCCGCTCTCCGCTGCTGGGGGCAATAAGCTCCCCGCGTGAGGTGGCGTCTTCAAATTCTCCGCGCGCTGCTCAGGCAGCGCGCGATCCGTGGATGCCGTCTGCGTCAGAGATCGCAGACCGTGTGGGCAACACCGTGCCTCCTAATGAAATACCGCTGTACGTATGCAGCGGGATCCACGATGATGCTGTGGCGGAGGAGCAGCACCTTGATCCGTTAACGAATCAAAGGCGCGATTACTATATCGGACTCTTTCACGAGCTCCGATACTTCTCCAGCAAGAAGACCTCTTCTCGCAGCAAAGTGCCTGAGTGGCAGGCACTTTGTCAAAGTTGGAATGCTTTTGTTGAGAACTTCAACAAGAAGCCGGCTGCTTACCGTGAGCGGGTTAAGCATGCCCGTGAGCGCTTCGAGACATTCTCGACGCGAGGGAGGCTGGAGCAGCTCCACAGATCCTCTGTGGACGCTGGTATTCCATACGCTGTGCCCGAAGGCCATCAGTTCACGATGTGTCTTCCGGGTGCGGTGCGCTTGAGCGACCGCGACCTAAACGGGTATACGACGATTCGTGTACCTGAGAGTCTCAAGGATCTCCGTGCCAAGTTCTTGGCACGCGAGGAACGCGACGATCGTGGGACCTCGGGCGCTGTAGGTGACCACAGCGCTCGCACTACCTTCGCGTCGGCAGTGCGTGGTGAGCTTCGTATGCCCACACCATTTCCGGAACGTCCTGCAGCAGGACGTCCCATGGCTCCCATGTATCTTGGTGGGGCGGAAACCCTCTCCAGCGAATACGATAACGAACCGGCTGCCGGTTCGTTTTCGGGATACTATGGTTCACAATACGCTCAACAATTCAGCGTGTTGGGCCGCAGGCGTCGCGGATCGGAGGCGGCGGTGGTGGGAACACGCCCCGGGTATGGTCAACCAGGGGTTGACCTTGGCCCGACGCTCGAGGAGCGGGTCGCTGCTGTGGAACAGCATCAGAGCCGGGAGTTCGCCGCTCTGATGCAGGAGGTGGCGATCCTGAGGGCTCAAGTCGCTCAGGCCTCGCAGACCGCGTCGGACATCTCTGTCGATGTGGGAGGTCGCGTCGCACGCTTGGCCCAGCGCGTTTACGCGCTGGAGCAGAGGTTCGCTCCCGCTGGGGCTTCCGCTTCGGGCCAGCCGAGCTAGGTGGCTCGTGCTGCAGGTATGGCTTCAGCCGCCCGACGTAAAAGGTCGGATGGAGGCGCATGCTAGATGGAATATCTAGCGTGTAGGCGTTGCCATGCCGTGCCAGCACCGTGAACGGCCCGATGAAGCGCGGAGCGAGCTTGCTCGCCCCGAAGTCGGAAACTGCATGTTTAGGCAGGTTTTGAGTTGCTAACAAAACCAATGAACCCTTCTTGAATTCATCAGTGTTGCCCCTACCAACATTGTCTGCGTTCAGCTTCTGTCGGTCGACAGAAGCTGCGATAGCGTTTTGGACAAACCGAATGACGGCTTGTCTGCGCTGCACGAAGTTGATTGCGTCCGAGCTGAACTCGTTCAGCTCGTTTCTAGCAGTTGGCCTGGCCGCTGCGTTTGTCTTCGCGGTGTCTGTGCCCTGCACAGACCCGTTCTTCTTCTTCTTCTTCTTGCTCTTGTCGACGTCTGTGCACTGTACAGACGCGTGCTTCTTCTTCTTGTTGCGCGTAGTCGCGGCTGACACTGTGCAAGTGTCAGCGGCATTCTGCGACTGCTGCGTTGCAGTCGTAGATCCTCCCCCACTTAAGGAAGGAGCCACCATCCCGAGTAGACTCGGGAGGCGTGGGTGCCTGATGGCATTCACGTAGAACGGTGTATGCCCGGTCGAGGCATGCACCGAGTTGTTGATGGCGAACTCTGCCATCGGCAGGCACTCGCTCCAGTGTTGGAACGAGTGCGCGTAGCTCTTAAGCACGTCTACGAGCACGCGGTTCACGCGCTCGGTCTGCCCGTCCGTCTGCAGATGATCCGCAGTCGACATCGAAAGTTGACTCCCAAGAACTGTAAACACTTCTTGTCAAAGGTGTGCAGTGAAGCGCGGGTCTCGATCCGACACAATGTCGATCTGCATGCCATGGTGTTTGAACACCATGTCAACGAACAGACGCGCCGTCTGCTTCGCAGTCACTTCAGCGGGTACCGCAGCAAGATGTACCATCTTGCTGAAGCGGTCAACAAAGACCACAACGCCCGTGTTCCCCTGGCTGTCCGGGGGAAGACCGAACACGAAGTCCAAAGACATGGACTGCCAACACTCCCGTGGAGTTGGTAGTGACTGCAAGGGAGCCTGCGCGAAAGGCGCAGGCTTCACACGTTGACAAACCTCGCAAGCACGGACGTACTTGCGCACCCATTTATACTGGTGGGCCCAGTAGAAGTCTTGCGTGAGAAGAAGGTATGTCTTCTCACGGCCCGGATGCCCCGCAGTCGGTGCATCGTGATACTCGTACATGATCTGGAGTCGCAGGTCATGGTCATTGGGCACGACAACGCGGTCCGCGTTGTCGTCGACTGCACTGTAGAGTAATAAGCCGTCGTGCACCCGGTAACGGTGTGCACGAGCACGAAGATGCTTCGGCAGCTTCTGACGAACTTTGTCAGAAGGCGCTGAGCCGTAGGCCAGCAAGAGCTTCGCGTCCGCGTCGTGCGCGTACGCGACCTTCACGTCGTCCAACAGTGACGACGTCGGGGTGCTCGATTGGATGGCGTCAATGGCATTGACGTCGGCATCAGTCGTGGTGTAGTCAGGTCGACGCGAGAGCGCGTCGGCCACCACATTGAGTCTTCCGGGTTTGTACTCAACCCGGAAGTTATACGCTGCGAAGAATGAGAGCCATCTCGCCATCCGTTGCGAGATGTGCGGCGACTTTACAGCCGTCCGCAACGACGCGTGGTCCGTATAGACCACGAACGGTTTGCTTCCGAGTAGATACACGCGGAACTCCGCGAGTGCGTACTTCATGGCAAGGAGTTCATTGTCATGTACCGGGTAGTTGCGCTCAGCTGGCTTCGGCTGACGCGATTGGTAGTAGACGACACGATCACGGCCCTCGTGATCGTGCTGCATCAACGCACATCCGATTGCGAAGTCGGATGCGTCACACACAACGTGGAATGGGCGATCTTGGTCGGCCACCGCCAAGGTTGGCGCCTCAGTCAAGCCCCGCTTGACTGCATCGAAGGCCTGCTGACACTCAGCAGCCCAAACCCACTCGGCGTCCTTCTTCAGGAGCTGTGACAGCGGGCGTATCATGCCCGCGTAGTCCTTCACGTACTTGCACAAGTACGTGGCCAAGCCAAGGAACTGCCGCAGTTCCTTGACGTTCGACGGAGTCGGCCACTCATTGATCGCTCTGACCTTATCAGGGTCAGGGCGGACACCGTTCTTCCCAACGAGACACCCGAGCACGGGTATCTCGCTCGCCCCGAAGATGCACTTCTTCAGGTTCGCATAGAGCTTGTGCTTGCGCATGAGCGTAAGCAGCTTCCGGAGATGCACCATGTGCATCTCAACATCGCTCATCCCGTCCGCAGCTCGGCTGCCGACGGACACATCGTCGAAGTAGCTCGGTGCGAAGTCGCGCACCGAGCGCAACAAGTGCGTCACGCACCTGTTGAAGGTCGCAGGGGCGTTCTTCAGACCCTGCGGCATCACTAGCCACTCCCAGAGCATGCCGCTCGGCGTGCTCACTGCCGTGAGAGGGATATCGCTCTCACGCATGAGGATCTGATAGAACCCATCGCGCAGATCAAGAGCACTGTAGATAGTGCTCCTGGCCATCGAATCGATGATAACATCTTTTCGAGGTATCGGCGTCTGCGCCGGTATCGTCGCATCGTTCAGCTTGTTATACGTATGAACGATGCGCCAGCCGCCCTGTGGCTTCTTGACACAGAACGTCGGAGCACTGTGCGGGGATTTCGATTCCCGCACTTGTCCAGCTTTGACTTTTGAAGAAGTCGTCGATCGCTTTGACCTGCTCTCGCGGCAGTGGCCACTGCCGCGTGACACAGTACTTCGTGCCCGGCACGAGATCAATCTCGTGCTGGATTCCCTTGTCCTGCGGAAGCTCCGCAGGAATCTCTTCCGGAAGTCGTCCGTGTACTCCCGTAAGATCTCGTAGTAGGGACTCGTTTTCAACGAGTCCCAGCTCTGCTCTTCAAAGCGCTCCTTCTTCGTCTTCGCACTGAAAGTGTCCTCGTTCTCAGTGGTGGTCTCCATGAAGAACTGTCTCAGTTCTTCATTCTCGCTCTTCGTTCTCTCGGCGTCCGAGAGAATGCATATTTGCTCGATGCGTCCATCGTGCAAGTCACGCGCGAAGCGCTTCCAGCTCATGACTGGAAGCGAAGTCAACTTCGACGCTTGCGTCGGAGGGTTAGCGAGAGTCATCTCCCTGTACCGGAACCCGGCACAGGTACGCGTCAAGACGTTCAACGTCTCAACGTCCGGCTTCTCAGCCTCCGTATGCCCGGCAGACATTCCTTGTAGCGTCTCGGTCCCAGGCCGAGACTTGCGCAGCGACCTTCGTATGCTCCGTCTTCTTGTTTTGCGGAGCCCGGCTCCGCTTGGTTCTTGACCTCGTCCAGGCCCAGCCGTGGACGGGTGTTCTTCTTTAGTACCGCCGGCGGGTTCATCCCGCGGGCGAGCGACTTCAAGCCCGGCTTGGTCGCCCGGCGCTTCGTCGTGCAGCCCGGCTGGACGACAGCATGCAAGTTTCCCCGGTGCGGGACGTTTGCAACCGTCCGCACCGCCTGCAGCGTCGGCTCCCGGAGCCGACACGCCAACTTCACCTTGACGCCTATTATTGGCGGAGCCCTTCGTTACAAAGGGTGCGTCGACTCCCGGAGTCGACGCGAAATTTCGTCCAAGCTATCGACTCCCGGAGTCGATGCGACTTCAATACCTCGACGCCAACCGTTGGCGGAGACCCCCATTACGGAAGATACGTCGGCTCCCCGAGCCGACGAATCAATTTCACCCAAGCCATCGACTCCCGGAGTCGACGGCGTTACATCACCTTGGCTCTTATTATTGGCTAGACCTGATCCAATCAGATTCGCGTCAGACTCCACGGCTAAGGCGTGTGACTCGTCTGCGTCATCCGTGCCCCTTGAGGCCGGAGACTCTTCCTGATTCGCTGAAAAGCGGGTGTCGACCTCCGAGGTCAACACATTTCCTTCATTAGCTGTCGGCGGCAACGCCGACGCTAGCTGCTCTTGCGCGCGTGGTCGCGCGCGCCCAGGGCGCTCCGGGGCAGCGGCATTAGGCGCTGTCTCGAGTGGGGAGTCGCGCGCACCTGTCGGTGCGTGCGTAGCGGCAACAGGGCCATCGCTAACTGCTCCACTGTCGCGACCGAAGCGCACGAGAGTGCGCTTCTCCCAATCGATGACCGGATCATGTCGTGCAAACCACGGCATGCCCAATACAATGTCAAACTTATCGTCCAGATCCAGGACGATAAAGGTCTTGGCAAACTCTTGTTCTGCATACGTGAAGCGCACGCGTACCATGCGTTTCTCGGTCTTCACGATGGCACCCGTTGCCAGTCGTACTTCCAACATACTTCGAGGTATCTTTAAATCCTCGAAGTCAAGCCTTGATAGACTTCGCAGTCGAACAAAGTTCTTCGACGCGCTAGAATCTACCAAAGCCCGGAGAGAGCCGCTTGCTTTCATCGAGTTCACATTCAGGATGACAAGGTCAGGCTTGTCATCTTGGTTCTTGCAGTGAGAATGAACCTCACTGGGGGCTGCAGTCCTCAGTGTCGCGTGTCCAAGGTCGACACGCGGAACTGCATTACCAGTAGGGCGCCCCGCGCCTACTGGCGTCCAGCGTTTTTTGTTTGGTTGCGACGGTGCCCGGCACCGCCGCGATAGCCACCCTGCTGGTGCACGGAGGCCGTGCACTCCCGAGCAAAGTGACCGATTCTACCGCATCGGTAGCATCGCACATTCTTTCCTTGCGACTGCTGGGGTCCAGTAGTTGCAGCACTCGAGAGGTCCATGGGTTCTGGGCCTCCCGTCCTCACTACCGGGCGTGGCTGTGGCCTCGGCACATGTGCATGCAGCTTAGCCTGCCGCAGGCTAAACTCCTCCTGCATTGCCAGAGTAATTGCAGCTTCGAGAGTACTCGGGTACTCACGGAAGAGATAGGTCTTCACAGGCCCATCTCTCAGCCCCTTCATGAACGTGACGACCTTGGTCGCCTCGTCGATCGGATTGGTCACGATGTTCGAGACCAAGTACCGTGCTCTCTGAGCGTAAGCATGGACATCATGCTTGTCCTGCTGCAGGTCGAGGAACTCCGCCCTCGACCGGAACTCGTTTTGCGGGGGCTCAAACGCTTGTCTGAGCTCCTCCTTGAAACCCTCGTACGCGCTAAAGCACGTAGGATCCGAGAGTCGGCGTCCATACGCCCAACTTCTTGCACGTCCGCCAAGATATGACATGGCGAACGCGACCTTCGACAACGGGTCGACGATGCGTCGAGCCGCAATGGCAGTGTCGAGTTCGACAAGCCAACGGAGGAGATGCTCGCCCTCTCTTCCAAAGTAATTGCTCACGCTGAGCTTCAGCGATTGCGCGCGCGGTGTCGTCCCCGACGACACCGTGGTAGACGAAGCAGCATCTCACTGCTCCCTCATGATGAATCCCAGAGCAACACCATGTTGCTCAGTCGGTGTTAGCGTACGCAGCATCGTAGCTACAGCCGCCTTACCAATGACTGTTGACAGTCGTTTGAGAGCTTCCCACTCTGGGTCCGACAGGTGGGGACAGTCAGCGCGTGCAACGTGAGTTGCAGGCGTAGTGGAGCTTTCCATGGACACCTCCTTATCCATGGGAAGGTTCTCAGCTCCGCGTTCGTGCGGTGACGTACGAACTCATGTAGTCGGTCGTTGGACGGACTACAAAGTGCTACCAGGTGTAATGGGCCTACTTTGGCTGACTACTTTAGCTTACACGTGTGCGCGTGTATGTGAGGAAGCGTAGCTTAGTTTAAATTAGAGTTAATTATACTCGGGCCTCCGAGTATAGATTAATCTAAATAATCGATCCAAATAATGTTTTTGGGTTAAAATGTGAACTGCTATTTTTGTTTTATGTTTCTGACTTCCTCTAAATGTAATATTCTAAGATAGGAATCTGCCAACGGCTGGTTGGCAGAATTCCAATGCTATGCATGTCGCTCATTGGCTAAGAGATGCTGCTCTCAGCCAATAGGAATCATAAGTCTCTATGGACCACCCGTCGTGGTGGTCGTAAATGTATGTAGCCTTTGGTGTATCTACACCAAGGTCGAGGAAGTCTTTCGAACCTCTAACAGACGTCGTGTCTGTTAGAGTTACAAGTGACTGTAGCCACTTGTGCGTGTAACCCTGTTACATCGAGGGTGTGCGCGCGGGCGCCGGCGTTCGCGTAGGTGCGGAGGCACGCAGTGCAGGAGCACGAGAGGAGCGAGGCTCCGAGGCGGATCTCGCGAGAGGCTGTCTGCGGTCGAAAGACCAAAAGGCTTTATGACTTGAAGTCATGTGAGGGCGCGTGGCGCCGAGAAGTTCTCAGAGACGTCCACGCGATGTGGATTGAAAGGAGGCTTGACGGAACAAGACCCGGCGGTTGACCGTTAAGCGTGAACACCCGTGTCCACGGTTTGGTGGGGGAGGGTGTAACGGGGTTACACGAGATTTACCCGAAGGGTTACGAAGTGGGTACACACTGTCTAACCTAAATAAGTAGGATAATCAGTACATGGCTTCAGAGCCACTGATTAACTAGGGTTCACTATGCTAGATAGTGAACCGGATGCATTTACATCGTAGGCGGCTTTGCCGCAATAAAGGGAAATACATTCAGGCTGAGATTCACACAGTTAAGAGTTAAGGGTTGACTCTTGGAGTCCGTAAGGTGTACGGTCTGGTATTAGAACGGGCTATCTTAAGCTGAGATCTGTGAGTCTATTAAGCTTCCTCTGACGCAAAGCTACAGCAGCCCCGCTGCAGATGTTCTGCACATCTGCACTTGTGATGATCTTCCTTGTCCGCGATAGGAACAAGCGGTACCCCTTCTGGGTTTCGCTGATCCCGATCACCACGGCCTTCTCAGCCCGGCGCTTCACCGACGCAGCCTTCTTGTGAGCGACATGGGTTGTGCAAGTCGAGTCAAACCGCAGAATATGAGCCACCTTCGAAGTCTTGCCGGCGATTACGTCGAGTGGGGCTCGGTTGTCAGCGTTGGCTCTGGTTGGGACTCGGTTGCGTATGTTCGACTCGTACTTGACCGAGTCGCCCCAGTACCGGCCCGGCAAGCCCGATGCCCACAGCATGGCGCGCCCTGAGCTCATCAGCGTCCTGTGTATGCGCTCCACCTTGCCGTTGGATGCGGAAGTGTCAGGGAGCGTCGACTGCATTCTTATGATGTGGCGCGTGCAGTAGGCCTCGAACTCCCGTCCTAAGAACTCGCCGCCTCCGTCGGACCTTATCAGCTTCACCGGAACGCCGTACTGCCGCTCGAACTCAGGTAGGAAGTCCATGAGCCGCTTCGGGGCCTCATCCTTGGTCTGGAGGAGGTACACTCGGTTGTAGCTCGAGCCGTAGTCGACGATAGTGAGCATGTGTTTGTTCCCGTTCCTGTCGGCGAGCAGGATGTCCGTCTTCAGGTCCACGCCGAGTACTGCGCCGATCTCATCCGTTGGCGCGGACTCCGAGGTATCAACGGTTGGCTGCTGGGATCTGGTCTGCTTTGCCTCTGCACACGAGAGACAGAATCGCAGCTACTTCGAGATGACATCCATGTCACTTGCGAGGCCCTTTGAGTACATCCGCGGAAGATCTTGGAAGTTGAGGTGGCCTAACCGCTCATGCCAGTGCTGGAGGATTGCCTTCGGGACCTGGGCGAACATTGCCACTGAGTCAGCGCTCGCGTCCACAGTTTCTCCGTTGAGTACCCATACCTTGCCCTGGCGTTCGGCAACAGCGATCACTTCACCACGCTGGTTCCTCAAGCTGCAGGTTGCTGTATCGAACAGCGTCGTGATCCCCCGCTCACCCATCTCCGTCACAGATAGCAAGTTGCGGTCTAGGTCGGGTACATGATGTACTTCGTGGAGAAGCGCGGGGCGGACGCCTTGAGGATTTCGCACCCGCAGGATGCAGCTCCCCTTGACGCTCTCATGGAGCAACCCGCCGTTGGCCACCTTGATGATCAGCTTGGACGGGGAAGTGCCGAACAGGTCAGCGCTGCTGGAGCACATGTAGTGCGATGCTCCGGAGTCGATCAGCCAACTTGACGCTGCTTGGGTAGGGGCGCCGTGCTCACTTGAAGCCATCCATAGCTCCGACGTCCCATCATCCTCGGATTCAGACCCCGGCGTCTTGCTCTGCTGCTGGGCCTGGCGGGCTGACGCCTGTTGTGTGTTCTTCTTCGGGTTCGTGCACTGCGCCTGCCTGTGACCCACTTCACCGCAGTTCCAGCAGGTGATTATCTTCTCGGATGCGTTCGCGTTTGCGCCGTTGCGCTGCTGACCTTGACGCTGATTGTTGTTCATCCGCTGTTGTTGCTGCTGCTAACTGCCCCCTTGCTGACTGCCTCCATGAGGGCTGCCTCCCTGCGTGTGGCCACCCTGCTTCTTGTTGTTACCGTGTCCTGGTTGACATCGCTGCTGCTGTGGACGGCCGGCACCGCCTCCACGTCCACCGACCTTGGCCTGACCGACGCGGCGTCCGTCCCCTTGAGAGCGAATCAGAAAATCGATCACCTTGTCGAGCTCCTGCATGTAGTTGGTGCTGATGTCGTCGATCATGCTGAGAAGGATTGACTTGAGCTCTGGGCACGCGTTGTTACAGACGGTCTCCAGAAGCAGCTGTGATCGGTCGCCGACCATCAGCCGCTCGATAAACTTGAGGTAGGTCACGCACTGCTTCCAGGTGTCGCCTGCGCGCTTGTGTGTGTCGAGGCGCTTGCCGAGCTCATACTGACTGAGGTTGCAGCCGAACTCCTTCTTCAGGTGCGCGACCAGCTCCTCGTAGCTGACGTCGCGGCCTCCAGTAAAGTCGTGGTAGCTCCTGCTCGCGTGTCCCTCCAGGAAAGTGCCGAGCACCGAGGCCTTAAGCTGTGTTGACCACGTTGGGCAGTTCAGGAGTCGTTTGGCAGTGGATGTCCTTGAGCTTGGGAGACTTCGTCACTGCGGCCGCCGCTGTCTCTTGCACAGGGACCAGCGGTTTCTCTTCATCACCAGATGGCAGGACTGGCCTGGGAGGTTTTGCAGGACTGGGGAGAAGATTCCGCTGTGTAGGCTGCGCGGCAGCGCAGGCTGACCCCGCGGTGTCCTTGGGTACGTTGTCAGCACTCGCAGCAGTCGAAGTCGGTAATGTCTGCTGCAAGTCGCCGTGTGGCCCATGTGTGGCAGCAGTTGCTTGTGCGCCACTGTGCGGCTCGTTGAGCGTGCTGGCCGCCATGTGCTTGTCGTCACCAGCGTCGCGTTGCTGTTCAGAGCCAGCATCTCCATGCTTGGCCTCTTCTTCCTCAGCCAGGGAGCGGCGCATCTCGTCAAGCCGACGTTCCCGAGCTTCCTCAAACGCGACCGCGACCTTGCCGTCACGGATCATCCGCTGCTGAATCTCGATGAGCTCCATGGCGTCATCTAGCAGAGCCTTCAGCACCGCGACCATGTCCTCGTCCGACAGACGCGTGCTGTGCGCTGATGGGCTTGATCTCGTGCCCATGTCAGGGGAGGTTGGTTCGCGGTCGCTCTCGAACGTCGCCCGTCGTGGCCGTCATTCAAGGGTGGTGTAGACGTAGAGGTGGCTCCGCAGTTCCCCGTGGACACGGCGGAGGGCCGCACGATGTGCCCGCTCTGCCTTCGCGGCAGGTGGCATGGCCTGGGGACTGTCCAAGTCCGTGAAGTCGAGCCATCCGGTCACCGACATCGACTCGGTCTTGTAATCGGCAGGCTGCGGTCCTTGGGCTCATAACCTGTAGCGACTTTCAGGAATGCGAGTCGAGTAGAAGGCCGCTAGGTGAGTTGGTGGAGAAATTGAAAGTGCCATTCATCGTTAGCTCTGTCGCTATGCCTTACGCTACAGCTCCTTGCTCACCTGTAGAGTACTCACCGGCCTCCTTCCATCGAACGACGTCACTACACGTCCGGAATCGACGCGATCGCTGCCTCTGCCACTGCGTCCTGCGCCAATCCGTGTAAGTCATATTGTCGAGCCGCGAGCTTCGATCGCTCGCCTTACCGCTACGTTGAAGCCACGTTGAAGCCACGTTGAAGTCAAGTGACGAGAGCTCATACGTCACCAAGTCGGCCACCACCGACATTCCATTGCCGTCCAATCTTCCTGTTTGGACGCACCCAACCACGTTCGGTGAAGCGGGCTGGCGTGTGCTTTGCCAACTGCAACAATCTCGACACAAATCCTTCTATCACCTTTTGCACAAAATTTAATATTGAGTCACCTTCCTGAAAATTTCCTAAGAAAAATGATGGCAGGCGCTGCAAATGAGGGGCGAAGCCCCTCATTTGCTACTTGCATGTGAACATAGTATGTAACCACTGTTTGGTACTGCTACCTGGTAGTGCATGTATTGACGGTGGTTGTTTTGGATTTGGCTTAGCTTTGTAGTGGCGCCAAAACACTCGACCACTCAGTACCCTAGCACAAGACTTGGCTACGTAGCCAAAGAAGACATCTATTAGTTTCTTCAAAGTGTTCCAGTATGGAAGATAGTGTTGGTCTTGAGTTGGTAAAATCGAGCTATTAATAACGTTAGCTACAACAGAGCAGACTTTTTGGAATTTAAAGTAGTCCTCCCAGCCTAACGCAACGCACCCTTGTTTTTGGCCGTCCAAGAACACGTTTACTTCTAGTGAGCAGATTTCGGCATCTTAGAATGGGAACTGGTGGGTGGAGGTGCAGTGATGCATCTGAGAATTTGGTCATATTTACGCTCAGCCCACGACAGTTGCACTGGACTAATAGCTTTAGCAATTTCCCGGGTCTTTTGTACCTAAAGCCACGCCTCCAATCCCGAACTACCGTTCGGCCAGGTTGCTTGCTGTCGTATAAGGATGTACCCTAGTCATTCAAGCACGATATTGTTGTTTCCATCCTCTTGTTCAGCTATGACGGACTGGTCGTCCAGCTCAAAGACTGCCTACGAGAAAATCGTAGTTGTGGGGATACGATGGCGATGACTTAACAAAGCAGTCTACCGCCTAGCTAATAGATCTTTTTGAGTGGCAACAAGGCGGCGTCACTTTCTTAATGATAAAACAAGTAACTTACGGTGTACTTGGATATGATTTGGTTTGCGACCTGGATCCAAAACCACTCTTCCCAGACTGTACCTCATGCTGGTCATTCCGCTGGGATAACTTCGATCATTTAAATTTGTTTTAGCAACAGCGGCGCGACGCACGCATTTTCCCAGCGCAAAACCGAGCACATGAGCTCAAACAGCCAATATCTCGACTGCAACTGGTTGTGGTCCAGAACGGAACCACCCGCTACGATTTCACAACCTGCGGGGTTGCCGAATTCGTCGTATAAGTGGTTAAAGCGCGTCCTGAAGGTTTTCATGGCACCGATAAGTATTATCAGCGCTGTGGATCAGAAAGCAGAGACTCTTAACCTTCACGTACCAATGAAGCGCATCGTAAAAGTATTCGTGAGGTTCCATTGCCTCTTGAATTTCAGGCACTGGAATAGTGCGGCTGCACATTGTAAATCCCGTTGGCGTACGGAGGCGGAAAATAATCTGGACCGAGCCAAACGATATGGGCATGCTTGGGATCTTGTGATCTCGCCGGACAATTATCAAGTTGTCGTTCAATACTTGAAGCACCTCGAAACGTGTGCGGACAGATCGGTCGAAGGACATTTCCGCCATCTTGGAGCCATTGGAGAAAATCTGCCAGGTTTTCTCGAGTAAACTCTCTACGCTTTCAAACGGAAATCGCTTGGTAAAGCAGAACTGGAGCACTTGGAGTTCGCGATCAACCTTCCGTTTGTCAGTCCACCCCATGAAGCTTGCCCCCGTTGTTTCAAAGTGATCAGCTGCACAAAACCTCTCAATTTCCTTGTAGGTCTCGCGAACAATAGCATAACACTCCTCGGGGGAATGCAGGCGGAACTTCACAGAGAAGGACGAACTCGGCGGTATGCCGCTATCCCACAGCGAGTTTTCGTCTTCTCTTTCTTCCGCCAAGCGTCTCAATCTCTCATGGAAATCTTCGTGGCTGCGAAGCACCTCTCGAAGCGCTGCCTGATCCTCTTCCAACGCGTGGGCCACCAGCGACAGCTCTGAGTATTTCTTCTGCAGATCTTCCATCGATACCGCTGCCAGCTCACCATTAGAGCTAGAGTCCCAGCACTGCGTCTGCTTCCTTTTGACGATTTCAGTGTACACATTTTCGAGCTGCTTGACCTCCTCTCTCATCCGCTTGAGCATCGCCTGCCTCCTCTGTCTCGACTTCTTCTCAATAGCGGAGCGTCTCGCTCGCTTGGCCTCCGCCGAGTCCTGAAAAGCTTCAGACGGTAGATCAATCAAGGAATTAACGGGGCTCATGCGGCCGATGTCGTCCTGGTTCCGCGGCGCCGAAGGCGGCGGCGTGGCCATCCTCAAACTCGTCGCCTCCGCGTCGCGGACCTTCTGCAGCAAGCGCTGCGGAGTCGCGGTAGTCTCTTCGAGCTTGACGACGGAAGGCTCGTCGTACTTGTCCAGCTCGGACAGATCTTCCAGCGCCTCCGAGAAGGCGCGCTCCGTCGTCGGGGACAGCGGCGGCAGCGCCGCGAGCTGCAGCTCATCCATGGCCTTGTCGTCGCCCTGCATATAATAGCACGGCACTCAGCTATACCAGCACTGACTTCTACGCTTACGAGGCAGTAATCGATCTGTCGATCTGGGGCTTGCGCACTTCTGACCTCAAGGCAGAGAGCAGTTATGGCGCAAGTTGCCTTTTCGTCAGAATGATGGTCAGTCGGACCATGTCCCGTATAACGAAGTGGGTCGTGAAGAAGTTTCTTGTAGAGAGGTGAGCCAAACGTATCAGATACATTGTATCCAACAGATCCGCAGGCGTAATGGACCGAGTGATCACCGCCGTGTCGGCGCCCACGACGCACGAAGGCGTGACATCCGCCGTGATTGCAGAGCTCGTGTCGCTCGGCCGCAGCTCCGTGGACCGCTGTCCGCACGCGGACGCGTTGGCGCGCGCTCTGGCCGTCGTCTCGCAGTGCTACAGCGTTCCGGTGCCGTCCAGCGCCGCGTCCGCCATCCAGAAGGCGCTGGCGGACGTCTCCGACCTGCTGCAGCGCCACCGCCTGTACGCAAATGACAGCAGCACTTCAGTGGTGTACAGGCCCGAGCAGCGTGCAGTGATCGACAGCGGCGTGCGCTTGTTGTGGGCGCATGTGACGACGTATCAACTGCACGCGGCGCTCGTGGACCTGGTGCGCACCATCGACTTCATGCCGCGCGCAGTGGCCTTCTGGAAGCAGTTGAAGAAGAGGACGGTGCGCGAGATCCTGCAGAGAGGGCCCATGCAGTGGCTCATGACGCGGGCGCAACGGATCACGGTCGGAGAGAGGATCCGCAGCTTGGAGGAGACGCTGGAGGCACATTTGGTACGACTGTGGACTGGAGTGCAGTGAGGAGGAGGATATAGAACTGATGAAGTGGGTGTTTATTGGCGTATGCATGTGTAGAGGAAGATTGGAATGCTGAAGGAGCTGACGACTAGGTGCTCGGGCACGTTCGAGGACTATGACCAGTTGGCGGAAAGGATGAAGGAGGGGATGACCCTGCTGGAGCTGGTTTACAGTACAAATGGGATCTGTCCGCCTCGAAAGGGACAAGGCGCGTTTAAGTCGCAGGATCCACTGATCTTCACGGCGTTCTACTTTGGTAGGGATGGAGAGCTATGGTTGGGTGTGCAATGCTTAGGGGAAGTGACTAACGAAATGGATGTCCTGCAGACGAAAACATCTTTGAGAAGGGCTGCAATGGCGTCATATCGAGTGAAGATGTGGTCAGCTCGTTGCGCCGAGTGGAGACGAACCTGTCGGTGTTCCGCACAGCACAGACGCAGTTCTCGCGGTGCTTCCAAGCGGCTCTTGCGCCTTGCCGCCCACCATCCAAGATCCGTCAGCGATGGCTTCAGGTTACCACCGTGGCGATCTGCCTCACTGCAGGAGGCTTCTGGGTCGTGAATAACCAGGATGAGTTCCGGGCGGGCATCGCTGCCATGCGTGCGGCACTGCAAGAGTTCTTGAATGAGCACATGGTGGAGCCACTCCAGGCCATCTTCGGAGAAGTGGTGCTGAACCAGAAGCCCGAGATCCAAGATGCTATGGCGTTGCTGGACACAAAACAGAGTCTGCGTCGTATGCTGTCCGACTTCGTCAAGGACACAAACCCCAACGTTTCGTCGGCTGAAATGAACCGCATCATGGATGAGATGGACATGTCCGTGGTGTCTCTTCAGTACGAGAAGCAATTGGCAAGTGCTGTAAGGAACTTGATGACGGGTGATATCGTCCGCATGCTGCTGATCCAGGTGCAGTTCATCAAGAAGGAGCTGATGGTGGCAATGGGTGCGATCGACGAGTTGATGCACGCGAACCAGCTGAACCTGCAGATACTGGCCACGATCCCAACGTTCCTGGTCTTCGGTGGCCTGTACAAGCTGGTCACGTCGGCCTTCCACATGATCTACAAGCGCATGAGCGACCGACTGTACTACGACTCGAGCGAGATTGCTGGGTTCCTGCGCAACAACCTGCGCGACATCGAACGGCTGCTCAACAAGCAGAACCGCGGATCAGGGGCGAGCGATGAGGCTGTGCTTGGTGTCCGCGAACTTGGGTTCCTCATTTTGTTGCTGCACCAGCTGCGTGATCTCTTCGAGGCGTACCGCGCGCTTTTCCAAGAGGAGGAACAGGAACGTTTCGAAGAGGACCTGGACGATCTCATCGGCGAGGGACTGCTGGTCTCGCAGCAGCTCGCGGTCATTCAACGCATGTATCACTCGCACCCGTTTCTATACAGCACCAAGCCGAACAAGTCGCGCTGGATTTTGGACTAAAAAGAGCAAAGCGTCTTCTGCGTATTGGCATCACATCAAACAAATCTAGCTGAGCTGGTAGTCCTGCGGCGAGTAGTACTCGGCGAGCAGACGGTAGATGTACGACGGCTGGTGGGCGCCCGTGTTAGTGATGAAAATCCTCACGCACTCAGGCGGCACGTAGTCGTATGCCGGGTTCAACACCTCCAGCTAAAATAACAGTCACAGTAGAAAAACACAATGTGTCAGCGTAAGAACAATTAGATACAAGAATCAGGCGCGTATGAACTCGTACATTGTCGACCGTGTCCTCATAGTTGTAGATGCTGGATGGAGCCATGAGCTCGCTCAGCACGTCCAGGTCGTGCGCGTACAGGGGCGAGAGCTTGATGAGACCAGCCACGCAGACCACAGGCACCGAGCACTTCTTGGCGGCCAGAGCAATGTTCTGCAGGCCGGACTGGGCGATAAGACCACCATTGGCGACCACCGCAGCGGCGGGGACCACCACCTTGTTCACACGCGCCATCAAAGCGAACACGGCGCTGTCCGGAATAACTGTAACGTGGATGCCGCTCTCCGCCAGAGCGTGAGCCGTGCGCTGGCCGTTCAGCGACGGCGCAGACTCGACCACGATCACCTTGAACTGACGCTTCTTGGCCGCCGTCTTCAGGAAAGCCTCCACCGACAGTGACATGCCGAACGTCAAGATCACCTCACTGCAAAAGTGCACCAGCGTCAGCATCAAAATAATACTTAGATCGAACCAAGCCGACTGCCACGTACTCCGAGTGAATGTACTCCATGGCCTGGTCGGCGATGTTCACGTGGAGGCTGTCGATCTCGTCCACGAGCTCCGCAATGCCCTCCATCACAGACTGGAACAACAGCGGCAGCAACAGAGTAAGTACTAGATAGTTCCAAGTCTTCATAGGTGCAGGACGCTGCACGCACCAGCTTGAGGTCGGCGATGGGGATGGACAGGTCCGTGTCCGTGCCGGGGGTCAGAATGGTGCCCAGCGAGCGCGATAGGTTGTTGTTGCGGCTGGACGGGGGCGCCGGCACCTGCGCAGCGGCGCCGCCGTCCGCCGACGACAGCTTGAGCGCGTTCGAGTGCTCCTCGCGGATGATGTACAGCACGCGGCGCACCACGTTGCCGATGGCCAGCTCGTGCGCGTGGGCCTTGGTCAGCATGTGGCCGAGCTGCCGGATCTTCTCGAGAATCTCCCCGGCCGTGGACCACTCCACCGTCTCCAGCTGCAGCACATTGGCGCTACGGGTTAGCATCGTATACTTATACGCGTCATTCGCCGCTCCTGTATACGCACCACTTTGCTCAGCACGCTGGTCGTCATCTTGGCCGTCTCGTACGAGCCCCGCAGTTGTCTGAGTACATGTATACATGCGCACACTTGTCAGTATTAAAGCGCGCAGGACTGCTACATCCACCACCGCAGCAGGAGGGACGGACCTGCGCTTGAGGCTCAGCAGCAGCTCGTCCACGAGGTCGCGCACGACCGGCCACTCGTCCAGCCACTCCTTGAGCTCCTTGGTGGGCGCCGCCATGGTCTTCCGCCGCTGCTAGCTTTCCCTTGTGGAGGCCACCAATGCCAAGAATGCGGAACAACGAATACTGGACGGTCTTCTATTCGGGTGCCTCTTTTCACTTGACCCCACTATGCCAAGCATAAGATAGGCTGCTGCCAAGCAGGCAACCATGGTGCTGGGGCTGCTGCTGCGCGACGAGGAGGAGCGGCGTCTGTCGTTCGACTTCGAGATGCTGCTGCCCGAGGACGGCGACGACCGCATGGACGGCGGCGAGCCGCGCAGCGGCGCCGTGGTGGGCGTGGGCGGCGCCACGTTCGGCAACCAGGGCGCCAAGAAGGACTTCAAGCGCGGCACGGTCGTGTGCCGCCACTGGCTGCGCGCGCTGTGCATGAAGGGCGACAACTGCGAGTTCCTGCACCAGTACGACATGTCCAAGATGCCCGAGTGCCGTTGGGGCATGGAGTGCCAGGTGCCCGAGTGCCCGTTCCGCCACGTGCCCGACGAGGAGCGCGTCGAGTGCGCCTTCTACAAGCAGGGCTTCTGCTCGCACGGCTCCAGCTGCCGCTACCGACACATCAAGCTCGCGCGCGAGGAGTGCCCCGAGACGGCGGACTTCGCGCTGCAGTCCAAGGTGGCGGACGAGGAGAACGTCAAGCGCAGGAAGGCGCAGCCCGTCAACGAGTTCTTCAAGATCGCCATCTGCAAGCACTGGGAGAAGATGGGCTCGTGCCCCTTTGGGGACGAGTGTCACTTCGCCCACGGCGAGACGGAGCTGCGGCCGTTCCCCAAGGGCGAGAAGGAGGAGAAGGAGACGCGTGGGGGTGGAAGACACGGCGGCCGGGATCACCATGGACCTGATGGGCCTGGTGGACCTGGGTTTAATGCGCCGCCAGAGCGACACAACCAGCCACCGCCGGGTCCACAGCTGCCTGACGACGGCAAGATGGCCAAGTACTTCTTGGTGCACTCGGCGAGCTACTTGAATCTGGCGCATTCCGTGCACCACGGACGCTGGGCCGTGCCCGCAGCGGTGCTGCAGCAGATCAAGATGGCGTCCGAGACGTCTGATGAGGTCTTTTTGTTCTTCGCGGTGGGGCCGAGTATGCATTACCAAGGTGTGGCGAAGTTGGCGAATGGTGCGATGGCGAATGTTGACACGTCGGCCGGAGAGGACCTGGCGGCTGGGGTTGTGCCCTACGAAGCGGACGGAAAGACGGAGTGGGCAGGCGCGTTCGGTGTCGAGTGGCTGCGCATCTGCGAGTGTCCGTGGGAACGCCTCGCGCAGTTTGAGAACAAGCATCTTGCTGTCCCTGAGTGGTACGAGATGGAGTACACTGTTTTACTTGTTGGGATGTGGATTATTGACATTATGCTTTGCTTGTTACTTGCAGCTCGAACGGACATGAGCTGGATGTGGAAACAGGCCACGCCCTCGTGCGCTTGCTGTATAACCAGCCTCAGATTCAGCTGCACTATCGGTCCGTGGAAGATGAACCGAAACTTGCAGGAGGTGCAGAGGAGCTAGCAACTCGGCGACGGGAAGCAGCGGAAAGTTTGCTCGGAGCCCCTGGCGCACCACCAGGATTCGAAGGACCAGTGCCGAGATGGAAACCGAGTGGACCCGGATTTGTGTTCACGTGCACGACTCAAATGATCGACGAGTGCTTCGGACGCATGCTATTTGGACTGGAGAAGGAACAGGAAGCGCTGGCCCAGCAACACGTGACTCCAGGCACACCGCTGTTCCTGCTGAACTTGTCGGACCAGCATATCCTTGGCGTCTTCGAAGCTGTATCTCCCGCAATTGTGAATATGATGCCAGGCGCATTTTGTCACGGACCCAACATGCCGTCGCCATTCCCGGTTCAAGCGCGATTTAACGTGGTGCTTCAAGCTCCGGCATTGCCTGCGTCGGATCCCCAGGTTAAGCAGGCGCTCGGTGACGACGGGATTGCTGTTGGTCCGCTTTCGATGCAAGTGACGCAGCAACTGGTCGATGTGTTTGCTGAGCGCGGCGGTGGTGGATTTCCTCCCAACGGACCGCCTGTGGGTCGCGGAGGACCCGAGCGCCCGTCCCGAGGAAAGCCTGGAGCAGGTGGACCTGGCGGTAGACCCCATGATGGGCCCAAAGACCCGAATGAGCCAGCGTTCCTGGAAAAGCTCGTTGTGGGGATTGAAAACGACAGTGATTTCGGTGTCACGCGTCGTATCATCGGCCCTGCTGGTTCGAACATGAAGCGCATTAGTGTTGAGGCCGGAGGAAATGCCAAGATTCGTGTGCGCGGGCGTGGCTCTGGGTCGAAGGAAGGAGGGCCTGAAGACGCCGATGAGCCGTTGATGATCTTAGTATCAGCAGAGAACGAGCGCAGCTTCCGCATTGCGTGCTCACTCACGAGTGAGCTGCTTGGTTCTATTCACCGCGACTACCAAATGTTCCAGCAGCGTGGCTTCCGCGGTGGCGGCGGAGGTTATGGCCGAGGTCGTGGCCATCACTAAGTGAGTTAGTGGGAGGAATTCAATAGCATGCAACAAAAGCAAAACAAAAAATAAACATAACTTTGCTCAAATCCTGGTTTATTTACTTGGAACGTCTCGTTGCCCCTACCGGTAGTGTGCCTAGCTCACAATACGCGCTTGGATGGCAGCACGTTCGAGATGGACTGGGCGTACGACATCAGACGCTTGACGGACGTCAGGTACTTGCGCTGGGACTCGTTGTTCATGACGTGTGCCTGCTTGTTCGAGTTAATCTTTTCACGGCCCGTACGCTCGTGGATACCCACCATGGTCACACCAATGGGCCACGCGGCGTTGCCGATGGCCAGCTTAATGTACGCGTCGTTGGCCATCACGAACTCGCCCTGGCGACAGAACTTGACGATGTCCACGAGGTTGGGCAGGATGTCGGGCGGCACCTGGCGCTGCTTGCACAGCTTGAACAGCGGCCGGATGTAGTCCTTGCACTGCTTCATGGTCTTGACGGCGATCTTGCCCTGCGCCGTGCGCTTCACGTGGTCCGGTCTGTCGGCCAGGTCCTTCTCCCAGCGCTGCAGCATGCCCTTGAAGAACCTGTAGACCATCTTGTCCGCGTCCTTCTCCTCTTCCTCTGCATCTTCTTCGCTCTGCTTCTTGCTGCGGCGTTGCCTGTCACCACCGTCGTCACCTTCTCCAGCAGCGCCAGAGGCCTCGAACTCCTCAGCGTCCTCCGCTGCGTCCATCTGCTCTCTCTGGTCGCCGCCGTCGCCACCCACGAAGCGGTTGCGGATGTCGTGGCCCGCGCCCAGCTCGTCCTCGTGCTTGGTGGCGGCGTCGATCTCCACGCGACGCAGCCGCGCCATGCGGTCCCTCATGCTCTCGCCGAAGAGCGTGATGGGCTGACCCAGCTCGCGCAGGCGGCGGCGCAGATCGGGCCACGACAGGACAGCCTCGGACTCCTCCTCCTCCTGCTTGCTCCTCTCTGTATGGTCTGCGTCTTGGCTACTCGTGTGGGCCGTGGTCGGGTCCTCATTGTCGTGGCTGCGCTCCAGTCTGCGCTTCTTGTTGGTGGATGGAGACTCCTGCCCCTGGCTCCGCTTCGCCTTGTTCTTCTTCTTCTGTTCTTCTTCTTCCTCCTCCAGCAGCGACTCGACCTCGGCACGACGCAGATACTTCTCCTTCTTGCCCTGCTTCTTCTCCTGCACCGCCGACACCTCCCGCTTCTTAGCGGCCATCACCCGCATCAACGTCTCCATCCTTGCCCTGCTCTTGACGATTAACGTGATTGTCCAAACTCGGGTAATAAAACACACTTTATGTAACTCACACAATGTTTATCATCGTGCATCCGCTTTTTTACAACGGATCTTGAACCGACGTTGAAGGCAGGCAAGCCGCTACAGCACCCGCGCTGGTCAGGATGATGATGTCTCTGCTGGAGAAGGAGGCGCGCGACCCCGTGGAGGTTCTGCGCGTGAAGCTCAAGGACTCGACGTCCACGTCGCTGCTCAACTCGCAGCTGGTACCGGGCCTAAATCCTAATTAATATCTAAAACACTTCAACATTTTCACCTAAAAAATAATTTAATGCTGCCTGCAGCTGCAAGAGATCAAGAGCGACTACGTGGCCAAGCAGGACAGCACCAGGGGTCAGCTGGACGGCTTCGTGCAGGCCCAAGTGGACGAGATCGAGCGCGCCAGCGCCTTGCTGGAGCTCGAGACGCCCGTGCGGCAGATCGTCAAGAACCTGGAGGACCTGGGGCACAACTGCCGCCGCATGAACGAGGAGCTCGGGGAGAAGAAGGCCTCGTCCTCGGGCGTCAGCATCGCGAGGCGCAACTTGAAGGAGCTGGAGCACCAGATGGTCTTCTACGAGGAGCTGCCGAGGAAGGTGCAGGGGCTGCACGACGCCCTCGACGGAGGGCTCATGGGCTTCGTGGACGTCTACGTGAAGTGGCAGGAGATCGACGACTGGAGACAGAAGATGCTGCACGAGGTGCGCTGCTGTAGCAGTAGGAAGTAACTATCCTGGTGTACTCAAACATTATTGTGTCGGTGGTGTATAGTTGAGTGTTGCTGCAGTTGAGAAGAGCGACGAGCTAGGCAACAGGTAAGTTTTGTATCGATTAACGTTGTGTGAGCTGTGAGTGCCGCGAAACTAAATTGATCCAATGTTGCTTCGTTCAGCAAGGCTCAAGCGCGAATTATGGCGTCGATGGGGTCCAGGCTGAGCGCCATCGAGAGCGTGCAGAACCGCATTTACGCCGAGGTCTGGGGCTGTCTGCACCACTGCGTGGAGATCGCTCAGTTCGGGAAGCAGAGGCTGCTGGATGCGTTTCAGGTGCTGAATCTCATGGAGGCGCGGCGACAGCGCTTCGCAGACTCAAAGAAGGAGGTGTACCTGGACAACCAGCTGAAGCCGGTTGCAGAGTTCAACACGGCCATTCGAGAGAGATGCAAGACGGAAGTCACGTCGTTTCTTGCAAAGCGCATCGAGGGGATATTCCGCACGGCCGAGAGTGAAGCAGAGGCTGAGAAGAAGGATTTGTTCACCCCAGTTCTCGAAGCGGCAACGCAATTGATGATGGATCTGGAGATCGTTCAGTCCGACGTGGCGCCGTGCTTCCCCAGTGAAATTGACGTTATCCACTTGTTCACGGTTACATACAACGCACAGCTCGAGTATGAAATAACAAAGCTGAGCGCAAGACCCGACGTTGGGATCGCTCAGCGCCTCCAGATCGTTCAGTGGATCGACTACTACAACTCGGAAATCATCAAGTACAAGCACTCGCGAGCTTCTATCGTCTTGGACAGAACGTCCCAGGAGCTCATGAAGGCCTATCTCGATGAAATCAAAGTCCAGATCCACACGTGGGTTACTAATATCTGGAAACGAGAGGAGGAGTGCATCGTTGGTCCACAGGGAGAGCTGCAGTCAACTCGTCCGAATGACATTGTGAATATTCTCAAGTCGCAGATTTCTATCGCCCAGGAATGGTTGAGTGGGCGGTTAGTGGGATGCGTTGTGGCGACGTGCTTGCAAGTCCTCATGGAGGAGTTGAAGATTCGCTACGATAGTATCGCTGGTAAACTTGAGACTGTGGACGCTGAGATGCTCTGCTCCTTCATCAACGACGCAGAGATTCTGCAGGTACGTTAGGTATATGTTCTTTGGTTTGGGAGAGAAGACTAGACTGGGCTTTATTTCCTATGCAGGCGAAATGTCCCGAATTGGTGGAGGAAATCTCGTTTGCTGAGACGGATTCGGAAGAGAAAGAAGCCTTCGATACGTTCATGGGGGACAGTTTGGACACCACGTCGACCGACATCGTTGCGTTTGCCACGAACGCCTGCGATCTAATCGTGAGCAAGATATTCCACGAAGTGGAGCAGGTAATATCCAAAGATTGCACAGATTTGGTCGTGGATGATACTCACGATTTGTGTTGGGGTTTGCAGGATACTACCAAGTTGTGGTTTTCAAAGAAGTGGGATGAAGGCGCTCCTGTTGTGGAGACGCTTCTGGTCACCCTCGATGATTACTACCCGGACCTGAAAAAGTGGATCTTTGGCTCTTTCTTCTTCTCCAAGGTCGTCCGGCAATACCTGAACCAGTGCGCGAAAGAATATTGCGCGCGCTTGCTTCAGCGTACGCATTCCTTCTCCAACCCGGCCAACACTGCTGCTACCGTTGACAATGACTTGCATGTAAGTTTACTATTTCTGCGCTCCAAGCTATGCCATGATTTACTTACACCGCTGCGACCTACAACGTGTAGAATTTTGTCCAGTTCTTCAACAAGTACAGTGCGGATTTACGACGAACAGGAATTCGCTCCGAAGAGGACATCAGAAGGGAGTTCACATGCATCCAGGTGATCAGCTGTACCCTGCGAGGTGAAGCACCGCCTGATTCAAACCAGCACGACACGGGCGATATCCTCCGCCATGTTGTCAAGCTGATAAAGACGACCTCAACTCAAGAATCGTCAAAGACAAAGGAGAAACCGGTCAAGGAAGGAAGCGTGAAGAAGAAGCGCTTCGGTGCCATCTCGAAGGGCAAGAAGAGCAAAACCAAGGGCGAGAAGGACAAGGCCGACCCCGCTAAGACCAGCGCTGCTGACGATGCGAAGGAGTCGACATCACGCGGAAGCTCTTTCACCCAGCAAGACGACGACGGGGACAGCTTCACTGTCCAGAAGCTCGACATGGTCGCATTTTTGGGCAGCTAAGCTAACTCAGAGGTTCGTGCACTAGTATGGCTTCGACTTGTCAGCTTCTGATCGAACTGTCGGCTTCCTCATAGCTTTTGCAGCCGCAACTCCAGCTGCAGATAGAGCTCTTTCTCGGTGAATAGATGGATACGCTTGCGCTTCGGATCCATTGGTTTCTGGTAGAGCTCCAGCACGACCGGCCCGTCCTTGATCTCATCCAGCTCTAGCAGCGCCCAGCAGCGGCAGCTCTTTTTGCGCTTCTTGGCCTTGTAGTGGAAGAATTCGAAGGTGATTGCACCTCCATCTAAATGAAACAAGCAACAAAGGGTGAGTAGTGAGTAGTTTGAGGGATAGGCGCAGGGACTTACGGTCCTCCATCTTCCTCAAATTCGTGGCGAGCTGAATGTTCGCGTTGAACGTCACGTGACGAGGCTCACTACAGGTCCCTGCTCCTGTTTCTCGGGTCTCCTCCATCGCCTTGCCACTGTAGTCTAACATACCCCAAAGCAGCCAGTGATATCAATACCTTTCAGTGTTCAATACATGCACCAACTAACTCACCGAAGACCGATACTGCCATAGTGGGGTTGACGTACACGCTGGCGTCTTTCAGCCCGATCTTGGTGATGCGGATGTCCAAGTACGTCGCACCGGGGGAGCGCATCACCGCCACTTGAGACGTCGCATCCACCAGCTCCGCCGCAGCGCCATCGTCGATTTCGTCGATCTCCTTTTTAACGGACTCACGAGTCTTGGACCTCATGGCTCGAGTGACGTCGAGCGGGAACACCTCGGGCTCATCCGACAATGCTCCTCGAAGAGCTGCAAGACAAACGATTAGATTGAATATACAGCAGCGTCAAGGTGAAGTGGCCTCTTCGTACCATCCAGGACGTCCTCCATGTCTTCCTTCGTTGGTTTCCGTTGGCCGTCGACAGAGCTTAGACACTTGGCACGCATCTCCAAAGCCACGACGACCTTCTCAATAACATCCTGCACGTATCCACCCAAGCATTTGTGTCAGTTCAACAGTAAAAGCTTTGTCTGGAGTACACTTGCCTTTTGCGGTGCTGCGAGGTGCTTGCAAACTGGAACCGCCTTCGTGATGCGACCCGCGAGTCTTGCATTGCACAGACCAAATGAGTGCAGGGTTTTACAAGAACAGCCACAGCTTCGTAACATACCGTTCGTAGGCTTCCACGGCCTCGACCACTTGCCCCCACGCATCCGTCTCCACGGCCTGCTGCAAACTCTTGCACCAGGCGGCGTGCAGCTTCACCACGTCCTCCATCTCGCCTTCTCGTCCGGGCGACGCTTTGCCAGTATCTTCAACAGTCACGCGAGCGAAAAACGCCGCTGCGTTACAGGGTCACGATTCTTTTATATTGCCATCCCATAACTTACATGCGAGTGCTATCTTACATGCAACATGTTCGTGTTGTGTGTTGTTTGATACCTGTTCATTCTCACGGTGATACGCGCTTGGCAATTTGGCCGTGCAGTCGCATCCAACGCGCGTGAAGCAATTGCTTGCGAAGGTCTTCCTCGGGAAGTACGTGCAGCAAGAAGTCCACCAAGTAGCTGGCCCCTTCGAGTCCGAACGCCACCTCCATGTACTGCATGAAGAACCTTGCGGTCGTGCGGCCCTTGCCGAACTGCCGAGCTTGTCGCTGGAAGAGGTAGAAAAGGTTGGGGTTGTGCTGGCAGTCGTCCCAGACGGCGTCCAGGATGGCCGAGTTGAGCGAGTCTGCCAGGTCGAAGTCAAACGCCAGCGCGAACGCGTCCGTGCCGTCCGCGAGCGTGCGCTCGATCTCCATCATGAAGCGCCGGTCCATCTCGTCCACGCCCTGCCACTTCCGTCGTCGCTGCTGCGTTGTCAGTAACTGCTCTTCCTCGCTGTCGGTGTCCAGCGTAGTTCCTGGTACGACACGCTCGCGCTCGGCCAGCAGGTAGAACCCGTTGACGCAGACGAGCGTGGGCAGAATATACCCGCACGCCAAGCTGATGCGGCCGCCCTTGCGAATGGACCGCAGGCCAGCAAGCGGCCGAATCTGCTGCTCCGAGCCTTCGTGGTCGTTCGTGATCAGCAGAATAGATAGATCCAACATGGTCGCCAGCAGCACCAGCTCCACCGCGCCCACGCGCAGCTGTCGTCGCGACTTGAACTCGTGCAACCGCTTCTTGAGATCCACCGCAGACGTGCGGAAGTGCCGCTCCAGCGAGTGGACGTGCAACAATCCGTAGTTGGCCAGCGTCTGGCGCAGCAGCTCCACGCCCACAGACAACTGCAAGTGGTCGTTGGCCAGCGCATCCGACGCCTCCCTGAACAACGCTCCGTCTTCCTTCCGCGCCTTGGACGCCCCGTTCGCCGGCGGGAATCCCGTAAGCGCGTCGTACAGCCGCTTGTCCAGATCGTTGTACTGTTGCAGCTTGTAGAGCACGCAATACAGCGCCGTGAGCGCACCCTCCGGGGGCGCGTACGCCTGCTTGAAGCCGCGCAGCCGCAACATCCTCATCATCTTGCTGTGCGTCACGCGGAAGGGCGAGACGCGACAGGCGCACTCGTACTTGGTGCACATGGCCAAGTTGCGCGCCTTGTCGTCCATGAGGTTGGCCTGCAGCTCGTCGAGCCGCACGTCCTCGCTGCTGCTGCGCGCCGCTGGCCTCGAGGGTCTCCGCTGTCGGATGGACTCGCCTCTGTCGCGTTGCATCTCCTCCTCAAACTCGACGCCCGCGAGCGCGCTGTACTCGCTGCTGTCCACCGTCCCCACCGTGCCGTTCATCCTGGCCTTGGCGTCGTCGTCCCTGTAGTCCAGACACAGCACGCAGCCCTCCAACTGGTTGGGCAGCGCCGTGATCTCTGCACTCGTGAGTCCCACGTCAAAGTTGCTGAAGCAGCGCAGCACCAGCGGCGCGCGCGGGTCCAGGAACCGCGTGAGCCTCAGGCTGGAGCAGCCCAGCAGCCGCTCCAGGTACTCGTTAAGCTCGGCGCAGCGCTTGGCCAGGAACTTGGCGCTGCGGTGGCGCCGCAGCCACGTGCGCCTCCTGTGCGGCGGCGGCGGCGCCAGCAGCTTCATGTCCTGCGGGAAGGCGTGGCGCAGCTGCGCGTCCAGGCCCTGGAACTCGTGGAAGGAGCGGAACACGCGCCACGACGCCTGCAGCTGCGTGCCGCCGTGCCGCACGCTGCGGAACACCACGCGCGTGGTCAGCAGGAACTCGGGCTGCGTCATGAGCGAGCTGTCGAACTGTGAGCCGTCCACGCGCACGCGCACCTGCAGCAGCGCCGTCACGTCACGCACGGCCAGACGCATATACTATGGAGATGGCTGTATGAGCTTGGCGCCGTCGTGGGCCACCTGCGCTCGACGCAACAAATTGGCGACTGGAGTCGGTCAGATGGCTCTCTAATCAGACAGAGGTCAGGGGATGGACCACCTTTCAAAACCGAACTGATTTCGTGAATCGGAGAGAAAAGGGTATAGGTTGTCACAAGTTCTATGCACATACAAGTGACATTAGTGTAGCCATGTAGGTAGTATGTGGTGCTGCAGGTGCGTCCTTTCAGGATGGCTCCAATAACGGCGCGGGGCCATCTCTGCCGTTACAAGCGGGTATCTGCTCGGAAAACTCGCCAAAGCCGCGCCCGGCACCGGTGCAAGGAGCGACGGCGCCAAACAAATCAACGAGGGGCACGTGGTTCAAAGGCGGCGGTGGCCACAGACTCGCGGCCCGCAATTGCCACCGTTTTGCACCCCGGGATCTGCTCGAAAAAGCGCATCGCTACATGGCGTTGCGCTGGAGAGAAAGAGATAGAGACTCGCTGCCCCCACGAACTTCCTCGGCCAGCTTTCGTCGCTGGCACCCACCGTCACGGCGCCATATGGTCCTCTTCACACGTCGCACATTGCCAAGGGATGACCAACATTACTGGCGCCGTCTACTGCACGCGGCAGCCGACTTCGCGGCGAGCGTCGCGTGCCAGCCGATCTCAGAGACCTCAATAGCGCTCGAAACCACTCGTTGCCAACGCAGCGCGCAAGGAGCTCCGATAACCACGCTGTCGCGTTGGGGCTGCTTGTAGCTCGAAGAAGAGAGGTCTCAGATGTCATTTTAGCATCTGACGGCGATGCGATGCGAGTTGCATGCTCAGCCTTCAAGTGCTTTGGTCAGTGAAGTGGTCGATGCTACAGAGAGTGAGCTGGTAGCATCGGGCACTCTATGCCTCGGAGAGAACAAGATGCCGCTAGAAGTTCGACTTCAACGGGGACGGGTATCTTACGAATGTTTAAGAAAAAATTACGAGTGTACCCAAATTCTACATTCTGGCGATGCAGTGGATGGGTAATTAAGTTTTTACGGGTGGGTTGGTAAAAATTCCATTTCAAGTGAAAACCCAATGGATGGTTGCCTACTTGCTACAGCGAGCGTAGCGAACACGGTTGTATTCACGATTGACGGAGCATCCATTCGAAGCTGCAGGCTTCTGGGAGCCTGCGGAGCATTTCGCTCCGCAGATCCTCCGCGACTTCGAGCTTCGGTATGTAGGGTCCATTTGGGACTACATGACGACGCTGGGCGCCGCCGCGTGCTCCGGCGTGAGTATCCCGAGCGCACTAGTGGACGTCTTCGAGGTAAACTATACGGCCTAATTGTTTTTCACATTATCACTGCTAACACGTACTATTGTGCAGCTCGTGCGTCGCCTTTTAGAGTGAGCTTCCACGAAGGTAAACAGCAATTCCTGCAGCCTTAAGCTTCAATACATTTTTTATACTAGCGGAGCATCACGGTCGCTGCGCTCATGTTGCTTTAGGGGTCGACCCCCAAAACTATGCTGACCACAGAGTTTTGGACGACGTCCCCACTTGAGGAATTTGAGTACAAAGCCGCTTGCAAATTCTAGCGCTTTATTTCCCCTTTCACGCTCCCCGATTTGCTGGCTATTTTGCAAACAACATAAGTACCATTCATACGCTGTTATTAACGGTAGACTGATACACCTGACCTGTGGTTCGAATGCCAGTACACTTGTATTTTTCTTACTTGGCCGGTTCCTACCTCAGGTCATGATCCGTAATGCTGCATTTTGATTGGCGCTTATAAATACATTTGGTCCCCTTCGAGTGATCCGCTGATCCTGGACTGGGATCATCAACCATTTTCGGATCACGGATCAGCAAACAGCAGAAAAGCAATGTATGAAGGTTTCTCGTGTCATCGTTTGCGTCGCTGCAGTCGTAGCTGCAAATGCGTACCGGCGGTACCGCAGGGCGGCTGTTGTCTCTCGCGAGCGTCTGGATTGGGTCTCGCACCGTGACAGGCTCGTCCAAGAGGGACACTTCCATCGCTACTATAGAATGGGAGTCAAAGCTTTCGAGGAGCTGGTGGAATCTTTGCGGCTGCAACTTCAGCGTGATGCAATGAAGTCACAAAATAGAACCGGTATTGGGCCAATAACACCTGAAAACAAGGTCCAAATCACGATTTCCTGGCTCGCTGGAGGTTCTTTTCATTCTATTCGGGCTCATGCAGGTGTCAGCAAGTCAGAGTTCTATGCTGTCGTTGTCGAAGTTATGAAGGCGATATGTGCTCACCCACGGTATCGAATTGCTGCGCCGGTACACGACAAAGTATCAATTAGACGAGCAGCTTCTGAGTTCGCTGACATCAGCAAGAATACTATTCTGACTGGCTGCGTTGGTTGCGTCGATGGATGGCTTTGCAGAATCAAGGCACCTAGTGCTAGTGAAGTTTCGGACGTCTCGGCGTTCTTTTCTGGGCATTATCTTTGCCACGGAATCAATGTGCAGGCTATGTGTGATGCAGCATGCCGATTTACGGGCTACTGTTTCAATTCTCCTGGGAAGGTTCCAGATAGTGTTGCATTCAGAAAGTGGCCTCTGAGCACGGCGATCTCAAATTTACCACTTGGCTATTACGTGATTGGGGATAACGCGTATCCACTCTCTCAGTCGATGCTAGTTCCTTTTACGAAACCAGAGATCAAGTCGAGTGACTACTCTGACTACAACTTCTACCTTTCTCAACTGCGAATCCGAATCGAAATGGCTTTCGGTCTGCTTGTGAATAAATGGCAAATTTTTAAGCGGCCCCTAGCTGTGGATTTCGTTAACGCTGGTCTAGTGATCAAAACATGCATGAAATTGCATAACTACTGCATTAACGAGCGGATTCAACAACCTGGAAGCGGAGGTTCTCGCAATGCCGCAGTGCGGGAATTTAACACGATGGAGGATTGTGACTACTTGACTACTGTATCGGGCGAGCTGACTGAACAAGATCCGCCTGTTGTTAACGGGCATATAATTTGCAAAGTTGTTTTGGAGCATATTCAGAGATATAATATGTATCGGCCTACAACTCGCATCTAGCTACCCATGATTTGGTCCTGGAGCTCGTCTGATTTGGCTTGAGCCACCTGTACTCGTCGTTGGGCCGCTTCTCGTTCTTGCAGAAGATCATCAATGTCGATGCCTTTTGTTTTGCTCTCGTGGATTTGGGCATTCAGAATTGCAAGCGCTTGACGACGACGGGCGAGAATTCCATCTACAGCGGCCAGTTTCTCCACAGCAACATCACGCTGCATTTTCTCGCGCTGAAGACGCGCAACAGCGGTATTTTGCTCCAGCAGCTCGCTCTTAACACCACTCGATTCATTTTCAACGAGCTTATTCACGGCGTTCGTTAGCACAACAACAGAATCAACACTGTCTTTGCTTTCATATGTCGGGGTTTGCGCTTCTGATTCTTTTGAGGAGTACGCTTATCTTCATGTAGCTCGTTCGATTCGTCGTCTTCATCTTCCTCATAGACACAGGTCGCACAAAATTCACGTCCCGACCCACGAGCCTCACACCACAGGTGCACGCACATGGCCACTCTGTCTCCTCCACAAAAATTCCAAAAGTCTTCGTGCGATCCGGACAACTTGCATTTTGCCTCGGCAGAGGCAAAACGGCGATTGCATTCCTTCCACATACCCTGTAGTTTTGCGCCAGTTGTGGTAGTAATTTGATGCGGCTCAATCCCCGCAAACAAAGAGCTTTCGGACACCAGTTGATCGTAGTCGTCGTTCGTAGTATTAAATGCTTCCGCTACTTCCTCCCAAAAGCGGCGACCACCTTCATCGAGCTCCTGTCTCGTGAACTTGTCGCCAGAAGTGATGAACCGCTCGAGATTCGTCGTAACCTCGTAGAATAGTTACTCGATCGGCCTTGTTCATGTTTTTTGCCACCGCAAGCTTCCGGGCCGTACACTCCAGTTTGAGTTGATCAACCATCCACGTCGTGTAGTCGTCCGAGGTTGGAGCGGGGACCGCACGTTTACTACCAGGCTTCTGCACCGCAGTCCACTTGCTGCTGACAACGACATCACCCCCCGCAGACGTCGCCATCTTCGCAAATGGCTCAAATGAATCTATCACATGCAACACTAGAGTGGCTTCGTGGGGCATAATCCCATGATCTCGTTAGGAACAGAAATAGATGATCCGTTTGTACACCCAACCCCTAAATAGGATCACGCTCCTATGTGATCCCGTTAGGAACCCGCCTTAGGTAAGTGTGTGAAAATACGAGCGAATTATTCCAGTAACCTTTCGCGATCCATGTTGAAATTCTTCCTCCAGATGCCATCTACACCCAGCCGCAATGGCCAATGTTGAGCGCAATAAGGAAACATATATAATGAACGATAACTAGCTCAAAATAATGTAGTTGAGCCTGATATCGTACCATCACACATGCATGTAGGGTATCAAAGCAGAGCTGCGACGCCCGAGATCGACCCAACAGAACTGTAATTGAGTGGGCTAATGCATTTGCTTAGTCGAACATCTTTTCATGAGCAACGCAATGAATGAATTAACGCAGACTGGAAAGGAGCAAATAATCGGCGCCTATAGCGTGCAGGAAGGACTTGGAGCTGTCTGATTTCTTCAAAGCGAAGTAGCAGGCGAGGTCGAACGGGCCAAAAGAGAGCCATTGTTGCTACGAAGAAGCACCGACACGGACTCGGGCTCGTACACTCCAGCTCATCGTCCAGCTCGTCATCCGCGCATAGCCTTCAATGTAATTTAGAGAAGTTGCTGCTCGACAGTACCCAGTCATCAGCATGCAAAGCTGCTTGCTACTTGGCGTAGCGTTGGCGCGTCATTGAGGCTCTGCTTGTTGTTGCTTCGACTCCCGAAGGGCCACGGACTTCTTGCCGCAGAGCGACCCTTCTTACGACAGCATAAGGTTTGAAAGGCAAATAGTCTTAATAAAGGGTCCTAAGCGGGTCCAAATAAGGGTAAAATGTCACGTTTAAGTCTATTTCTGATGTCCTCCATACTAACGGTCGAATTTGTTGTTTCATAACTTCGACCCTCTGGTTTCATGGCATCTAAAGATAGTGACGTCGGTTCAGCTCAGAAAACCCGTGCCGATACCACCTTCCGATAACCATCCAAATGTTGTTTAACCGAGGTATTTTTTCATTTTTTGGTCCGCGTGTGAGCGATTCTAAATTGTCTAAATTGTGACCCTAACCCATTCGCAGAATTAATGTAAAAAGTAAAGCGGAGTGTATATAAGAGACGTAAGAACTCCATAAAACGGAGTCTCATTTATATAAAACCCTTAACATTAACCCATTAACCCAAAGTACCTCTCAGCCAACACTGCAAACGATGGCGAGCCTGTCGGCCAGCGAGACCGAGTTCCTGGTACGTCCAGCGGCGGGCCTGTCCGGCAAGGCGTAGTGCTGTCTGACCGTTTGTGCCTCTCCGTGTCTTCCGTGCAGGCGGAGCAGGAGCTCATCGCCATTCTGCCGCACTTCCACCTGCGCGACAACAATGGCATGCTCAACTTCATTAGCGTAAGTGACCAGTACAAGTGCACATAAAAAATGGGTAACTATGTCGTAACGTTTTGAGCACTTTCTTGCAGGGCGACTTTGGTCCGTTCCAGCCGGGTATCACCACGCACGTGCCCCTGTGGCTCGCCATCATGCTCAAACAGCTCAACAAGTGCCGCATCTTGGCGCCGTCGTGGCTCTCAGTCGGTCAGTGCCGACTGCTACCGTAGCTGCTCGAATTTTTGGGTCTTTGAAACTTACCCAATTGTTGTGTTTTCGCTATGATCCATGCTGTAGACTACTTGATGTCACGGCTGGAGCGCGAGAAGGCCAGTGACGCATTCGAAGAGCTTCCCTTCCACTACTTGGAAGTGGCGTCTCTGTTGCTGAAGAAGTAGGTGCAAAAGTCAACATTTATAATCGAAATGGACTTGACTAACTTACCACCCTGGTGTGTGTATCTGCAGTGCCCCGGAGGACCTGGATCAAGGTGAACACTTGCGCTCACTGCTGGAAGACCTGCAGAATGTGCGTCAGGACAAAATCCGCAACGGTCTGTCCAGAATCGCCGGTGACGTCGTTCAGAGCGGTGGCTCCGCTTCCGTCATTCAGATGAACAACATCTCTGCGCTCGAGATCAATTCGGTTCGGGAGTTCATGATTGGGGTACGGCTTCTCTGCATCGAAATGCTGCCGTTTGTCGACGTATCTACTAAACTCATTGCGTCTTGCGTGCCCCGCAGTCACTGAACCAATTCTACCGGCTCTCGCGACTCAACGCGGAAGGTGCGCACGACCGTAGCAACATTATTTCTGACTGGATGAACAGATTCTTAAGCTTGCTACTGTGATGTGTGTTTTCAATGTATTTCAGACGACGAGGATCTCTCCCAGTCGCAGTCGCAATCCCAGACCCAGAACTATTCGGAGCCGCCCTCAGGTATGTTTGCTAACATCGTGGTAGTTCGACGTCAAGGAGTGTTCTAAGAAAGGGGTGCATGTTGTGCGAACAGCGGAAAGCCCAGCGGCGCGTCGGCTTCGGCGGTTTCGGGGATAGAAGATGTCTCCGTTTGTATACCAGCGGCGCAGTTCTCTATGCTTTACCCATACACTGTTGGCAGTAATCGTCGAGAGGGCGGCAGGGTGCCTATAGCGAGGGTAATATAAACACTCTCCCTTTACTTTACTTTCCCCGGAAGTGATCTTGTTTGCATATTCCTGCGAAGCCGTAATAAAATGACCGATCCGATATCCTTGAACAGCTTGAGTTGAAGCAATTCGGTGTGTTACGCCTAAGATCAACAAAATCCTCCAGCTGTACAGTATGCCCGACGCAATCGGAAAGGCTCAAGTGCGCTTTACTTTCTTCTTGCCAAGCGTTTCAACGGGGGGGGGGGGATACGATTGCTGCGCCATGAAAATCACCGAGCGACCAAGCGACTTCGGATGCAGCTTCTTGCGCCAATAAATGATAACGCAGAGATAAGCTCTTCGCTGCGACGGACGCAGCGTATTGCCGACGTTACTACGAGCAAAAGAGCTGCTCCTAGCGAGCATGTACACCGCTGTTTGCTGGCACTGATATCCCCTCAAGAGGTTTTGGTGAAGATTGAACCGTAAAATCCGCGAGACTCAGATTAGAGGTCTACGAGCTAACACCCGACGAAAGTCGGGCATTCATGGATGTCTCATCAAAGACCAACACGGGGCTTAATGGCACTACCACATTCGTACTGACTGCTTCTGAACTATCGCACTTGTTTGATCGCGCTCAACTGCAGCTAGGTGCACTTCATCCAGCCACGTTTCCGGGGTTGCCGGTTACAATCAAACTGTGTCACCAGTGGCGACGACGCGAACAAGGCTCTTCTTACGGAGGAAGCAAAAATGGCGTCGCCGGTTGGATGTTGTATTTCTTGTCGGCGGCAGCTTTCCCTACGAGCTGCGCCACGCAGTTGGTTGCTGCGTATTTAAACCGTGTGATCTCTGCGACGACTAACTTATCGACTGTGTGGCACGCTCTCGTGATGCAGGTAGGCTTGGACGGGGTACAGCAAATTGCTATAGACGTGGACTGTGGTGGCGGAATTTCGAGCAGCAGAAGTCTCAGTGTGAAGGAGGCTCGCGTCGGCGCTTGCTGCCTGCTTTCCGTTTTTGGGTCTTGCCATCCTTCGTCTTGAATTTCTTCTTCTTCTTGGGAGGCTCTGGGGTTTTCGTCTCTATCGGTTCCCTCGGCGTCTCGGGTGTATCTGCCTTGGCCTGCTTCTGCAGCTGCGAGTACGGCGTGGGCACCGCCACGGGGTTCATCATCACGACGCCCGGGTTTTTGAGTTGCAGCGCCTCGGCCGCCGCCCGCTCGCGCTCGCGCTTGTCTTCTTCAGCTGCAGCCACGCAGCATACGCCACAGAGCACGGCGCACACCAAACACCCGCAAACATCTTCCGTCTCACTCATCGGCAGTCGATGGTCTCACTTGGCAAAAGGGGGGTAGAGGTCGAAGTACCAATGGCAATGGGCAATGCAATCCAATGCACTGCACTGGATCAAAATCGAGTTGAAAGGTACGTGCTAGACGGCTGGCGAATTGGAGAATGGCTCGAGCGCGGCACAAAAAGTGTCAAGCCGCACGCTGCTCAGTCGAAAGCCGGGCCGGGGGCCCGCGAGATGGTTTTGGAGTCGGTCGAGCGTAACTGCGCAGCGTATGGACGGCGGGGCATCCCAAAGCCCGGAAGTGCGAGAGTCCCCCAGGATCAGTGTAATGGGCATGCAACGCGGCGCTCGTCAACGTCAGCGCAGAGTTCAGCGCACGTTGCTGAACTCCTCGTCCGCGCCGCTTCAAGATCCACCGATGCGTACTTAACGCGGAAATAAACATTTCGGAATTAATACACTACCTACAGTACCTACTTTTGTTGCCTTCCATTTTTTTCGTTGGCCAACCATTTCTCTCCTCGGTTAGCACTAGCCTAAACGTTTAGCCATGGCGGACGGAGACCTGTGGCGCGACCGCAACAAGGTGTTCGTGGCGGGGCTGCCCTCGCACGTGGACGACGATGCGCTCTACGAGAAGTTCAAGTCGTTCGGCGAGATGCACCAGTCCAAGGTGGTGTACGACCAGAAGACGGGTCGCTCCAAGGGCTTCGGCTTCGTGACGTTTTGCGAATACTCTAACGCGCTGGACGCGGTGGACCAGCTGAACCAGTCGAAATGGGACAAACGCACCTTAAACGTGCGCTTTTTGCAGCCCAAAAATGGGTCTGGTGCTAACGCGGCAACAGTCTCTAACCGGCCCGCCAAGGTCATCGGACCGCGCCCTGAGGGCTGCACTACCATCTACGTGGGCAACCTGGCCTATGACATCACGGAGGAGGTGCTGAGGAAGGTCTTCGACAAGTGCGGCAGCATCCGCGCCGTGCGCTTCGCCGAGCACATCCAGACCAAAGAGTTTAGAGGGTTTGGGTACGTTCAGTTCCACGAAGAAGGGCCGTGCGAGGCGGCCGTCAAGCTGGACGGCATGGTGGTTATGGGACGACCCATGAACATCGACTACGGCGCCAGGGACGAAGGATACGCACAGGCGCGCGAGGAGTTGCAGAAGAAGCTGAAAAAGGGTATTTGCCACAAATTCCAGCAGGGACAGTGTACCCGTGGAGACGCGTGTAAGTTTGCCCACGTGATGCAGGACCAAGACGCTGAAGAGCTGGTGCAGCCGGCGGAGCGACCGGTTAGTGGAATTGCCACCCCCGGCGCGTCGTTAGGTGCTGCTGAGGCGAAAACTCCCAAGGCTGAACCCACCCAGGCCACGTCGGACGCACCCGTTTGCATTAACTTCCAAAAGGGTAAATGCCAACGTGGTGCTGCGTGCAAATTCCAGCATTTGCATGGAAATGGGAACGATGAGGAGACGCAAAACGAGGAAAACGGGGAAGTTGAAGCAGCACACGAAGAAGAAGAAGAGAAGGAAGAAGAAGAGGTTCCGGAAGAGGAGGAGACGCGCGCGGAGGAGGGAGCGCCCGTGTGTCAGAACTACCAAAAGGGCAAGTGCAAACGTGGCTCGGCGTGTCGATTCCGTCACGTGGCGGCGCCTGCGGGAGGGTACAAGGAGCCTGAGGAGGACGAGTGGAAGGCACCCGTTCGTGTGGCGTTGCCGGTGGCTGCAGTCGCCGAGGTGGCGGTGTGTCGGAACTTCCAGAATGGCAGGTGCATGCGTGGAGCGTCCTGTCGTTTTGCCCACACGGGTCAAGTGGCCCAGGAGGCCCCGGCCAGCGCCGTGGAAGAGGTGAGCGAGTACCAGAAGCGGTTTCAGAGCGTGTGCTACAATTGGCAGCGCGGCGGCTCGTGCGTGCGTGGCGACAACTGCTCGTTCCAGCACGACGGAGCCCCCTCTGAAGCTAAGACTGAAAGCGTGGAGAAGAAATACAAGAAGGAGAAGAAGAGGAAGATCGAAGAGGAGGGACAACAACAAGAAGAAAGCGAAGAGGAGAAGAGGAAGAAGAAGAAACACAAGAAGGAGAAGAAGGAAAAGAAGGAGAAAAAGCACAAAAAGGAGAAGAAACACAAGAAAAGCAAGGATGCGGACGAGAGCGATTAGAGAACTACGCGCGGCGATAGCTAGAATGTTAGATTTGTATGCAATGGTGAGCCTCAATTTCCTCGGACAAGTTTCTCGTTCTACAGTGCAGTAGAGGTACGTACGTTCAAGAAGCTGGTGGAGAATTTTTCGGTTAACATCTACAAACGTTGTTTCTAGCTGCAACTGACAGTACTATCAGGTGGATTTTCCTGCAGCTGGAACTCGGTGTCCTTGCTCACCACGGGAGCTCCGTCGAAGGGATCGCGGGGTCGGCGTTCAAGAACTTGCCTGAGTCCTCCAGCGAGAGCTTGGCCACCATGTCGGCCATGGCCTTGACCGAGTCGGCGGGTTGAATCACTCCTTGGTGGTTGCTCATGTCCGTGGATACGTATCCGGGGTTGATGGTCACGACCGTGACGTTGCTCTCGCGCAGGTCCATGGCGAGCGAGCGCGTGATCATGTTGAGCGTGTCCTTGGACGTGGTGTAGCCGTACTGGCCGCGGAACAACTGGGCGTACTCGTCCTTGTTGCTGGCGATGCTGCCCAGGATGGACGAGATCTGCAAGACGGTGGCGGGGCTCTCGGCTTTGGCGGCAAGCTTAAGGTTTGGCACAAACGCGCGGGTGACGAGGAATGGACCGACAGCGTTCACCTCGATGGATTTCATGATGACGTCCTTGGCGACCGTCTCGAACGACGAGTATAGACCGACGCCAGCGTTGTTGATCAGCAGGTCGATGGGGACACCCTCCAACTGGCGAGCCGCCTCGAGCACAGTCGCCTCGTCACCCGCGTCCAGGGTGATGATCTTGAAGGGCGAGAGGGCAGCAAGCTGCAGAACGAGGGGTTAGAGGGGGGAGGGAGAGCGATTGTTGTTGTAGTTTTATCTCGCTTACCTTATCGGTGTTGCTGTTCGCCCGAGCCGTGCCGATGACGTTCCAGCCGGCGTTCACGTAGAACTCGGCGAAGGCGAGACCGATGCCGCGCGTGCTGCCGGTGATGAGGACCGTCTTCGTGGTGGCTGCCATGGTCGAGAGTGGAGAGTTGAGGGGTGGGTGGGGGCTTGTCGAGCTTGAAGTGAATTCGAAAATGAATGAGCGACCTCTTCGTCTGATGGGATTGAAGATTTCTCTACTCGTGCGTTGATGTGTACGTACCGGAACAATAGATCATCTCCGATTAGTACGGCTGGCATGACTCAAAGGACTGCCCGGATGTTCATGCAATTGGGCAGTGCAGTCGTCACCGTTTAGTACGCTAGGCCCGACTCTAAACACCACCGCAATCGTTTAGACGATCCTCGTAATCACCGTCATCGCTCCGGGTCCTCAGTTCAGCTTTTTCGGTCGCTGCAGCTGGAGGAATGACTCATTCCAGAGCTCATTCCGAATGAGCTACATTCAAACAGAGCCCATAAAAAATAAAACCCGGGACACTGCAAGCGGTTAAGCAATCAAACTGCTGCTTAGTATCGGCGTTTTGAGACTCAGCCATATATGGATAACATGATATCAGCCTACTGTACCGGTGTCTGCTAACACCCTCTGCGTCTGCACACAGACACAATCGTGCCGATGCGATTTCGGAGCGTTCACAAGAATGTATGATAGCAGCGCTCTTTAGAATGTTGGTACATGTTGTGTGCCCCTTACAGCTCTGCAAACAAGTTGGCCACTACATATAAACTCTTGGGCTTCCATTGTACGTAGAGAAAAGTGGTGGAGCACCACGAGTTGCTTAACTACACAAAGCACAAAACTGGAACATTGCTATACAGTCAGACTGGCACTAGTGATCTTCCCACTTCTCTTCCGTTTGCAGCAGAACCAGCGGCGATATCATCGAACTTTCCCAGCGCAAAACGCTACAAACCATCTCGAACAGCCAGTAGTTGGACCTCAGCCGTTCATGATGGCCAATCGACCCGCCATGAACCACCTCCCATCCTGCAGGATTGTCGTATTGGTCGTACAGCCGGTTGAAATGCACCCTGTTACCACAATGAATCAGTGATGAGACAATGAAAAAAAAAAACACTATCATACTAACGCACCAACGCACCAACGCACCAATGGAACGTGTCGACCAAGTATTCGTGGGGTTCCAGCAAATTTTCAATCTCCGGCGAGGAAATGGTACGCCGACAGAAGGTGTATCCCGTCGGCGTCTGCAGTCGGAACATCAATTGAATCGAGGTCAGCGTAAGTTGAAGCCTGGACGGTCGGTAGTCTCGCCGCACAATGAACAGGTCGTCGTTCAGCACTTGCAGCACTTGCAGCCGCGTCCGCGTCGGGCTGTCAAAGACCATCTTCTCCAGCTGAGATCCGCTCAGAAACATATCCCACGTCTTGTTGAACAGCTCTTCCACGTTCTCAGACGGAAACTGCTTGGTGAAGGCAAACAGCAGCGTCTCCGTGTTGCGGTAGTGCTTGTGCTGGTCCGTCCAGCCCATGAAGCTCGACCTCGTCGACTCGACAATCTCACAGTCCGTAAACTTCCGAATCTCCTCGTATGTTTTCCGCGCGAATTCATAACACTCGGACGTCGACAGGTGACGGAACCTGGCGGCGAAGGACAAACTGGAAGGAATTCCACTGTCCCAAATCGCGAACGCGTCCTCAGATGACATATTTCTTGCATATCTCTGATAGAACTCGTGCTCTTGCAACAGCCTTCGAATCGCCGCTTGATCCTTCTCCAGTTCTTGCGCCACGAGCGTCAACTCTGAGTATTTCCGCTGCAACTCGTCCATCGAAGTAGCGCCACTGAAGTTACTGAGACCGTGGTGCAACCGCATTAACCTATAGGAATCGCCGGCATTCTTTCTTCTGGCCATGGCAGCGTACACATTCTCCAACTGCCTCACCTCGTCTCGCATGCGGTTGATAATGTCGAGTCTTCTCAGTCGCGACTTCTTCTCAATCTCCGAGCGCCTGGCACGCTTCGCCTCAGCCGAGTTCTTGGCACTGGGGACGACGTTGCTCCTGCTCGGACTCACTTCTACCTGGCTGTTTGACACTGGAGAGGGCGGCGTGGCCAAGCGGAGGCTGGTCGAGGCGTCGATGTCCTCGCTCTGGGGCCAGCTCTGCTCCGTCTTGGTCTCCTCCGAGATCGCGACCGAAAGATCGTCCAGCTCCACTTCGTCCGCGAACGCCTCGGAGAAGGCGCGTTCCATGGAGGGAGACAAGGGCGGCCCCGATGGCTCGAGGGGCTCGTAACTTGAGCCCAACATGGCGAATGGCGCTGGGTTGCTGCTGCTTGGGGGGATATGGCGACTCGATCTACTTCGCTCGCAGGTCTGCAAATTTGAGTTGCGTCCAGAGTGGCAACCGTTCGACCGGCGGCTTAAGTTGGGGGTATAACGCCCCCCACCACTGGATTGGGCGTCGGCAAACCTTATAGTGTTTCAGTAGCTGCATACGCACCGGAAGAAACGCGCCACGAACGTCCAATGCTATTCTAACCTACTCTGTCGTCCTCCTGGACCCCAATTCATAAGAGCTGGGGGCGAGGCGAGCTCTAAATTAGCCCAACCGAGCCACCCTTTATTCATTGTCGGCGACGGCAAGAGCGGATTACGAGCCCCTGGATCCATCAGAGCCGCCTCCATGGAGAGCGCATTGTCTGAAGTATTAGCCGACATTTCAGAGCTCGACTATGTGTTTAAGACGACCACGGACGACAAGCTGAAGACAAACTGGTCGGACAGCGAGGACGCCGACACTTCGACAGCCCTCCGGTCGGCTACGCCTCCCTATGAAGACGCTGCGGAGGCGAAGCGCTCCAGGCGAACGGCCATCGAGAGGAAGCCGCGGCTGAGAAGGCAGGACACTCTGAAGCGAATGCAAGAGGAAGTGGAGCACTTGGAGAGGGTAGACGCTGACATGGCAAGGAGTACTGGGATTCGTACGGGTTGGTGCAGTGGCAAGGTCGCAGCGTCTTAACTTCCATGGACGAACTGCAGCGAAAGTACTCGGAGTTAACGCTCGAGACGCGTGAGTTGGAGAAGGACCAGATCGCTATTCGAAGGCCGCTACAAGAGCACGAGTTTTCCCAGGAGTGTACGAGGATGTTACTCGACTCCAAGTCCTGCAAGTGGTGAACGACGACTTGTTCATTATCTGACGAGACCATCGAATGGCAAGGTTTCCGGTTGCTCTTGTCTCGGTTCAAATAATGTTTCGACTGCAGACACCGACAGGCTACGCCCTCTCTTTGCGTACAATCCCTTCGCCAGACATTCAAAGGACTCTGGGGCCCCACGAGGTCTGGTTCGACGCATTCCACTGGTATGCACCTGTAGTTCACGCGTTATTCATGCTCATGCTTACGTTCTTTTCTTTTCTTCCGTGGTGTGGTGTCAAGGATACACTTTAACCGACTCTACGATGAATACGATAGCCCCGCAGGTTGCGAGGTCGTGCACGGGGGGTCGATCGACACTCAAGACCGGCTCAGATCCAGTAGCTGGCTGTTCGAGATGGTTTGCAACGTGTTGCGCTGGGAAAGCTCCACCATCGCTCCTCTAAACCTCCTGCAGACGTGAGGTCAGGTGCAGTCGTTATACAGCGAAATGATTAACTCAGTGCAGTCGGGGGCTGAGCTCGGGAAGAAAGGCACTGTCGATTCGAAGTAAGTATTCAATTTTTTGAGTCTCCTTGGACATTCGTCCTGCTCACCTCTATTTTTCGATGAGATCGGGGGCTGTAAGATGGAAGTGTTAAATTAGTACTGCTCACAATCCAGTGAGGCGGCAGTATAGTTCACCATGCCGACGATATCGAGCTCCACCTCCAAGCGTCTGGACCCATCAGAGCCGCCCGCATAGAATTCGCCGACGTGTCAGAGCTGGACGACTTCGTCGAGGCGAAGGAGAAGGCGGAGCAAAGCTGGCAAGAAATCGATGCCTGGAGCCTTCGGATGGCTACACCACCGTCTTCGATCGAAGAAAATGGCCCATTCGAGAGGGAAGTGGCCACTAGTAAAGATACAGCCGCCGAGGCGAAGCGTGCCAGACGATCCGAGATTGAGAAGAAGTCGCGACTGAGAAGACTCGACATTATCAACCGCATGCGAGACGAAGTGAAGCAGTTAGAGAACGTATACGCTGCCATGTCCAGGAGCGCTGCGAGTTCTTATAGGTTAATGCAATCGCACCATGGTCTCAGTGACTTCAGTGGCGCTGCTTCGATGGACGAGTTGCAGCGGAAATACTCGGAGTTGACGCTCGTGACGCAAGAACTGGAGAAGGATCAAGCGGCGATTCGAAGGCTGCTGCAAGAGCACGAGTTCTATCAGAGGTATACAAGAAATATGTCAACGGAGGACGCGTTCGCGATCTGGGACAGCGGCATCCCTACGAGTTTGTCCTTTGCCGCCAAGTTCCGGCATCTCTTGACTTCCGAGTGCTACGAGTTCGCGCGGAAAACTTACGAGGAGATTCGGAAGTTTACGGAGTGTGGGATCTTTGACACGACAATGTCGAGCTTTATGGGCTGGACGGACAAGCGCAAGTATTATTCGAGTACTCAGTCACTGCTGTTTGCCTTCACCAAGCAGTTTCCGTCGGAGAACGTGGAGGAGCTGTTCACCAAGACGTGGAACATGTTTTTAAACGGATCTGAGCTGGCGAAGATGGTCTTTGACGCTTCTACGCGGACTCGACTCCAAGTGCTGCAGGTGCTGGATAGAGATCTCTTAGTTATTCGTCGAGACCACTACACCCCAAGGTTTCCGATTACGCTTGTCTCGGTTCAATTAATGTTTCGACTGCAGACGCCGACAGGGTACACCTTCTGCCTGCGTACGATCCCTTCGCCAGAGATACAAAATGCTACGAAGCCTGGTTCAACGCATTCCATTGGTACGCTTGGTTCTCTACTGAAAACTGAAGTTTGTTGCGCTAACCCTTTGACAGAATACTTTAACCGGCTGTATGATGGATACGATAACCCTGCAGGCTGTGAGGTGGTGCATGGTGGGTCCGTCGACGATCACGACCGGCTCAGATCCAACTACTGGCTGTACGAGATGGTTTGTAGCGTCTTGCGCTGGGAAAGCTCCACTATTGCACCTCTGTTTCTTCTGCGGACGTGAACAAATATTTTGTAGTGTAGTAGCGACAATTGTTTTACTTGCGGGATACCTTAAACGATCTATATTGATTTCCTCACTGCCATTTTGAAAGGGTAATGATATACTACCAATGCCCCTGACCATCAATTTATCACGATTAGTCCTCCAAGGTCCACACTAGCATGCGAGCCAGGTCTTCATAAGAACTAGAAGTAATCGATAGCCCCATCCGCCCAGCCCTTCGGTTAGTATAGATCAAGGATGAGATAAGATCTGGAGCAGCAGCTTATAAACAAGCCGCCAAACTCTCCAAACTAGTTTTCGCCACAGCGACGCCATGACGGCAATAGTGAGCGCAAAGTGTGAGCCGCTGGACCTATCGCAGCCAATGGAGAGTACTTTCCTAGAGGCATTCGCCGACATTTTGGGGCTTGACGATTTGCCAGTCACGATCAAGCTGGAGGAGGAAGAGCGAAGCTGGCCGGGAAGCCCCGATACCGAGTCGACAGGCCTCCGTGTGGCCACACCAGTGTCTTTGACGTCAACCGATCACAATGACATGAACCGCTGCAAGGAGGAGCCCTCCACTGTCCAAATTGCAGCTGAATCAAAGCGTGCTAGGCGGTCGGCGATGGTGAATCTTCGTTAGCTCCTCGGCATCCCTCGGGGTTGGATGCTCATTTCGCTGCGATTAATCAGCGTGACACCACCGAGTACGGACGTTGCAGCGATAATACTTCCTACGATATAGCAACAATATAGGCGCGTAGCGAAAATACTGTGGCATCCAGTTTCGGACCAGTCTTAGTTTGGAGTCGCAACGTTAGCAAATGGCTGAAGCGAAACGCCCAGCATGACCCGCTTCCAGCAAGCCCCCTTCCGGATCAATAGATAAAATAATTTAACGGATTCTTATATGCAGTGTGTTTGTGGGGGGGCGAGCCTTTAGCTCTTCTATGATGCGCCTTGGAGTATGGCGCTGTGGGCTAACCTTCCGCTGGGGACTCGTACAAAACTCCCAAAAACTGCATCGTGACCTGCCGTCGCAGTTGCCGTTGCACCTTGACAAAACTTGTGTTTCCTCTTCTTCTTCACGCACTGTTGAGCCACTCGTGCTCGAGCACCTGCGCGGCGCTGATGCGCTGCTCCGGGTCCACGTTGAGCATGCGGCACACGAGGCCCCGCGCGCTGTCCGACATGCAGGCCCAGCCGGCCGACTCGCGGTCGAAGTCGCCCTTGAGGATTCGCCGCTGCAGCTCCTCGTCGCTGGCGTCGTCCGTCGGGTCGAACGGGTGCAGGCCGCAGAGCACAATGTACAGCACGACGCCCAGCGCCCACACGTCCATGGCGCAGCTGGACTCGCGGTGCTCGATGAACTCCGGCGACGCGTACGCCGTCGTGCAGGCGTCCACCTTGCGGCGCGCGTCGTGCAGCCGGAAGGACTGTCCGAAGTCGATGAGGCGCATGCCCGTCTCCTTGTCGTCGGCCAGCAGGATGTTCTCGGGCTTGAGGTCCGCGTGCACCACGTGCTTCGAGTGCAGGTACTGCAGCGCCACAGCCAGCTCGCGCACGAGCGCCTTCGCGCGCTGCTCGCCGAAGACGCCGTGCTCCACCAGGTCGTCGTACAGCTCGGCGCCCTGCACGAGCTCCGTTACGAGCACGTAGGCGTCTTGCGTCTCGAAGGCGTCTCTTGCAGCACCAAAGGCAATTATTTGCTGCATGGCGCTCAGTCAGCAAGGGTCTCTTTGCTGGTGGTGTGTGTACACAGTACACACGTGTACTGTATGATTCCATTTTTGTCGGATTAAACTGGGGTCTCCCTTGAAACGCAAGGTCCGCGATGTTTTCATCGGAAACGCATATGCTTGCAGTGGAGTGCAACTTGCTGCGGGCGAAACCTTCTAGAGCGGAGGAGGGGCTCTCGTGGCCCAGATTTGACACTGACAAATTGGCAGTGATGCTTTAGAGTGGACCTGGCAGCACTGCCCATGGCGGTGCTCGCAATGTGGTGGAAGGCGGTGCCAACGACTCTTATGATACACTTTGCTGCAAGCGCTGCGTGGCTGCTTGGTTTTGCTCACGTCACGCGAGTTGAAGTGTGTCAGAGGCTGTACGCAGCGCACATATAATAGAAGCGCACTCCTCCTTGCGGCTATCACAGTGGCTTAAGTTGCCTACAGGCAGACCCCTCTATTCCTGTCAGTGCGCGATGGGCTAGCTTGGTGGATCTAGGGTTGCCCCAAGCTACGGCAGCGCTGGCTTGGACACCACTCCACTCTGCAAGCCCGGGCCATTACGGACCGAGCGACTCGAGAGTGAGGTTTATTCTCCTTCTAGGAAAGCTGCGCTGAGTAAGCGAGACTATTTGTGTTGTAGGTTGCAGTTGCCACTATGCGTTAAAACTTGTTTTAAATTAAGTCGCCTCGTTAGCATTCTTGTTTCAATCGAAATAGCAAATTAACGTTTTCAGTTTTCAGACACAACAACATCAAGAGTACTGGTAATCCCAGTCTGGTATATGAGCTCAATTCTTGTGTTTATTTTCTCGGCGGTTCTAGGCGGTGAACAGAGAGTTAACTCATAATAAAAACACCCATACCTCTGCAAGGAGCTCTCACGGGGACACTGATAAGGAAGGCTATTTCCTGCAAGGCGTTGATTGTCTGGCAGCAGAAAGGATCTGCTCGCGATGAACTTGACCCATTGGACTGTTTCATACTTGCAAGCGGAGCTTGCGGTTCGCGTTTGCCGTTGAAGACGCACTGGCACTCGGGTAGCCGCTCTGGACAGCGGCGACACGTAGCCGAATACGGCGCCACACCAATGTCTGCATCGGGACGTAGACACCGGAACCGTTAGCGCTCAGGCCATATGCACAGGGCTATACATGCCAGAGCAGTGTACACCCAGTCCGAGCACCCCACGACCTCCAATATTGACTAGCGCCTGATCATCCTACTGGGCTGACACTTTCATGTGCAGAGAATCGCTGACGCCGCTGCACCGGTCTTGGGGCGTCCGAGGTCTCTACTGGCGTGGTATCATGGCGCAGTCATCGCAAGATCGGCATCCGGTCTAGATGCAGATCCCCATGCGATGTTGCTTGAGTGGCGGCGCCGTGCTTCATGGGCCAGGTGATCTTCAGTATGGCAATGTGGTAGGCTTACAGTGCCGCAAATTATACACACAGTATTATGCGCGATGTCGTCGGCCTGCGTGCTCCGTCAACAGCGTAGCAAATGAAGCACCGCTTGACACTTTGGCAAACGCTGATGGCCTTTCCAATACATGTAGTGGAGTTTTCGACGTCGAAAACAAAATATGCATATATGGTATCGTTTATCTTTAGCAAGAGTTGGGCGTTCACCATTTTGTATAATACTGAACTTTGTATGTCCAATGTTGAAGTTGGCATCCGCAGAGCCAGGCCACCAAGAAGCGAGCTGCCTTCTGAGGCCACGGGAGCCCACGAAAGCGCGAAACGCGTGCTGTGGTTGTCAACAACTTGTTGACAGGTCCTATCCCGAGGGGGGTCAACAGATCCGCACGTACAGCACCTGCTGTACCAGTCCACCAGATTTTATTGATGCGCGAGTCTGCTTAAGGCAGCAAGCAAGCAACCCACGCTGGGCCATTATCTTCGTTTCCATTCCTCAATTCACCCTCGACCCGCAAGCAGTCAAGGCGGATCTTCCGGAGCAAGCGCTCTTCTTGTTGTCTCAGACCAAGCGCTCTTCTTGTTGTCTCAGACCAAGCGTCCATTTACCACAAGCAGTCTCCAGTCATGTTGAGCAGCAGCAACATCTTCGCCATGTGCATCGCGGCCGTCGCTCTATCAAGCGGAGTGCACGCGGAGCAGGCGGTGGCTCAGACGTTCGGCCACATTCACGGCGTCCATGGCGGAGTCCCCGGTGTCGTGGGCGTCGGCGTGGGCCCAGACGTGTACGGTCACGGTGTCGGTGTCGGCGTCGGTGTGCCGGGCGTGGCCGGTGTCGGTGTCGGCCTCCCTGGCGTCGGTGTGGGCGGTGTTGGTGTCAGTGTTGGTGTGCCTGCGGTTGGCGTCGGTGGCCCAGTGGTCGGCGCTGTTGGCCCCGCGGTCGGATACAACGCGCCTGCGAATGCCGTGTCCAACGCCAATGCAGGCGCCCCCGCCAATGCGGTCTCCAACGCGAATGCAAATGGGAACGCGGGGCGCGCGTCTGCCTCGGTGGCTAATGCTGGCGCTGCCACCGCGACCGCGAATGCCGGCGCTGGCCCCGGTGGCAACGGCGGCCCTGCCCAGACTGTCACGACGAACGGCGACGGAACTGCCTCCGCGACCACGTCGAAGACGACTGGCGGCGCGACTGCGACCGCCTCGGCGAACACGAACGGGCCGAGCGGTGGTCCGAGCGCGGGACCTAGCGGCGGCCCGAGCGCCGGCCCAAGTGGTGGTCCCAGCAACGGACCAAACACTGCAACTGGTGGTGCGGGCGCTACGTCTCAGAAGGCGTATCGTAAGCTCCGCTCGGAGTAAGGAGTGGGTCCTGGATGCTGTCGGTTCAATAGGGGCTGTTCTGTGGTCTCTCGGTCGTGAGGGTTCCCTGTTCAGCCACCGACCTAATTGTTGTGTCAGTATTTGTCGATGAGTTTTGATTTGGTACACTACGAATAAACCACTTTGTTCCATATAGCTTTCAGACTTAGTCATCAAGTCATACCTTGGCTGGAACTGGACTTACGACGAATGGCCTTACTTACCTAGAGTAGCTTTCACTCAAGGAGAATAAGCCTGTCTTGAGTCGCAAAGCTATGACCCTGCCTGCAATTAACTCTAGAGCAGAGTGGCGTCCTAGCCAGCGCGGCCGTAGCTTCGGGCAACCCTAAAATCACCAAGCTAGCCCATCGCGCACTGACAGGAATGGAGATGGACGGGTCTACCTGTCAACAAATTAGGCCGCTATGATAGCCACGAGAAAGAGTGCACTCTCACCACCAAAAAAACCCATAGATCTGCTCAACCTTCAACTCCACCAAACAAATAGCGATACGGATCGTTTCCTCGCGAAAGTGTCGTGGGCGTACAGTATCGCGCGGTGACCGCTGACTACGCTACGCTACTGACGGAGCGTATCTGCCGCTGCTGTTCCTCATAAGAACACAGTGTCCAAGCTGTATAATAACTGCGGCGCTGATGAAAGTGACTGTGGACGCGCTGCTTGTCATATTCGCACCGCTCTCGTCGGTGTTGCTGCGGACATGCCAATACCAAGACGCGATGAGCTACTGTGGTTAAATATACTACTAGTACTGTATAACTAACTCAGAACAGACAGAACTCGTGGTTGATTGGTAGTGGACCACAACGAAACTCATCGACAATATATTACTGACACAACATCAACTACGCCTGTGGATCCACAGGAGAACAAAGACCCCTCGCTGGGTGCATGCACGCCATGGCATACAGTACCCCCTCACAGAGCTGGTCATACCGATCCGACGGTAACTACTGTAGCCACGGACCCGCTCCTTACTCCGAGCGAAGCTGACGGTACGCCTTCTGAGACGTAGCGCCCGCGCCACCAGTTGCAGTGTTGGGTCCGTTGTTCGGGTCGCTGCTCGGACCAGCGTTCGCGTTTGCGTTCGCAGTCGCAGTGGCCGTCGCAGTCGCGCCACCACTCGTCTGGATGGGGCCATCGTTGCCACTGGGACCGGTGCCGATGTTGGCATTCGCGTTGGCGTTTCCTGGAGCGCCAGCATTCGCGTTCGAGACAGTATTTCCGGCGTATGCGTTCGCGTTGGCGGGCGCACCGACATTCGCATTGGAGGCGGCATTCGCAGGCGCCGCGTTGTATCCGACTGAGGGACCGCCAACGCCAACCGCGGGGCCACCGACGCCGACAGCAGGCACGCCGACACCGACATTGGCACCGACGCCAGCCACGCCAGGCACACCGACACCCACACCAACACCGGGAGCATACACGCCGGGGCCGTACAAGCCGGTGCCGTACACAGCTGGAGCCACGGCGACACCCACGACGCCGGGGACGCCGATTACACCGTGGAAGCGGGTGTTGTGCACGTGGTTGTTGTGGATGTAGCCGGGGTGGATGTGGCCAAAGGTCTGGGCCACTTCCTGCTCCGCGCTCACGCCGCTTGACAGGACGGCGGCGATGCACACGGCGAAGATGTTGCTGCTGCTCAACATGACTGGAGACTGCTTGTGGTAAATGGACGCTTGGTCTGAGACAACAGGAAGAGCGCTTGGTCTGAGAGAACAAGAAGAGCGCTTGCTCCGGAAGATCCGCCTTGACTGCTTGCGGGTCGAGGGTGAATTGAGGAATGGAAACGAAGATAATGGCCCAGCGTGGGTTGCTTGCTTGCTGCCTTAAGCAGACTCGCGCATCAATAAAATCTGGTGGACTGGTACAGCAGGTGCTGTACGTGCGGATCTGTTGACCCCCCTCGGGATAGGACCTGTCAACAAGTTGTTGACAACCACAGCACGCGTTTCGCGCTTTCGTGGGCTCCCGTGGCCTCAGAAGGCAGCTCGCTTCTTGGTGGCCTGGCTCTGCGGATGCCAACTTCAACATTGGACATACAAAGTTCAGTATTATACAAAATGGTGAACGCCCAACTCTTGCTAAAGATAAACGATACCATATATGCATATTTTGTTTTCGACGTCGAAAACTCCACTACATGTATTGGAAAGGCCATCAGCGTTTGCCAAAGTGTCAAGCGGTGCTTCATTTGCTACGCTGTTGACGGAGCACGCAGGCCGACGACATCGCGCATAATACTGTGTGTATAATTTGCGGCACTGTAAGCCTACCACATTGCCATACTGAAGATCACCTGGCCCATGAAGCACGGCGCCGCCACTCAAGCAACATCGCATGGGGATCTGCATCTAGACCGGATGCCGATCTTGCGATGACTGCGCCATGATACCACGCCAGTAGAGACCTCGGACGCCCCAAGACCGGTGCAGCGGCGTCAGCGATTCTCTGCACATGAAAGTGTCAGCCCAGTAGGATGATCAGGCGCTAGTCAATATTGGAGGTCGTGGGGTGCTCGGACTGGGTGTACACTGCTCTGGCATGTATAGCCCTGTGCATATGGCCTGAGCGCTAACGGTTCCGGTGTCTACGTCCCGATGCAGACATTGGTGTGGCGCCGTATTCGGCTACGTGTCGCCGCTGTCCAGAGCGGCTACCCGAGTGCCAGTGCGTCTTCAACGGCAAACGCGAACCGCAAGCTCCGCTTGCAAGTATGAAACAGTCCAATGGGTCAAGTTCATCGCGAGCAGATCCTTTCTGCTGCCAGACAATCAACGCCTTGCAGGAAATAGCCTTCCTTATCAGTGTCCCCGTGAGAGCTCCTTGCAGAGGTATGGGTGTTTTTATTATGAGTTAACTCTCTGTTCACCGCCTAGAACCGCCGAGAAAATAAACACAAGAATTGAGCTCATATACCAGACTGGGATTACCAGTACTCTTGATGTTGTTGTGTCTGAAAACTGAAAACGTTAATTTGCTATTTCGATTGAAACAAGAATGCTAACGAGGCGACTTAATTTAAAACAAGTTTTAACGCATAGTGGCAACTGCAACCTACAACACAAATAGTCTCGCTTACTCAGCGCAGCTTTCCTAGAAGGAGAATAAACCTCACTCTCGAGTCGCTCGGTCCGTAATGGCCCGGGCTTGCAGAGTGGAGTGGTGTCCAAGCCAGCGCTGCCGTAGCTTGGGGCAACCCTAGATCCACCAAGCTAGCCCATCGCGCACTGACAGGAATAGAGGGGTCTGCCTGTAGGCAACTTAAGCCACTGTGATAGCCGCAAGGAGGAGTGCGCTTCTATTATATGTGCGCTGCGTACAGCCTCTGACACACTTCAACTCGCGTGACGTGAGCAAAACCAAGCAGCCACGCAGCGCTTGCAGCAAAGTGTATCATAAGAGTCGTTGGCACCGCCTTCCACCACATTGCGAGCACCGCCATGGGCAGTGCTGCCAGGTCCACTCTAAAGCATCACTGCCAATTTGTCAGTGTCAAATCTGGGCCACGAGAGCCCCTCCTCCGCTCTAGAAGGTTTCGCCCGCAGCAAGTTGCACTCCACTGCAAGCATATGCGTTTCCGATGAAAACATCGCGGACCTTGCGTTTCAAGGGAGACCCCAGTTTAATCCGACAAAAATGGAATCATACAGTACACGTGTGTACTGTGTACACACACCACCAGCAAAGAGACCCTTGCTGACTGAGCGCCATGCAGCAAATAATTGCCTTTGGTGCTGCAAGGGTTGTCCTCAACCCTTGCAACAGCCGTGTTTGTCTCGGAGCTCCAGCGGTCATATATGATGCCAAGGGCTCAGTTCGCCGCTGGATGTCGCGCCAAGCATCTCTCTTGCTCGCACCCAACTCAGGGCGGCAGCGAGCAGAACGCTGAGAATGGGTGACAGAACACGGCAAACAATTTGTTTGAAACAAACAAAAGCAAGATGGCAAGCGAAGGTCGGAGTGTCGGCCCCTTTTCTGCCGGAAAACCTGCGACGAAGCAGAATCGCCACCTCGCCTGCGTCACGGCGCCCCGCACGGGACTCGGCGCTCGCTGCCCACGTGCGCGCCAAATGCAGGCGCTCGTTGGTCAGTCCTCGCCACGTGCGAGGCAAAATAGCCTGCTATTCCTGCTGGCTGATGCTGCTCGTCCTCGCCGAGTCCGTCCTCACCGCCATCAAGTACGGTTTGCCTTTTTCCGGTCGTCCGGTTGCGCCTTCTATGCCACGCTGACTTTTTCAGCCCGCACGAAACCGCCCAGCGATTGGCCCGTATCGCGCTTCCCGCTTGATTTGAGGCCACCGGTTGTTGCAGTGCCGCCGTCCGTCGCCAGTCCTCGATTTGCCAGCTCGGACGCACATTGAACTTGCTTCGTCTACTGTATAGCAGCTCAAGGCTCAAGCCAGCGGAAATGACCTACAGCGATCGATCGGGCGCGCGCTTCCTGCGCCTGCCGCGCCGCATGGCGGGGGCCGCCGCCCTGTGCGCCGCGGCCGCGGCCTGCAGCGGCCTCAGCCCGCCGCCCACGCGCCTGGACGCGACACGCCGCCCCGTGCCCATGGGCGCCGACGCCGCGTGCGCGCAGCTCGTGCCGCACGCCGTGACGTGCCCGCTCAAGGCGCAGCAGCTGCAGACGCCGCGCGTGGACTCGTGGCGGCTCGCGCGCAGCCGCCTGCAGCAGGAGTACGACCTGGAGGGCGTCATCGGCGAGGGCGGCTTCGGCCTCGTGCACGTGGCGCGGCACCGCGCCTCCAACGCGCGCGTGGCCGTGAAGCGCGTGCCCAAGCAGCGAACGACCAAGGAGAGCTTCCTGCAGGAGGTGGCCATCCTGCGCCAGGTGGGCGGCACGCACAACGTGCTGCAGCTGCGAGACGCCTTCGAGACGCAAGACGCCTACGTGCTCGTAACGGAGCTCGTGCAGGGCGCCGAGCTGTACGACGACCTGGTGGAGCACGGCGTCTTCGGCGAGCAGCGCGCGAAGGCGCTCGTGCGCGAGCTGGCTGTGGCGCTGCAGTACCTGCACTCGAAGCACGTGGTGCACGCGGACCTCAAGCCCGAGAACATCCTGCTGGCCGACGACAAGGAGACGGGCATGCGCCTCATCGACTTCGGACAGTCCTTCCGGCTGCACGACGCGCGCCGCAAGGTGGACGCCTGCACGACGGCGTACGCGTCGCCGGAGTTCATCGAGCACCGCGAGTCCAGCTGCGCCATGGACGTGTGGGCGCTGGGCGTCGTGCTGTACATTGTGCTCTGCGGCCTGCACCCGTTCGACCCGACGGACGACGCCAGCGACGAGGAGCTGCAGCGGCGAATCCTCAAGGGCGACTTCGACCGCGAGTCGGCCGGCTGGGCCTGCATGTCGGACAGCGCGCGGGGCCTCGTGTGCCGCATGCTCAACGTGGACCCGGAGCAGCGCATCAGCGCCGCGCAGGTGCTCGAGCACGAGTGGCTCAACAGTGCGTGAAGAAGAAGAGGAAACACAAGTTTTGTCAAGGTGCAACGGCAACTGCGACGGCAGGTCACGATGCAGTTTTTGGGAGTTTTGTACGAGTCCCCAGCGGAAGGTTAGCCCACAGCGCCATACTCCAAGGCGCATCATAGAAGAGCTAAAGGCTCGCCCCCCCACAAACACACTGCATATAAGAATCCGTTAAATTATTTTATCTATTGATCCGGAAGGGGGCTTGCTGGAAGCGGGTCATGCTGGGCGTTTCGCTTCAGCCATTTGCTAACGTTGCGACTCCAAACTAAGACTGGTCCGAAACTGGATGCCACAGTATTTTCGCTACGCGCCTATATTGTTGCTATATCGTAGGAAGTATTATCGCTGCAACGTCCGTACTCGGTGGTGTCACGCTGATTAATCGCAGCGAAATGAGCATCCAACCCCGAGGGATGCCGAGGAGCTAACGAAGATTCACCATGTTAGCGTGGATCTTCGTCTGGTTTGCTGGATTCACAAAATCTCAATGGCAGTTGCCTGCTATTTTAGTATGCGCCAAATGTTTGCAATGGTTTCTTTGAGATCACCCAGCATCCGCAGTCGAAGAATAAGACGGTTCGCCGTGACATGGATTGGAGTTCATGTTGCTTGCTGAGCTGGTTCCCGGGAAAACTCATCGTTATAACTCATCCAAACTAACCCCCGTCAATTTCCACGCGAAGTGTCAGCACCAAAACAACTACCTCCGAGTACTAAAGGTGGGCATCATGAAATCTTGGTTTTGACATCTTACAGCAACCCAGCCAAACGACAGGGTGGCCTCATGACTGCAAAAAGAACGAGGGGAGCAATGGTGGCGTTTTTCCCATTGAAATATGCTGCGAACCATCTTGAACAGCCAGTGCCTGGCTTTAAGCTGGTCTTGATCGTCGAAACAACCCCCGTACACGACCTCGCAACCTGCCGAGTTATCGTATTCGTCGTATAAATGATTGAAATTCATCCTGGATACCACAGAAAAAAACGGTAAGAAGCGACAAAGGGGCAGCAAAAGCGAAGGCGTATCCTCTCGGAGTCTGCGGTCGAAACATGATCTGGACGAGGTGAGGGTCGCTTGGGCTGCTGTAGTCCCGACGAATAACAAGCAAACCGTCGTTCAGCACCTGCAACACTTCGAACCGAGTGTGAGCGGAGCTGTCGAAGTTCACGTATCCTCCATTGGATACCACGGTAGCGCACGGTGCGAAGCATGCTAGACAAACTACTGTACTTGTCGGACGAACGACTGGAACGCGTAGCCAAGGCAGGTTCCACGACCCTTGCCTTCGGAGGAAAGCAAGGTTGTTTCAAAATTTATTACTTCGAAAGCGGCGAGAATAGAACTACATGTAGCTACTTAATGCAATTCACCAGCAATCTTCGGGTAGTCGATCCTCACTGGGGTTCTTCGCGGTAGTCGTATCTGCGCCAGCGGCAACACCAATCGTAAGCTCAAAAACAACGCCACCTCTCGAGCTCTCGGGGCTTTTCGCTCACAACTCCGCAAAAGTCGCTGACGTCGCCCACTGTTCGACCTTGGGAGTTGACGAAGCGGTGAGCTGCCCCCCGCGCCGAAACCCGCCGACGCTCACAGCGCTTCTGTCCCTTAAAGACAATCAGACCGGTTCACCAGGGACGCAACTTCTTCTTCTCTTGTTTCCAAAAACCTGGAACGCGGCCTCCCGTAAGTAAACAGGCCAATGAAGGATATCGAGTAAGCTTACACGCCCGGCACCTTGTCGAGATTCGAGAAGTGCGCCCGAGGACCAGTGTGCGCAAACGTCCAGACGTTATCAGGGCTTGTTCGCGCCGGCGCACCTCGTTCGTCGTTAGCACACGCGCGCTTGCCTCGCATAGACGGTGCCGAGCAGGACTCGATTGGCCTGTATGCGCAGTCACTTTTCGATTTGCCCCGAAAGGCAACAACGAGCTCCTGCCTGCCTGCCTCCTATCCTATTGACCGCGATGCCGTTCGAGCCCGAGGTGGTGTCCGCGCCGGGCATCTGCACCCAGCGCCAAGTGGACGCGCTGTACGCGGCGCCCAAGTATTTCGTGGAGGGGACGGCCAAGGAGGCGTTCATCGCCACGGGCATCACCGTGAGCTACGCCGTGCTGGAGCGGCCGCCAATGAACGCGGCGGTGGGCGTGGAACAGGTGGTGCTCATCGCCGGCTTCATGCAGCCCAAGGACACGTGGGCGCACTTCATCGACTCGCTGTTGCCCAAGTGGAACCAGAAGCAGCGCGGCGTGGGGCTGAGCATCCTCGTGCTGGACAACCGCGGCTTCGGCGGCACCGACGCGCCCTTCGGCATGTACTCGACGCGCACCATGGCCGAGGACATCCTCGCGCTGATGGACCACATCGGCTGGCGCTCCGCTCACATCGTCGGCGGCAGGTGCGTCGTCAATGCAACCATAGCCTCTTGATGTTGGTATAATACTGACTTGGTATATTGGTGCTGGTACTGCAGCATGGGCGGCATGATCGCTCAGGAGCTCGCGCTGCTTGATCTCCGACGAGTGCGCTCGCTGACGCTCGTTTCCACTAGCCGCGATAGGTACAAGGCCAGCGGGCGGTCGCTCGGCTTGATGGTGCGCAAGACCTTCTCGCTTACGGTGCCGGCCAAGGCCAACAACATGGTCGACACGCTCTTCCCGCAGGAGTATCTGGCTAAGACGAGGATAGCGGAGACGGGAGACGCCGTGCGCAACGCAATCGCGCGAATGTATGAGCTACAGTTGAAGCGGTGGCCGGAGCCGAGTCTCAGCGGCGTCATCGGCCAGACCGCCGCAGTACAGACGCATTTTGTGTCGGACGAGCGGCTACAGGACATGAACGAGGCCGGCTTCCCCATTCTGATCGTCAGCGCCATGCTGGACGACGTCATCCCTCCCGAAGAGTCCATCGTGCTCAGGGAGCATCTAAACGGCGACCACGTGCACACGCTCTTCTTCGAAGTCGGTGGCCACGGCGCCATTTGCCAGTACGCTGATGAAATCGCTGAAGAATTGATTGAGACGATGTGTCGGGCGGCGCCGCCCCTCTGAAAGTACACTAGTGACGAGGTTCCCGTATTTGCCAAGCTGCCAGTTCAACACCGAAAGCGCAGCTCCCAGACAACAAGCAACAATCACTAAGCAGAAATATGGACGATTGAAAGCATGACTTCAAGTGTCCACTTAGTGCCAATAGCAGACATGTGAACAAAGTGCAGCTGAATAGCTTAGCACCCATCGAGAACACTTCAAAGCTGCTGTAACGGTTAGCGAGCAGCAACATCGCGCTGCATCTGGCCGTTCAACATGGCGTTGCGGCCGAGCTTGGATTCCACTTCCACGAGCTGCGCGTTGTGGCACTACGGTTGCAGGAACCAAGATGCGCTGCTAGCAGGTCCTGCATGATGGCGATGATCAGCGAGTGGCACGAGATGCAGCGCGTGCCCTCCGCCAAGTTGAGTGAGTTACGGTCCAGCGTGGTCATGGTGATCAGCAGGTACATGTAGTAGTTGAGATCGTACAGGCATGCAATCTGATCGGCCTGGTAGTCCATGAAGCTCTCGGCCATGAATCTTGCCGCCTTGAAAGATAGCAGGTGCCGAACTCCCCGCACAACCTGTAGCACATCATGCCATGGCATGATGATCATGCTCTGGTCGCGCGCCACCTCCATGCCCCCCAAACCCTCGAGGGCAGTGAGTCAAGAGGCACGCCGGTGGTGCAGCTGCCGTCCTTGTAGATGGAATCGGCGAGGATAGCAGACGACGGGAGCCCCACCAGGCGGTTGAGGCGGTTCGGGAACTTGGCGACGAACTCGAGCGCCTGGATGCCGCCAATGCTGGCGCCGACGACAGTGTTAGCGCTGCCAATTCTCAGGTCGCCCAATATCTTGGCCTGGCAGCGTGCCGTGTCGGAGGGCATGAGCTGTGGGAACAAGACCTCCTTGCGCCGACAGCGGCGACGTGACGCCGAAGGGACTTGCACGGGCAAATGACGCAGAAGTTGGACGCGTTGATGGCGGGGCCGATCATTTTCGTCCACCAGGCGGGGTGCGGCGTGGTTCGAGTGGGAGAACGAGGCAGCACCACAATGGTGCGGTCTCCGGACAGTGAGCAAGCTCTCATGCGATGGTCATCTCGGGGCAGCAGGGTTCTTAAATCCCACGTCTGCGATGACCTCTTGGGAGGGACAGTAACTTCAGTGGGAGGTATAATGTTTTTTTATTGTGCTTTGCACGAACTTTGGCATGCGATTAAGGGCTCTAAACCAACGAGCAAATCCTTCCCGGTGATCATATCTCACAGCCTGACTTTAAGTTAAGAGGAATTTCCATAAGTCAGTAAGAGCATCTCCAGCGGTTGGTCTCAAACACGGTTTTATCCTAAAAGTAACGATGTTAAGACTTGGCCGAGACTCAAGGCTTCCACCAGAAGGTCCTATTGCAGGTTCACCGGGACCTATAGATTGGCTTTCGAGGCTTAAAATAAGACCACAATCTTAATGCCACCCATACAAAACTGAAGAGTCGCCGTATTTAAACGATTGCACCAAGACTGAATGCAATTTTCACATGCGGGAATGGACTTATAAGACTCGCTTTAGAACTCACCGCTGGAAGTAAGTCGGTCTGCGCAGGTCTCAACTGTAAAATTGTGGTCTCAAAGACCCTGTTACGTCTTAGGATAAGAGCGTGTTCACTACGCAGCTAGAGATGGATATCTGCAGGGAGTTGGTGCATCTCCATCTCCAGCTTGTTCGCTACAACAGAGCGCATCTAGGTAAAATTAGCCAATCACAGTGCGACTCGCTCTCCTTCTCCTTGCTTTGCTGTTCTTCGTCGGCCGGGAACACTGTGCCCGAGACACCGGACGCGTGGCAAGATGGACCAAGCTGCCGATGACGCTTCGAGAGCTGCGCCTCCGTTCCCGTCAGCCTTTGGCGACCTCGTGCTGGCTGCTGCCAGTTTGGACATACCTGCCTCCGATGTTGCTCTTGCCCAGACTGTGTATGCGACACCGCCCACTACTCCACCACTCAAACGGAGCTGGATGCCCGCACTTCCTCGCTGGCGCTGCCGCATTCAGAGACACCCAGCCAGCTTTTTGCGCTCGGAGTTGTAGCTGCGTCAGCCCGCAACCAAGACTCACATCGCCGCGTTGGGAATCAGAAGAAGAAGGCCAATACTGGTGAAACGTCTATCGCTACGAAGCAACCCTCCTTTGCGTGGACGACTGCAGCAGCTGATGCCCTGCTGCGGGCTCGTTTTGACACGGTTGCAACTTTCTTCTCAAAGCTATGCTGCCGTACTTTGGCAGCAGCAATCAGAACACCTTGATCTCGTAGTAAACCAGCAATACGTAGGAAAGTTGGCTTGGTGCAGCGAAGATTGTCTTCAAACCAACTTGCATACGCGGCTGACTGTAGCATGGGCTCAAAGTGCAGTGAGGTCACGGTACGAATCTGTTCCTTAGGGCCTTGCGGCGCATCGTCGGATTCTCCTGATAGGAGGACTGCAACCTGTGCGACAGCTGAGCATGTAGCAACCAGTACAGCTTCCTCTTCGTTCATTGTGTGTGCGGCTGAACTGCCTCAATCTCCAGCTACTTTCTCCTTCTGGGAGCTGGAGAAGGAGACGGGGTAATTCTCCAGTTGTCACGTTGTGAACTAAACTATTTTGACCAATCAAAAGACAAGAAATAGAGTTGATGAGAGGTCATCTCCATCTCCAGCTACCTAGCGAACACGCTCTAAGACCCACCGCTGGAGATGCTCTAAATACTACTGAGATTTTGTGTTGGAATTGGAAAATAGTATTCTGCACAACTGCTTCTGGATTACTATTTTCGAACATCAGTAGTTCTGGGATGTCATCAGTATTTCTAAACAAGTCATTATCAGTCGTGCTGTGTTGTCTAAATCACTACGGAGATTACAATATAGCAATAGTACATGTATAAGTGCGTATATTTTTTTATTTTTCACTGGTGTGGGGTGAGACTACGGAGGGCCATTTCCAAGGAAGAGGGCCATTTCACAGAAATAGTACAAACGGGCTCCCCAAAACCAGCCGTTTTCATACATACTATACATAAGTCAATTTGCAGGTGTGCCCGTCCCAGCGAGGTGTGTCCGTTGCAATATCCAGTAGACTTGTCCATACAAAAACTACGATTATTAGCACCGTGCCCGTCCCATGAGAGCGTGCCCGTTGCAATCCCGGCGCCGACGCACCTACATTGGTCTCACTTCCGAAATGGCGCCCAAGCCGCAACCAAGACCTCCGCTGCCGCCCTGTGGCTACTTGCTTGTCTCTCTCGGCCTTCGTCCTAAGGTCCTTCGCGCCCTACAAGATGAAGCGAGGTCCGGTGCCATGGAGTCCAAGTATCACCCTATCTTCAAGAAGATGGGGGAAGACCGCGACGACGCCTGCCGCGAGATGGCTCGTGTCCACAAGGCATCCGGGGCTGTCGGGGATTTGAAGATTGCAGTGAAAGCCATCACCGACTGCCTCGAGCCTCGCTGGATTATATCCGCTGTCTCGATCTTGCGGTCCCACCCGGGGAGTGACGAGCAGGAAAGTCACCAGGACTACCCGGACAAGGTCATAGAAGCCGCAAGAAAGCAAGGTCGTGTTCTCGGCAGTATGCTGTGCGCTCTTGTCGATGGTGCACGTGTTCTATTCTACGATGGGTGCACGGACGTCAAGGACGAGTCGAAGGCGCACGTCATCGAAATTCCAGTCGGCTTCTGCATCATCTTTCGAGGGGATTTGATCCACAACGGGATGGCGTACGACCGCGTCAACCACCGGGTGCATTGTTACTTGACCTTCCGTGGTCTCAAATGGGAGCCAGACGTGGTTTCAAATGTGCTTCCACCTCACTCTGAATGCCAGTACTGCGGGATTAAGCTGGAGGAGTCGAATGTCATGCGTTACCACCGCCGCTACTGCCTCAGCAACCCCAAGGCGGGATCCGCTAAGGAGGGCCCTCATCGGGAGGGCCCTCGTAATAGAGTCGACATTTGGGAAACAGCCGGTTGCGACAAACGCACATTTGGGTCATTCGTAATAGGTGCATGTACCGAAATCGTCGGCAACGCTCTGTGGAAATGATACCGTTGCCGACGATCATAGCTCTACTATAAATAAGCATCCGAGGCGAAGTTTACTTAAGACTACCAGCAAATATTAAGAGGGGTTGAGTGCTTGCCATTTTTCAGATCTCGTTGTGCTGATGGTGCGCCCTGCTTTCCCAGCGTCTGGCTACGCCGTGTTCTACCTGCAAGTTTCCCAAGCGACTATTGGTGAGCTCTACCTAGAAGCAGAGTCTCGGACCTACAGACCTGTGTTTCGAGAAGTAGGCGGAGCCGAAGATGACATGTTCAGAAGTCAATCGCGAGTTCAGCGCATGAAACCTCCCCTTCGACGTGTTTCCGCTGCAATCCTTGAGGATGCAGCTACCCGCGACTCCAACTACAGACCCTGTGTGTTTTCGTACATGCACTCGCGACCTGGGGGTCTATACCAGGAACCTCATCAAGACTATGCAGACGAAGTGCGAGCTGCTGTGCATGCCCGCTACCCGGGCAGCATTCCGGCTAGTGTTATTATTGCCATCCAACCCGGGACAAGACTGCGGTTGTTTCCCCGCTGCTTTGACTTTGCCCGCCCTGAAATGGAGATTGAATTGGAGATCCCTACTGGATATGCAGTTGTGTTTCGTGGCGATTTATTTCATAGTGGTGTGGGGTATACTACTTCCAACTATAGGCTTCATTGCTACTTGTTTTTTCGAGACCTTGGTTGGAGACCAGACGTGGTGTCTAATTCGCTATTAGTATGCCAATACTGCGGTCGCACCGAACGAGTTTCGGCCCGAATTCGGCAGCACCGGTATTTCTGCCTGCAGAACCCGGATGGACTCGCGCATCGTATCGGTCGGCGGGAGCAGCAAAATCGCCGCGGTGAGTATCCCTGCAACTATTGCAGTCAAGTTTTTGAGGTGCAAAGCACGCTTCGTTCTCATATTTTGGCTCAACACGGTTCGACCTCTAGCCAGAATGTTTAAGCTCAAATACATGTTCACTTGTATATGTGCTGGAACCACTGTTAGATTCTTCGCCCGGTCGTTTTTACGAGGTAATTACCTGGCCGTTACATGCTATAAACATAGTTGTACTCGATAAGACACTAGAGCTGGCAGTGCTTCTTCGTCTTAGCACCCCCAGCATCCTTTCACCCGTGTTGTCGACAGGCACTACTCTAAGAACACCAACATCTACTCCGAAACGTGCATTACTACCACATCCAGCATCCGACGTGGTGTCGGCAGACCAACACACTACGAACAACAACACCTATCCAGACGCGAGTATCGATGCCTTGCCGCCACTCTGATGCTCACTACGAGGCAGTTTTTGTCGGCTGCGCAGCAAGTGAGTTCTCAGCTAGTGTCTCGGCTGGAGTTTCGGCCGGTGTCTCGGTTGATGTCAGTGACCTGGGTTTTAGCGTTCTGGGTAATTTCGATGTTGATAGCGATGGAGTAGCCGCTAGCGTGAACGCTGAGTCGTATCATGGGAATTCTGACGACGACGGAGATTGGGAAAGTGATGGCGAAGACGAAGACTCTATCATGGACTTGATACGAGAAGACTTCAACATCTCCAGCGACGTCCACGAATTCGACTTTCCTGACTTCAATTTGGACGATGATCTACCTATCTGTGATGAAATAGATTCGGAGTTGGACTGGGTTGACGAAAAATTGCTGGCTTTGGTTCGTACTCATCAGCTTAATGAGGAGGAAAAGCGTCTCGACAACTCAGCGGTGGTCGATGCAGACGACGTAGCGCAAACGGAGTCCGGTGAGATCGGAATGAGTGGGACCGACCTCCGTATGGTGGACGAAATCTACATTCTTCCACCACCACCTCAGCTTACGTACGAATCGCACGATACAGCTGAGGCAGCGATACATCAGTGGACATTGGAGCACCATTACAACGTCTCTCGACGACGGGTTCGGTATTTACCTGGTACCAAAATTGTGTGGGAGCCCAACTATGAGTGCGATCGAGCAGGGTGGCCAAAGTGCACGCAGCATTTGGTGGATAGCGGCCGACAGCGGTCCATGCGTGGCTCGAAGCGTTGTGGATGCCCCATGCGGTTAAAAATGTGCGCGGTCTCTAAGTCTGACATCGAGGGACCTTGGAAAATTGTACACACTCGTGATAACAGTGAGGTACACAATCACCCTGCGGTAGACGATGTTCGTGTCCACGCCGCACACCGGCAGCGTGCTGCAGCAGGTCTATCGCTTACTCAACAGAGCATGGAGGAAACTATTGTCGGTCAGACAGCTGCCGGTATTCCAGTGGCCAAGATTCGAGCGGCCATCCTCCACAGCACCCCTGGTTCTCTTGTGCTCCCGGAAGATATTGGAAACCTCAAAATGAGGGCGAGGAAGCAGGCCATGGCGACGCAGACCCCGCTTGAAGCTCTTTTTACTCTGTTGAACAATCACAATTTTTTCTTCAGATATGAGATCAACCCAGCCACAAACGAGCTTCTGTATTTGCTGTGGGCGCATCCTGCTACACTTCCTCTGTACAAGTTACACTGTGATGTTCTGATAATGGATGGTACGTTCAAGACAAACAAGTACTAGTGAACGTCATCGCAATGACTGGAATGAATACTGTTCTGCCCGTGGCGCAGTGTTTCCTACCTGGACAAAAAGACAATGACTACACTTGATTTTTGATGCGATTTCGCGAATTAATTGACGAGGATGTTATCCAACTTCCATCGGTCAATCTAACCGATCGTGAATTGGCCGTGATGAATGCTCTTGACTCTGTGTTTCCTGAGGTTCCGTCACTAGTCTGCAGATGGCATCTGAACCAGAACGTATTGGCAAAGGTTCGCAGCGTTCTCGGCCAGGTTCAAGTGGAGAACCCCCTTCCTGGCCAAGATAAGTGGGAAAATACTTGGCAGACCGAGGTCTTCATGTCATTCTTCTATAGGGCAGTGGAAGCAAGCACTGAAAGTGACTTTGAATTGCAATGTGTGATTTTGAAAGACTTGTCTCCGGTTCTGGCGGCCTACTTGGAGGCTCATTGGTGGAAGTACAAGACTAAAATCGTCCGGTGTTGGACGAACAAGTACAAGCACTTTGAGTATCGTGATACCTCAGCCGTGGAGGGTACCCATGCCCAATGCAAGCGTTGGCTACAGGACAGCAATGGTGACCTGTACACCGTATTTACTCGGTTACTACCATGGTGGCTCTCTTCAGCAAGTGCTGTAAGCATTCGTGCTGCTCGTGATGCTACGATTCTACCGTACCTCTTTCAGAACGACGGATACACTCAAGTAGGCCGGATTATCACGGTATGGGCTCTGCGAGCAACTGACGAACTCTGGAAGGAGACTATTCAAATGCTGACTGGAGCTAAACCGTGCCGTGGATGCACTGGTGTATTTCGGATCGTGAATGGGAGGCCCTGTGTACATGAATTGATTTTGATCATTCAGTCAAACGGTCGGATGAAACTACTTCCTACGATGTATGATCCACACTGGTGGATCTACCGCGACCGGATGGAGGCTTGGCGTCCACGCATCCTCGAACCCGCAAGTCTTCGCACTAAACGCAGGAAAGCCCAATCGCATCGTGCCAACCATGGGGCAAGTGGTACAGCACGAGATACCACGCTTGCAGAAAGAGTTGACCAAAACAATCCAGCACCAGCACCAAGTTTTCTGCGAGGGATGACGAGCCATCTCATTACCAGTTCAAGCCAACCAAGCCTTCATCTTCACGCAATCACGAATGGCAGGATATTCCCAAGTAATGGGCTTGTTCATGTCACCACTGCCTACCAACAGGACGGCTTCAGAGTCGACACAAGCCTGGCCGGGCCCTACCAAACGTCTCACGCACATCCACGCACTTGGGGATACGCTAACAGACACCCGTTTTAACTTTAACACGTATTCTATAAAGTCTACCTAACGTGTACAAGCACACCCACAACGTTTAGGGCAGTATGTACTACAATCGAAGTTGTACCACTGTACCATACAGAAGTTTCACAGATATGCAATTTGCAGATTTGCACCATACCTTGTACTTTAAACTTTTATAAGGGTTCTAGTGCGCAAGCATGTAAGCGCCAACGCATAAGTACCTTTCTCGTATGTTTCACTTTTAAACATGCAGGTAGATGTCGTTTACATTTTAGATGCAGAAGTGTTACACTTGCGCGTGTTGCAAAAGTGTAACAGAAATGCACCTTGCAGAAGTGTTACACTTCTGCAATGTACAAATATGTACCACTTCGGTATGATGCACTTATGCTACACTTCTGCAATTTATGCCTTTGTAACACTGCTGATGCATTACTTATTAGTAAAATTAATAAATAAGCCTATCAAAACATCAGAAGTGTAGCATGGTTTCCTTGTTAACTTTCTCACTACAGGTTACGTGTAAGTTAACCTAGCTGACGGACTTCATCCGAAGTAATAGTGTGCGGATGACATTTTGCGTACACAAGCCCTCGGCTTTTTCTTGACTGAAGCCACGATATTTCCTTTGACCCGAAGGATACCGGTCGCATGAGCAGTAGAGGCCACGTAGTCACAGGTTCGCTTTTTTGAGCTTGGGCCGCTGCGAGGAAGTTGAGGGCGAGGCGATGAGTTCACATGCGCCGAAGATGGCGTAGTATTAGCGGTCTTGTCGCTCATGACGGCCATCGAGAGGGCGGGATCAGCAATCGCTCCGTCAGAATTAGGGACCAAGACCGGCAGGTCTGGTTCAGATGCAGTATGCAGCGAGGAGGCAGCTTCTTCATCCAGCTCAGGCTCTGCTCCCAAATCACCAGTACAGGAAGAATCCGATCCATTTACCGGCACAGCGTTGCCACCCGAGTCAAGCTGGCTCTGCTAAGCGAGGGATCCCAAATACCTAGCATATCGGGGATTGAACGGCACTTGGCTGTCCACAGCCTCCTTAAATCTTGGGTTGACGCCGCTGTTGTCGGTTGTTAAGTCGCGCAACGTTGCCACGGCCTCTCGAGCCGAGCCTCGCGTCATTTCATGAGCTTCCATCGCTTCAGAGTCACTATGCAACAAATTATACGATCTCGTGGCAGATACATGAGCCGCCGTATCCCGCATCAACACGAGTAATTTGTCTCATGCTCCTGCCGAAAAGCTGCCAGCCACTTGCGCACCCAAGCACTCAATAACCGCGGCAGCAGACTCAGCAATACCATCGGCATCACGCTTCCGAACAGCCATCGCCATAGCAGCCAGCTCTGCCGACATCGCGGCCCGCGCCACAGAGCCACAGAGCTGATTGCGCTGTCGTAGAAGCTTGGCCAGAGCCTGGTCGGCCGCCGACTCGGGCGCTTGAACTGGGGCGTCCCAGGTTCTACCAACGCGCGAGTCAGTCGAAGTGATAGCAGCGCGTGCTCGATGTGGATAACGAGCGCCATCTTGGCGCTCGTCTAGCACCCCGTTGGGCGCTTCTTCCAGAGGGAACGTGTCGTCAGCAGTGCTCTGCAAGAGGCTCTCTCTCTCTCTTCTGGCGTTAGCGCTTTCCACTTCGCGCGCAGGGCCTTGCCGGCGCGATTGCTGAGCCATGCCTTAGTGACTGCAGCCTCATGCGCGCCGTCGAGCTCTTCTTGAGCGAAAACCTTCGCCTGGGCAGACAATCCCTGCACTTGCTGTAGCTGGGATGCCCAGGCGAAGAAGGCGCGGTGGAGACGCATGAGAGGTGGCAGAGTGCTTTATGAACCGAGCTCTCGTTTTGGTACATGTACCTATTACGAATGACCCAAATGTGCGTTTGTCACAATCGGCTGTTTCCCAAATGTCGACTCTATTACGAGGGCCCTCCCGATGAGGGCCCTCCTTAGCGGATCCCCCCAAGGCCGCCGAGAATGAGCTCAAGCGCCGTGCTCCGCCGAAGGGGAAGGGCCTGTACATCTGTAATGTCTGCGGAAAACCGTACACTCCACGACAAAAATGTATGGACACCACAAAAGTAGCTGTAACTTCGTCATTTTTTATCGTTTTAAGGTGCGGTTTGGACTAGAGTTGCAGAACACGCTGATAAAGATCTGCACGCTGCTAACACGCGCGCTTTTGCGCTTCTTCAGGTAGCTCACATACAAACCACTGGTTCTGCCCAGGTGACAAAACTTATGGACAGCTAATCCCCATACAAAATCCTATATTAACCAAAACCCCTTACAAATGATACGACTTGGACTTTGTATGGGGCGACAAAGGAACCCATGATTTCTCCACTCTACCTTAGTACTGAGCCATATATCATCGACCAACAGTTTAGAATGGAGAAGACAATCGTATATCCAAGAGATAGCAGCATACAGAGCTACAAATTGGCACTAACTAGGATGCAACTGAACGTGCCTCGCAAATCATCAGATACTACATGGTAGCCACCACTCGAAATTCCAGTCGCTTACTACTTGCTCAGTTTTGTGCGATGGTCGATGTATTTATCACAGGTTACTAAACACACCTTCTAGTACACGATAATGCCATCAGACCTTTGTCTAACGTCGCGAGTATCGCCGTGAGGCTGGTTCCTTTGTCGCCCCATACAAAGTCCAAGTCGTATCATTTGTAAGGGGTTTTGGTTAATATAGGATTTTGTATGGGGATTAGCTGTCCATAAGTTTTGTCACCTGGGCAGAACCAGTGGTTTGTATGTGAGCTACCTGAAGAAGCGCAAAAGCGCGCGTGTTAGCAGCGTGCAGATCTTTATCAGCGTGTTCTGCAACTCTAGTCCAAACCGCACCTTAAAACGATAAAAAATGACGAAGTTACAGCTACTTTTGGTGGTGTCCATATCTTTTTGTCGTGGAGTGTACGACAATGACAGTTCGTATAGAACTCATGTAGCTCGTGGGCATGCAAAGAAACAATTGACTGAACAGTAAGTTTGGCAGCTACAAACAGCAATAAAGTTGGGGTGCTTTATTCAAATCTCAGTGTGTGTCTAGGTTTCGCACTAACTTCTAATGCAGAGAGGATGAGCTTTCAACTCCAGCTATCTCATGTTGGCGATGTCCTGTGGTATCACCTACGTACCAGGATCTGCTTGAAGCAAACTAGCACAGACTGCAGCTGCCGATGTCCCAACGCTTGTCTGGGCATGAACAAGCTCTTGGAGCGACACCGCTGGGGCCATCTCAGTGGCAGCTGCAGCTCGTCGGCGATGATCTGGGTGAACTCGAGCGTCTTCAGACGGAGGGTGGTTGTGAAGCCGGCTCCCGTTCCGAGTGTGAACGATCATCCAGGCTTCTCTTGGGTCATCCTCAGACACGGCACGCAGAGACTGCGCGCGCTCGGATCCCATTCCCGAGCTCAGCGAATGCAAAGCTATCTCGCGCATGTTCATTCTTGGAGACGTGGAGACTTCGCTTCCACGGTTGAGTAGGTTGGTCAGTTCCATGGCCTGATACTTGATGTGTCCTGCCGTTTGCCGCTGCTGGTTACCAGGAAAGTTGATGAAGAACAGTATCGGTGTGGCGTAGGTTGAAGGTGCTGACACGACGGGTGGCTTGGCTGCTCGTGGAGTAGTTCTCATCGGAGATGGCGGATTGGCTGCTACTGCTAAGGGTGAGCTGAGTTGAGCTTACCAACTGCAAAGTTGACTTGTTGTGTTGTTTCTGGTGTTGTGGTTGTAGTGCTGACGAGGAGTTCTTGAAGTTTTGCTTGAGCAAGCCTGCGAGAGTGTTGCTGGAGGGGCGCTGCTACTGGGGAGCTGCTGCTGCTGGGTTGTTTTCGAGAGTGAGGATCTCGCATTTGAGGCGCTTGATAGCAGAGATGAGGGCCAAACAAGTATACTGACAGCAACATTAATACACAGTTTTTGAGGACGATAACTTCATCCTATAATAGGTTTCGAGGACGAGTGCTACTACTGCTTTAAGATCGTCCTCTGCAACGGACACACCTCGGTGGGACGGGCACACCTGCAAATTGACTTATGTATAGTATGTATGAAAACGGCTGGTTTTGGGGAGCCCGTTTGTACTATTTCTGTGAAATGGCTACAGTCCAGAACACACACGAGTATCGAAACTCTCAACGAGATCGATTACATAGTGTTTTTTCATGTTCTAATAGATGCAAAATGTAAAAATAACATTACCACCGATACATGTCAAGATTGCAATATCCCCCCGCTAGGCCTGGCTTGGCGTGGTTCGTCAGGCACACGTACTCGTACGAGCAGGTGCTAGTCAAACAGCTACACACTGTCGAGGTAGTGAAGGCCAGCGACGACCAGAGGAACACCGTCACGGCTAGCACCAACACGGAGGCCAAGAGCACGCACTGCGACGCAGCAGTCTCACGTGCTCGGCTTAATGTATAGTAGTGCAGTACTATTAATAATACTATAGCTGAATACTAACTCGTCGGAAAAGTACTGATCAGTAGTTTTCCTGGAACAAATCCAAATCTGCAAATCTCAGTAGTATTTACTGACTTATGGAAATTCTTCCTATGTTAACCCCCCCCCCCCGCACTCGCGAGGTTTTTCGGTCCCTGGCTTTGATCAATATACACCATGTTAAAGATGTATACTACATGTTAAAAGTATGCGTATTTGATCTAACTATTGCCTTCCGTAAGTACGACACATTTCTATAACCTACGGGAAACTGGTTGACACAGACAGACGCACATGTTGTCTAAGACGCCCTCGGATGGGTAGCTAAATTTCAACAGGGTGTATATACTACAACTTGCAGTGTCCTTTTTATTGATGGTGAACAAAAATCAAACACAAGGGCGGGTCTATGCCGGAAGTATCCTATGATTGCATCCCAACATACCAGACTATGCATGCCTTGAAAACAAAAAACCTGCTGCACCTAGCTAGCAATCAAGTGAAACGACTTCCCAACCGCGGGCTAATGGCGTCTTAGCATTATTATAGCGCACGTCCTGTTCGGTTTTATTGGATTGGGCCACCTCCCCAGGCTGCATTCTCTCTGAGGGGTGCATATTAGTACTTACATGCGCACTATAACCCTTACATAGCAAAATAGAGTGTCTACGGTCTCTGTGCAAATCCTTGGAAATGGCCCTCCTTAGTCTCACCCCCTGGTGTGCGATCCAGCATTTGCTGTCTGTAGCTTGATAAGGCAATATGTTGTACTGCGGGTTGTTGTTCTGTCTACTAATCAGGGGAGAGTCCGAGTGCATTTTGATTAGCTCTATTTGCGGTAAAATGAGAACTCAGGCCAGAAGTCTCATTCGCATGATGGGGAGAGCGGTTCCTGTTAGCAATCTGTAAGCAATCAAATAATCAGTCTAATCCACCATTCTCTGCAATTACTACTCGTTCTTTGTGCATATTTTCACCTACACCTGTGCATTTCACGTAGAAAAAGACGTGCTGTTCTTTTTCATAACATGTAGTCATATACACCGTATGAGTGCGGGGGGGGGGGTTAAAGTTAAGCTAATCAACCGCCAGTACCAAGCACAACGCAGAGCAAGAACGGAGCGGTTGCCACTGCAAGAATAAATCGGTTGTCGCTGCAAGAAAACAAACTGATAAGGTCCCCGATAGAATGGCGCCAACTCCTTGCATAATAGTAAGCACTGATTTCGGCGGGGACGTTTTCTTTCGCTCTCTTCGCCGTGGCGTTGCGCGTTAAACCAAGCTCGAATATCAGAGCACGGCATATAGTAGCAGTAGAAAATTTCTACTAGAAATGTTTGGTAGGACAGGAAACGCTGACTTTAAAGCTGCTTGCAGCTCCTCGATATAAAAACAGGGATGTTCTTCAATATTGTAGACGTAGTTTAGTACGATAGATCGCCAACGCATGCCAATCATCGACTAGAAATCAATCAGACAAAGCGAGCGAGTTAGAATTAGAATCAGTGCCGTAGTATTGTCGGATTTACTCCAGCCATTCAACGTAAGTGAACATAACTCAACGTTAACTCGTTGTCTTAGCAGCTATTCTATCTTAAATCGACGAGTTAGCCTCCTAACTCAATGATGGGCTAATCACCGTGATTTGCTAAAACAACGAATTACGTCGTTGTTTAGACAGAAATCATACACGGCACAATATTATTAGATACCTTTTGCTCACGTTTTTACGGATTCTGCTGCCTCCCTGAGTTTCGTAAATTGTAAAATTGCCAACGACACTTTTTGCCCACGTATATTCAATTAGGTATGAATATCAATCTACAACGCCGGCAGCGTTGTTAAGTACCACGCGAGCTTTCCAGCTCTAGTTGATGGCCCCTGGCGCTAGGATCAAGCGTTTACACTCGTCCGAGGTGACGAGAGGAAGTCGGGTTGGTGCTGATCTCGTCCTGAGTGTTCCGAGCGCAAAACCTCAACAACATAAACGTAAAAACCTTCAGTATTGACACCGGGGAGCCTCGAACTACGTGTGCATCGGACAGATGAAGAAGCTCTCGTGGATGCGTCCAGCGTTGACACTCGGCCCAGGACCAGCTTCATCTACCCGAAATAGGTCTTTCGTCACGCGTTCTGAGAAGGTGAGGGTCTTGAACCCCATCGTCTATACACAAGCACCGCCTTACAGTAAACACTAGCGTTTCCGCCTTGTTTGCGATTGATTTCAGCTAAGCTTAACCTGTTCGTAGAGTCAGACGATTTTCATCCGTTCATCATGCAGCCACTCGGAAATGTAAAAGCTGACTGGCACGAGGACCAAATCTGCTCTCCTTAAAAAATATTTTTTTCTAGCTAATACGCCTTACGGCGTACTTGAAAGATCGATTTGACAACCAGTACCGCGTGCGGTTTCCTTGAAGGCTTTTGGTGTGAACGTAGACTTATACTGGGATAGGAAGCAACGTTAGTGCTGCTATCGCAGACCAAATAGGATTATATCAAACGATGACCCCTCTTGACATCTAACTGGTATATTTTCTTGAAACCGGTATGACCCCAGTGATGCACTGGGCCCTCCATATGCGTGGGTAAATCGAACCGGTAGAATATTTATTACTCCGGTATGAATCCGGTGCCGCACTGGGGCCTCCAAAAGGTTTATATGCGTCCAACCGGTGTGCAACCGACGACACTGGTATGATTCAGTACGTATATTCGAGCAGTGAGCGAATTGAAGTAAAGAGAACGATTGAGGCGGACTGTAGTAGCACTTGAAATAAGCATTTGCATTTTCAAGTATAAAACTTCTACAAGCTGCAAACAGATCTCAGCCAAGGTGCGCATTTGTTGTAAAGCGTTGCCAGTTGATATCTGGCATCTACAGTCTTAAGGACAATTTTCGGGCAGATGCTGCGGCTGCGAAGCAGGCGCAGGAGATGACCGTAGCTCATAAGAAAAGTCATCAATAAAACTAAAAAGGGGGTTTATACCAAAATCCTCCTATCCCAGCCTTCGCGGAGCCCTAGTACTACTTAGAGCAGCAAACAACGGACGCGTTTGCAATATATACATATCGTTGGTGTATTGTCAAAACCTCGAACATGTTTGCAGAGTACACTACTCTGCAGCATGTACTTCATGCGTGTGTACTACTCATGCAAGCTTCACAAGCGGGTCAACCTTATCGCGCTTGACGAACAGCTCATCCAGCACAAAATCACGTTCTGCACCAAGTGCGTTGAGGGATGCTTTAAATGGGATACCCAGAAGCCTGTTCAGAGCCAAGCTGTTGGTTATGAGGTCTACAACGAGTTTTTGATCGCCTTGCGGTCAGATATGGAAATATATAATAACTGTGTGGCAGTAGAAAAAATATGTTTAGCCCAACTGACCGGGAATATCTTGCCTTTAACGACGGCTGCAACGCGTCAAATTTCATCTTATATGATCTAGGACTAGTGAACATAATACTTCTCGTTCGGCTTCACCTCGATACAAGCACAGCGGCGCTGCCGAGGTCGTGCGGTTGATGCGCATGCCGTCTATTTGTACAACTCGTAAAATTACCATTGAAACTCGATAAAATAATTTGTGCACTGTTTCCATAAAACATTATATGCCAAAGGTATATCATGATACGCAGGATGTCGTTCTGCAATTTTACCGCCGTATTTTGTGCGGAAACGTGTGCTCGAAAACGCGTAAATTACGTGGGCAAAAGGTGTCTATTACTGGGAATTATGGACATATTTTACATTTTCTGACAACAGGCACTCTCCGGTTTGGTTGTGAGTTGGTTATGAAGATAACATCCGCCACCGTAGCTCGTGAACCCGCGTACATGTGGACTGAGGAGGTTTTAGCACGTAGTAGTCACCAAGCAGTCAAAATGCAACGAGTTGTAGTTGGATCGAGCTGTCGCTCGCCACAGCAGCGAACTATTATCGACGGAACGCAGCGGTGGACGTACACTGTTGCACTTCTCGGGGCTCAGCCAGCCGGGTGCAAACTTGGAGAAGCGTGGAGGGCGAGGCGAGGTAGAGAGGCTTGTCGAGGAAGTAGTCGGAGTTGGATGCGATTGGAGACTTGAGGACTTGAGAGGAAATGTGAGAATGATTCATTTTTGTTTGGAGTCTGCTAAGGAAGCGAGAAAACCTTCCGCACTGCCAGGACATGTAGGAATCTAGCTACTCATACAAATAGACTGACCTATTCCACCTACAGGGTGCATACTTGAATCTGCTCAGTCCGGTCCAGGAGCAACTCATCTTGAAGCCATAATTTGAGTCGAGTAAATCTTCGACCTCCGAACCGATGAGAAAATGCAACATACACAGCAAGGTGGCGCCCACCACGAAGATTAAGGCGCGGGTGTGCAGCTGATGTAGGTAGGTGGCAACAGCAAGTCCGCTAGCTAGCGTCACATGAAACCGGTAGCTGGAAGCTCGTAGCTTGAAGCTGGAAGACAGCGGAGGGGGAGTGGTGTTCAAAGAGCACAATAACAGTAGTGGGCAAGGTAAGGGGCTTGGCGGAAATGCACATGAGCCCAGAAGACGAGGACGCACGGACAGTATAGTGTAGAGGATGTTATGATTTGCCTCCGGTTTTCGCCGTTGGCGCAACGACGGTGGTCGCCTAATGGAGCGAAGGTGCTGGCGAAGTCGTCAGAAGGAGAGAGGTCGTGGAGACAAGTGAGGAGAAGCTGCGGAGCAGCAGACAGGTGTTGAATTAGTTCGAGTGGTTGGTGGAGTAGCTGCAGCCACAGTGCATTGAGCAAGTAGGAGCTCAGTCTCAATTCGGCAGGGTCAAGCGCAAGAGGGCGAAGGTAGAGTGAGCAAAGGAAACGAGTTGTGTACTTGTGCATTAACACTACTTGGCTACTCCTGTTTCCTTATCGGTGGCGGGTGCGGCAAAAATCGAGCGGCAAGGTCCTCGGGGAAGCGCGCACACCTACCTGGATCGTAATAGAGGAGCATAGCGAGAGACGGCCGGGGCTGCAGGGTTCGTCAACGGCGTTTTGATCGAGGGTTTTGTGCGTGCAAATGCCCATGCAGACAACAGGAAATCCGTCGCGCTTTATGCCTCGACACACGTTCGTATAATGAGAATCCTTGCTCGTCGTCACGTGTAGCGCATGCGACGAGATGCAGGAAGATATCTATATACCGTGAAGGTAAAGCACAATTTTACGATTTATCGCCCCTCCAACTGAAATCTTTTAAACGAGGACTACCAACAACACGCGTCTACCCCACACGGTCGGCGGAGATAGTGGGATAATAAAACCTGAAGATCAGCTCCGATCCCTTTTACGTGCCTACCTGCATGCTGTAGGTCAGAGAAATTTACCCTATGATAATATAATAGCACCGTTAGCCACTCGAATACACTGTGCAATGCTTGGTTTTGCGCTAATCCAACTATGGTCCCTCTGAATGAAAGGGTGCCAGTCTCAGCTACAAGTCAACTATACTGGGAGGTCCTCGATTTACGCCCTACAACTATAATACGCCGAGATCACTAATACATCTCGGCACTTCGGCCGGAGGCCGCCCGGTCGCAGCCATTTCCCGATATCACATATATGTTGGCGCCAAGTCGCGTAACTTAGACCTTTACTCAGCTCCCGTATCACTTAGCCATATTCTGCTATGTACTGCAACAAGCCTGGTCAGCTCTTTCCACAGAGCAATCACCTCTGCTTCTGATAGGGTAACTCCACTCATTAACGCTTGGTTTTGCTTGACTCGGTCCGGTGAGGTGACCATGACTGCAGTATGAAAGTTTTAAATTGACATACCGTTAGATCAATTTCACATGTGCCAGCCTCGGTGGGCACGAACAAAGTTGTTTAAAAGAAAAAAACAATAGAAAATAAATATACTGGTACGTCACAAATCCTGAAGCAGATATCGCAGGGTATAGAGATACAAGGGTACGCGTTTCGTCTGTAAAGGATTGTTGGTAAAGCTATGCATTTTATCCAATCTGGTGTAAACCCGCGCTAAACTGATAGCTATTGCATCAATCACTTTTAACAGGCGGTGGTTATTTAGTGACTCTATAGACATATTGAATTCAAATGAAAAAAATGAGTGGCTACAACGCTGCTAATGGAATCGCAGCGCAAAAGCAAGTGACGCGTATGATTCGCTATCTCTAACAGCCTCATTTCCTAATTACCACTATGGAGACTACCAAGCGCCCCGGCAGAAAGCGAGACGATGCCTGGGAGGCTAACATATAAAAGGAAGACGCGGTAGGGTATGTAAGTGTTCGTTGCCAAAAGTCTAAGCGCTGCCCTATAAGTTGCGCGATCGTCTGATCCTACGTGGAATCAGAAACTCGGTATGCGCATTTTTTGCAGCGTATGCGTCTTTAGCAGAAAAATCCTCCAGTATGCGCCTTTTGCAGTTTTCTCCCACGCAGGACCAGTTCAACAAGCTGTTCGCCTTATGGCTCTTGACCACCGGTATGACATTCTACAAGGCGCAGCACAAAACATGCGCCGCGGTGTTTCGTCTGGTCAGCCCGACCGTTAGTATCCCGTTTCAACCCCTCATCCGTGGACGCCTGCTAGAAGAGTGCTACGACGACTCGATTCGCTAAATGAGCGCTGCACTCGCGAGGCGCTTCAGTTCTCTCGTCACCGACGGCTGGACGGATATCAATGGCATCGCGGTAATCAATTACCTCGCCATTTGCGGCTACCAGACATTTTTCTTGGAGTCAGTATACACAGGCAGCACCAGTGACGCCGTGCTTCTAGCCGACGATATCCAACGCGTGATCAGAAAGGACGACTTCATCGATTTCGTGGCGGTTGTGACCGACAATTCACCGGCCAATCAGAATTCATGGACGATTCTTCAAGAACCTCGCCGGGAAATGTTTTTTCTCGGTTGCGCCGCACACACAGTCAATCTGCTGGTGAAGGACGTGGTGGCGTCGCTCACGTGACTGGAGAAACAAGTGACGGACTTCAACGACGTCGTCGTCTTCTTCAAGAAGAACCACAAGTTGTGGTACCAACTGAAGACTCTCCAGCAGAAACCTGCTACACCGGACGGCGGTGCGCCGCCGGCTCTAGCGCTGCCGTGTGATACACGGTGGGGGTCTATTATAGCGTCTCTTCAAAGCGTGCTAAAGTCTGAGAAGATTTTGCTGCAGCTGGAATCAGATCGTGGGTTCCCGAGCGTTCCAAGAAGGCTGCGCGCCGCGCGGTGTTCGACGTCGTCACGGGTAAGACTCTCGTGCCCCAATTGCAGAAGGCAGTCAAGATCTTGGAACCGCTAGTCAAGGACCAACCTCGTTTCGAAAAGAACAGGGCCGTGCCGTCGGAGGTGTTCGACATGGTTTTGGTGCTACCGAGCGAAATTCCGCAGCCGCCTTTAACGGCCGCGGAGCAAGCGGCTGTTCGCTCGAAGATTGCAGCTCGGTTCAATTTCGTGTATGGTGATGCTCATGGCGTAGCGCACTTGCTGGACCCCCGCTTTGCTGGCGTTGGGATGGACGTTAATACGAAGGAAAAGGTCGAGACATTCGTCACCAGTTGGCACGGGTCGGAGAAAGCCGATGATGTCATGGTAGAGCTGAGCCAGTTCCATGTCTCGTCGCCGCGATGAAGGCCTCGCACAAAATGGGTTTGCTCAAGAAGAAGAAGATCGCGGTAACAGACTTCTGGAGCGGGCTCAGCTCGTTCCCATTGTTACAGGCTGTGGCAGAAGTGGCGTTCAACGTTGTGTGCTCAAGCGCAGCAGCAGAGCGCAATTTTTCAACGCACAAGTTTGTGCACTCCACCTTGCGTAACCGGCTCGCGCCAGAACGCGTGGAGAAACTCGAACACATTTTCTTCAATGCGAAGAACTGCTCGACGGACGAGCTTGAGTTCTTGGACGAGTTTGTACCTGTCGAGGACAAAGATGACGCGGCCGACATCAACCATGACGTCGACTTCATCTACTACTAAGAACGAGGTACAGTTGCAGTAGGTTGGCGTTAATCATGGTGGCAATGAAGAACGTTCGCCGAAATGACCTGTGGTTTATACCTTATTCCACGTGCTCGTGGGTGGGATGTGGTATATCCCAAATCCCATTTATTCTGTCTCAAGCCCCCGCGAACACTGCGGGGCTGCAAACTGCCCAACCCCAGCGGAAACTCGTAGACAGGCATTAACACTTGTTGCGAGTAAGTAAGAAGTTGCCGCCGCGTCCGGGGCCCACCACGCATTCATAGGACCGTTGCTGGTAACTGAATAGCGAGAGAGTTCGCGCGCTCAGGCGCGTTGGAGAAGGCTTGATTTGTGACTCACATTTGTAAATAATATCATTAAATCGGGGTCACATGACTCCCGCGTTAATGACTTTAATTTAAAAAAAATAGGGGAAATCCTGTTTCGGGGCCGTATTTTTGAAATAATTCTGTTTCGGGGCCGTAATGTTCAATTGAAGCGTTATTCTTGGAACATACCTTGATTTGGAAAATATCCATAACGTACCCTGTAGCCCAAGTGTATCCTGTTGCCCATGTGTTACCAGTAACGTATCGTGTTTCCGAAGTGTTACCTATCTCCCACTCGTACTCTGTAGCCTACGTGTAGCCTGTAGCCTACGTGTACCCTGTAGTCCATGTGTGGTGTTCCCATACATCTACCTCAAACAACAATCTGTCTGGCGTCCTCGCGAGATTTCTGTCGCTTCAGCCGTTCTTTTTTGCGCCGCTCGCACGTTCGGACGTTATGCCCTGGCTTGGAACATCGGCTACAATGAACGGGCGAGTCGTTGTTTAGATACTCCGAACGGTTTCGCATTCTCAACTTCTTCGGACGACCACGGGTAGCTTTGATGACAGGAGGCTTAGTCGAACCAGGGCTCAGGAGTCCAGCATCAACTGGAAACGCAGTCTCTTTGTAGCAGAGTCGGAGTTGCTCAACAGAATAGTACTCGGATATCGAATTGAGAGGGTCAATACCCACCGACTGTAACGCAGTACACGCATAAAGACAGGGGTATTGCAGCTCCGTCCACAATCCACATGAGCACAGCCGTGTAGCTATGTCCACTTGAGCATACGTATTCTCTGATACGCGCATCACTTCGATCACTGTGTCGCTGATGGACTGATAAGGCGCTGACGTCCCAATGCAATGTTCTTCATCACCTTTGCAACCACCCATGGAACGAAACGCCCCGATATGGAATCGCTGTCACGGCTCAGCTGCCACCTTCGCCCTTGAACGTTTCTCGTAAGACCTTGAAGACACCCTAGCCACGTGCCCTCGCGTTCACTAAGCAGCCAACTGTTTGCTGGCTCAGCAATGTTTGTCGTGACCTGACCAAACCGTGGTCGCGGAAAGAAGTATGAAATCCAGTTCTCCGTAGCGATTCCTGCAACACACCAATTACGATCTGGTTAGGCTACACGGTACTCATAGGATACACACCGCATCCCGGCTATAGGCAACGATTCGGCTACAGCCGCCACTGTGGACACACGGGACACGGTACAGGCTACGCCCCTACCTTTTAGATACTCTGCTGCCGCTGCGTTTTCATCTTCGCACTCATCCATCAGTCTGGCGTACTCCGTTGATGTCGTGACCTTTGCAAGCTTAGTGATCTTTCCGTTGAAGTCCGTCTTGCACTCAGTCTTCGTGTTCTTCTTGATGTGGAAGCAGCAGTACCCGTGCGGTACCTCAGGGAGTACGTGAGCCACCGCCGAGCTGAGACCTTTCTCGCGATCGCTCATGACGGCAACATCGACGTTGCTGATGAAAGTACATGCTTCCTTCAGTTTCTCAAGAAACCACTCCCAATGTTCGCCATCTTCTATCATCCCAATCCCAGCGGCCAAAACAATAATCTCTCGGTTGGGACTGAGGCAGCTCGCAATGAATAGAGTGCCTCGCTCCTTCGACTTTAAATGACACGCGTCTAAAGCAACCACGGGGAGGGCAAACTGCCCACGCTGTGTCCATGCACCAAGCGCCAGAAACCAGTGGAAGTAATTGTCGCTTCCCAGGATGACTTTGGCCTTCTTGCTGGACGTCGTCATGTCGGTCGTCGGGGAGGGCTTGAGCTTGTTGCCCTATTGTTGGTTTGTAGCTTGTGGTTGAGGGGGCAAATTCCGAAGTGAGATTAAATGTTATCGTCTCTCAAACTACTCTCTAGCCTTCCCCTCCTGCTTTCCTTCTTGTTCTCCTTGTGCTCGTTGGTGCCTCTCATCAGACGGATTACTCCCGCGTTTCGCTTGACTTGATCTCAGTATATATGGGTCTCCCTGACCAGCCATTGGTGTATCCAGAGCCCGGCTGCCGCCGGCTCTCCCGTCGCCGTCGGATCCTCCGAGTTATCGGCGGATGTGTCCACACGTTCTCCTCGTCCATGTGCATCTATTGGCGGCACTCCCGAAGACTCATGAACACCTATGAGTTCAAGTTAGTGTTGCTCCAACGGGCTCCCGGAGGTAGAAATGGAGATCTGCGTTCGTCTCCAGTTGTGTTGTTGTACAGAGTGACGTTTTGACCAATCAAATTCCGTCGCGGTTCGATAGTGCGGCCGTCTCCATCTCAAGCTACGTAGCGAACAGGCTCTAAGCAACTCAACGTAGCAACTCGACTGAGATGCTCCACTTCTAGTAGTATTCATAAGCTAATATGTACTGTAAGATTGAATCACTCAGACTGACCTGTGAACCAATTCTGTACATGTACATCCCGTTCGCGGACCGATTGCTCTCCTGTTCGTGACATGCAGCTGTGCATTGCTTACGTACTGTGTTTACTTTGAACATCCACACCGACAACGCGAGAGTCAGTTCCCCGGTCACCATCGTTGCTGTGGTCGCGTGGCGGCTAAACTTCAGTATACAAATAGCTTTTGACGTCGAGCCGGTCTTCTTGTTTTTGCGAAGCCAGACTGTCTCAATACTGGAGAAGACCAAAGGGGTCCTTTGGTCCTTTGAAAGGACCTCTAGGGCTTACAACTCCTTCGTAAACGTGTGGAAGGACTTCTGTGACACAAGTTACAAGCCGAGAAGAGCCCCGCACGCGGGGCTCTCTTTACCGGTTTAAGTCGAGCACGTGGGGCCACCCACCTCGCTTCGCTCGGCGGGGGAGTTTGCCTCTGTTGACTGTATTCGTTTCAAAATCTAAATCTAAATGAAAATATGGATTTCAGATTATACTACTTAAGTAAACGTTCTCACCGACGACGCCCATATTGAACACACGATAAAGTGCTAATCGGCCAGGGTGTACCCGTAGTTCGGGTTGGTGTAGTGACCCTCACGCCTGCACATATTCAAAAACCGAAATATTTCAGACAGATATCACATCTTCTGCCGTTTGAATTCAAGGACGACGTGTCTTAGTAAATGATTATCATACCATTTCCATTGAGGTGTATGTCTGAAACCCACGGCATAGTGAATCTTGGCAGAAGCCTAAAACTACGTAAGTCCCAATTGCAACAAACGTCTAATCATCAACGACTTGAGGTATAATTACAATGTAGATGACGCTAATAGTGCAACCCAATAACATTACAGCAAAACAACAGGGGCAAAATCCGCGCACCCGAAATGGATCGTCGGGGCGTGGCCCTGCTTGCCCAAAACCCAAGCGCTCAATTTAATTAGATGACTGACAAATCGTCTGTGGGCCTGTCCTGGACTGCTCGTGCCGACGACTGCACATTAAGCTTGTTGAGCGGACGCATAATACGCGTTACAACGCTGCAAAGCTGCCCGGAAAGAGTACAATCCGTTTATTTCAATCGAATTGAAAGTTGTAAGAAAAATACGTAAGTAAGCGATTTTTAACAATAGCACAATACTGAAAAACTAAATTTGAATTTGAATTTGTTGCGGTTTAGACGGCTAACTACACCCAATGCCGCGCACTGCTGCAGCGTCGCCTACGGATCATGTGCCTCCAGGACACGAGCCCGCGGCAGTAGCCCAAACACACGGGCACACCTCAATCAAACGCCACTCCGGCATGTGACCAATGCATACCCCTACGATATCCAAGTGCTAAAAGAAATAATAACCCCTCCTCTCGCGCTTCGTCGATCCGGAGTTCACCACCTCCACGCGTCCCTCCAACACGTCGTTCACCCTTGCCCGCCGCACGCCTTCGCTCTCTTCTCGCACTCCATCGATCCGGCGTTTACCACTGGACCACGCTCGTCGGAATTATATCGCAACACCACCATTGCCCCGAAAGGCAGCATGGCCAGCAGTCTGCTCTCTCTCCCCTATCTTTTGCTTCGTTGTTACCGTTATACCATGGTTTGCTTCTGCGTTGCTTACCGTCTTACTTAGCCTGTTTCGCCGCCAGGCTGACACCCTTCGTCGACCCTGGCCACCTTGACGATGCCATTGCTGCCGTCTTGCTCCTTCCTGGGCTCCCGAGGGAGGATTCCTCCCAGGTAGACCAAGGACCCGGAGATCCTTGGAGGCGACCCCTGACACTTCTCCGCGACCCGTTAAATTTTGGAATAAGCAGCACCCATCTACTTACAACTCCGCCGAATTGATTCCGAGATCAATCGTATCCGGTCAGTTCTCCATTCGTACTTACTAGCTGTGAATCGCACTTTTGTGGATACTATAGTTTATCCTAGTAAATCTTTGGGAGTTTTCATTAGACTGCTGCTGTATTTACTACTGTAGTACTGTATCACTACACACCCTGTCTATTTCTGTGTAGCATGCTACTATAATAATGCACACCATCCGTATTACCTGTAGTGATACAGCTCAAAAGGTGATTAATGCGAAACCCTGGACGGAGCAGGCCTTTGTATCTCGACACCTCGACAAATTACTATATGTTTCCGCTTCAAACTGAGGCTATGTAACGAGCATGGAGAAGGCGTCGAAGAGGGAGAGGTCCAGTAGGTAGGCAGGCGCCCGTGCGTTGGACTAGATACAGCGGGTACAGCGGGGATAGGATTGAGTAGGAGGATACCGAGCGGCGGTCGGCCGACTCGACCCTCAGTTGCGGTTTTTCACAGGATTGTGGAGATTCAAGACTAATATACACGAGTTGCGCCGAACGCACGGGTTTCCGGTCTTTGGAGCAGCAACGAAGAGCGTCGGCCAAAGCGACGGCAATAGCGAAGGTATGGCAGTGGTAGACCAGTGCACAGATGAGGGTAGTGTTCGAGTAGGGCGGCAGGACTGTGGAGAGAGACCACAGGGGCTGTGGTGTTGGAGCAACTCGGCCGAGTGGCGCGGAGCTCGCAGGTGCCAGTGTGCGAACGGCTCTTGCTGCCTGCTGTATATAACTGGGCTTTACGAGCTGGGAACAGATAGTGGGGCTACCTGACCACTAGCGCTTATAACGTTTCCTCCTCGCCATCCCTATCCTAGCCATGCGTACAGGCCAGTAACGTCTGGTCGACACTGAACGGCCTCGCACTGGTAGAGACCCTGCTTACCGAGACGCTCCCTAGGTGCTTAGGTGAGCAGCTTGTGTTAACGATCCCCCTCCGACGCGGTGTAAGAAGAAGGGCACCCGGAGTGGAGATAACGACAAGAGTATCGTGCACATCTTTGCAGCACATTTGAACTTGACAGTGTGTGCAGCTTTACCGACGCGAGTGCGAAAAGTTTCAGCCCGCTCTGGGGGTGCCCACCTTACACACAATCCTATCGACACAGAATGCTCTACACCATATACCACAGATATTCAAACCTCATGAAGTACGTATCCTCCAACAGTGAAAGCCTATTATAGTGTCCAATTAATTTCGTACTGTTAACTGCATGGAAAAGGCTTTTTGATGCCGATGTGAAGCGTTTTCTAGAACGTGGGAGCTCCGAGGTAGATCAAAAATGAATTCAAATTTGTATAATAATTTAGGCAGTACAAAATGATGGAATTACTGATATTGGGTAAGCTATAGTTTGGGGGCATGTACTGCATGAAGGCTGTGTTGAAAGTCTTTGTAACGATTGGTTAGCCGTAAACAGCAGGATTCATGTGAGTTTTTTTTTCGCCTGAGTACCGGGCCACCTCCAGAAATTGTGAAACCCATTTACATGAGCTTTATCGTCGGCTGTAAAATGCCTTACGATACATGTAGAAATTGACAAAATAATGGCGACTGCAGGCTCATGAGAGGCCAACCGAATGCATGACACTCTTTGATAATGCGGATCCATGATCTACTCAAGCGGATCGATGATACTACCGAAGCAGATCGATGATCTACCAAAGGGGATCGATGATACTCTCTAAGCGGATCTAAAATCGTGCTTACGTCTTAGTATGCAGCTTATGACGGTGAGTACAAGTATTGCACTGTTGTGGTCGGCTTACCTTTAGAGGTGGCGGAGCTATCGACAGCGCAGTACGCTCGTGAAGCAGTTCTTGTCTGGGGCTCCAAACAGGAATTCCATACGAACTATGCTAACAAGTACCAAAGCTTGTCAAAATATGCAAATCGATCCTAAAAGCACATTTCTGTACCAGTAGCCCGTTTTTTGGTTTTAGCATCTGTACGGCTAATATAGGAATTTGTATGTAGCCCCGCTGCAGTTAGCGGGGAGCCCGCTGTCGATATCACCTCCCCCGACTCTCGCGCTGTCGGTGTGGATGTTCAAAGTAAACACAGCATGTATGCAATGCACAGCTGTATGTCACGAACAGGAGCGAAATCCGTCCGCGAACGGGATGTACAGTAATCTGCTTCCTCAGCGAACACCGGATATGTATAAGACACCTCAGGTTGATATATTATGAAAGGATTGTGTAAACAGCCCTAATGATAAAATGTACTGACTTAGCCACTGTAGTACGGAGTACACGCAGCCTGGCCGCAGTCAACTCACGCAAGCACCTGCTTATGTAGTTACGCCGCGTCTGCTCTACCTGTACGTAGTGTAGCGCACATATTTTTAGCACTTCTTCATTCTCATGACATGGCTTCGGCAGTCGCCATGGACACCTTCCTCTCCACGGCTACGGACACAGTTTACTCTTTCTTGACTGCGCCTTCGACAGTGGCGGCGGGCACATTTTCCATAACAAAGACAGTATGTCAGTGCGAGATGTGGTGGCAACATCGGCTTCTTCTTCGTTGTCGTTGGCTGCTTTTTCGTCTCCAAAAGCGCTTGCACGCCTTATCCCCTAAGTACGCACCTGCATGAGATCAAGCATCAGCCCAACCATTTACCTGCAGGATGACAACCATGCGACACTTGTAACTTTGAGCAGTAGTAGCACTTGGAGTCGCGTATTCTATTTGCCTCAACCTACATTGCATACACATCTTGTTTGAACATTGGCGACAGCATCGGGCGCGAAGCCCCTACAAACACAACAGTATAAATGCGAAGACTACGAGGTATTATCAAGGCGGTGCCATGCATAACATACAACTATTAGATCACGACAGTAACTTTATTGACCATGCCTTGACTTCAAGTGCTCCATAAGCGTCGTCAGTGGTTCCCCATTGCTTCAAAATCTTGGCAGGACCAGCTCCGTACTTGCCCGTATACGATTGCCTGTCCCCGCGGTGCCTGAGCCGGCATGGTTTGGGCTGAATACGCTAGTCTCGTTGGTGGTTTTGGGGCCGCAGTTCGGGAAAGATGGTAGCTTCATCAGGAGAGAATTGCGTATCCACAGACCTGTGATAATATGACGGATATGCAGCATGCAGTTAGAATGTCAGTCCCGCCATGCTAGATATGCATGGTGTGACTACATACCTAGGGTGAACTGCGTCGGCGCTTGCTGCTGGCAACGTTTCATGTGCTGGGAGAGAGTTTGTTATTGCTTGTGGCTGCTGTGTAGGCGGTAGTGGCGACAGGGTTGGTGAAAGTACGCGTTGCCGGCAGATTCTGTGCTAAGTACACAGGCACAGACAGCGTAAGAACAAGCATTACAATGCCTTACGCTCCAATCGGCGTACCTGCTTGGGTCAACTCTTGCTGCATGATGCCGACTGCCTCCCGCGTTTTCGTCTCGTCCCCTGCCGGCAGCACTGTTGCGCTTTCTAGTCCATGATATCATCGTCATTTGTGGTTGTCTGAGAGCATACAAGCAGTTGCACCATCATATACAACGTCAGAATACACAGTTGGTGTGCTGGTGTTTGCGGTGCATGATCTTACTCGTCCATGCCGCCCATATCTGCCTCGATCCTGGTGTACCGCATACAGGGCCCGTGGTCCGACTTCGTCCGTGACATGCACCAGCACCGGTGTTGGTGGCGGCGTCGGCGACGGCGACGCCAACTCGGCGTTGCGACCGACGATAGTCGCCGACAGCTGCCGGATCTTTCGTACGTGATTGGCTAATATCAGCCTGGGACGATGTGTGTAGCGACTCAACTGGAGATGGATATCTCAGCTTTTTGCGATCATCTCTCTGTAGCGAACAGGCTCTTAGGGAGCCGACACCCTGCAGTGGAATCTCCACTGCAGGACAACGTCCCCACTCTCCCAGTGGATCTAATGAAGTCGTTGATTAATTGGGTACCCCAGCTAACGTGCAGAAGTAAGGTATCAGTGCAGGTACCTGCTCCAACATCACATGTTCAATTAGGAACGCTGTTGTCATAGATCTGCGTGAAGATGTCGTCATTGTATATAATAAGTGAATTGCAAGCTTTACATACTGGGGGTTGCAACCCCCAGACCCCCGCAATAGAAAACCCCAGTTCCGGCAACGGGTCCGTTCGCTGGAATGCTCATCGCTGGGCCCGCCTACGCAAATACCGCGCGGGCACCCCGCGCGGGTTTGCTGCGGCTACGCTCCTCTCAACCGCTCACTACCGCTTTTAGTGCTGACTGCACTCTTGCTGGTAGGATCGAACTTGAAGCGACAAGTCTGTCCAATATTATTATGTTCTTAAATAAACTGTAGGAGACTGAGTCTGACGCTACCGTATACATGTATAGTTTGCTGACCGTGTTCCCTCCGCTCTAAATGAGAGTATGAACGTATGCGACGAGGCATTTAGTATAATCATCACAGCCGGTAAACTGTATCATTTTAGCTAAAGCTGCACCCGTCGTCCAGTTGCTAAGCCAAATTAGCTTTTCTCTGTCTGGAAAGTGCCCTCTAAATCATGTACCTCCGTTTTAATGACATACGGTCACTAAATTTTAAATATTTATGCAGTAAAATCTCATATACTATCCATGTCACAATTTAGGAAATGTCAGTAAAGACAGGATTTTTCGGTCAAAAAACGGTCCTGGGCGACTCAATCAGAATGTCAGCCCAAAACCCTTCCTTCTAAACTGATATCAGGTAAGTAAATGAGGGAATGGGCCCTAGAAAAAGCTAAGTAAAAGTGAGTGCTTCAATGTAAGTGGGGACTTCGACCCCAATTAATATTAATACATACAGTATTATTAAATAGTAGTACGCTAGGCTACAGTCTGTTGTTGTACAGTACTCTCACTTTTGGAGGGACAAATCTCGGCTCAATTGCGAAGGAAGCCGCCTCCAGACTGTTGGTGTATATTCGCTGCGGGTACCGTCAGCGATTTTTTGTGTCCCCCTCAGTGGCGCGCTTGCTTAATCGGATTTAGAACAAAACAACTCAAGGTGCCACAGCAAGGGTGGGGCTACCCACTGGGATGCTTTCACCTATTGAACCGAGCAGTGTACATACATAGATCTGTATGCAAAAGAAGGCGGCCAACTATCCATCCAGTCACCGCAGAAACCACCCAGCAACAGCAAAACAAAAGCAGCCGCTCCTTTCATCCTTCCAGATAACGCTAGTGATAATCAACACGGACGGCCACTAGCACAACAAAGTGTCATCCACCAAGTCCCCAGCCGCAGCTACCAATATTGTGCTTTTCAGTGTTTTGGCGAATCGGACGTGTAAAACAGCTACTTACCTACTAAGATGGGGCTAGGTTATCGGAGCAGATTAGCAAGTCCCTCATAGGGAATTAGGACCAAGAATTGCTAGTCCGATGGAAGCACTTGCGCAGCAGGGGTTAATGTTAACCCCGAAATGGGTGGTATTTATACTGATAATATCACCCCGGTCTGAGGATTAATACTGTAAATATGTGGTGATACTTCGTTATCTCAAATGATATTTATATTTATATTATATTTATATTCACTTAATATTAATAAATTTCGATATTTTCAAATGATTACGCACCACGTTGGCCAATCAAAACCTGTTTTAAATTCTGATTACGTACAAACACAGAGCCCAAGAGGACCTTAGCCTAAGGTCCTTACAATATTACACGTGAAAATGAAAAGTGAGAAGAAGTATGAATGAATACGTTCTGTTTGTACTTGTTGCTGCAGTTAAGCCTAATGCACACAAGTTCGCCCGCGAAGTTTCTACTAAACATTATATACCTTATTACCTGGGCTCACATACATGTATGCCGCTGAAGAGCCCTCACACGTGAATCCTACTAATTTCAGTGCAGTAGAACTATAGCAATTTGGAGTTAAGACACTGTAAGTCGAACCGTCCCTTATCTGAGCTCCGCTGCTGCGTGGCAAAGTCGAGTTGCCTTCACCGGTCTTCTTCTTCTAGAGTATTACCTGTCAAAATATTATCAGGGTATCTGATATCGCCAGATGAGCTGGTTAATACCGAAAATATCAAGCAATATCAGTCTTTTTCAATTGATACTGCAAAATATCAATATAATATGTTATATTATACCCCAAAATATAAAAATATTCTGGTTAGCCCCTGTTGCGCAGGTCCTACAAACAGCCGAAAGCCCGAATGTCGCCCATTTTCACGGCATTCGGGGTTTGAGGTCTTACGAAGGACTCCTGCCAAGTCTTGTGGCAGGACTTTCATACGAGCTGACTCTAATACGGCGTATGTCAAACGCAGAATAAGCTTAGGGAAACACGATGCAGTCGATACGTTAAACACTCCAGTCTTCGCCCTTCGCCTTCGCGGGTTCCGGCATTGCTTGCGTCCCTAAGCAAAGCTTGCTTGGCTTGGACTCCAACCGGAGTCCATTGAACGGAGAGACTCCGGGAGACCGCTCATCGGACTCGTCCGAGATTTGCATCTCAGATTTAGAGACCGCCAACCTCAGATTAACTGACCTCCAAAGTCCTACGTAGGACTCGGCAAAATGACCGAAAGGCACAATACCACTCGTTTGCATAAGAATATCCGATCTCTCCTCAAACCACGGCGATCTTTATTTTGCCAGCTTACTCTATTCAAGTAACGCAACATCAAACTTGCGCGCTGGATCATCGTGCAGAGAGAACGCCTACACAGGCTTGGCCAACCCGGCCACAAGCTGGTTTGCCGTGGTAGCACCGCTTTCGTGTGCCGCTTTGAGCGCGGCTCGGGCCTTTGCAATGTTATCGGCATGAATTGCACCCATGTTCCCCAAAATCTTGGAGACATGTACCATATCTTCTTCGTCCAGCTTCTTGTGGATCTCATTGAGGCTCTTGAATTTAGGTGCTCGCTCTTCGGTTTTCCCATCGTCAGCGGGGGCCGCCAAGTCATCGTCTTCGGGATCGGCGACTCGAAGGAATCTCTCGCGAGACTCGCCACTGATCACGGCGTCGGCCGCCAAGCCGGGCGCGGCCTCCGACAAGAGCTTCGCCTCGGCACTGCTGCGAGCGAAGATCGCGACGGCGACGGCAACGAAGAATACACCGCGCATGGCTGTAGCAAGGGGGGTCTTTCTGCTGGAGGGAGGGAGGGGCTTGTTGTGGCCGTCAGAGCAAAATGTGAAGTGACAGCCACCATTCAGGCTCTTGCGTCGGTCGGTCGGTTGGTTGGTTGGCACCGGAGGCCGACAACGGCCCCACCATGCACATGTACCGGTACCAGTCATTGGACTGAACTCACACTGGTAGAGCGCGCCAGAGTAAACAAAAAATAATCAATGCCAGCCTCTCCGTGTAGATGTGCACACATATAGATGGAAAGAGTTCTTCTTCCTTCTACACGGTATCTGGTATTATTGAGCGCACTATCATAGCCTGGAACAGCCTTGATGAGGACATTGTAGTTGAGAGTTTTGAAAAGGCGCTTCCTCAGCACTTTGAAGCTCTGGAATTCTTGTAGCCACAACAATACAATCCACCTTTTCTTTGTCACGATCGTAACTTCCTTGTCGTCTTTTTCTACATTATTGACCTTTCTCTAGGATTAAGACCTCACTTTTGACCAATCAGCTCAACTGGCGTATGTTTTGGGAGCTACCTGTTTACGATGGAGGATAGTGGTCAGTGCTGGCGTATTTTTCCGTGGTCATCTGTACCTACAGTGCCTACCTTTTCGACTACGGTACATGTATTAATACGACACGGGACATAACTTATGTCACAGAAGTCGCCTTCCACACGTTTACGTAGGAGTTGTAAGCCCTAGAGGTCCTTTCAAAGGACCAAAGGACTCCATTGGTCTTCTCCAGTATTGAGACAGTCTGGCTTCGAAAAAAAACAAGACCGGCTCGATGTCGAAAGCTATTTGTATACTGAAGTATAGCCGCCACGCGACCACAGCGAGTAAAGGACGATAACAACCTGCGATTTGTACAACAGCAACCACACCAAACGGGCACCAGCAACCAGTTTTGTGTACAGAACCGATCCTGTACTACTCGGTTCTGTACTCAAAAGTGGTTGCTTTTCTGTGCGGTTTATTACACCGCATATCGCAAGTTCGTGTCACGGTCCACCAACACCAAAACCAATGCTGTATCCCAAAAGGACGCAGGCATTGTCTACAGGTGGCGGCGAGCTGAGCCGCGAACAGGACGGTGCCAACCACGTGCCGACATGCCTATTGACCTCTAAGAATGACTAATGTCTACTTCAAAATAACTCGCGCGAGTTAATATGAAGTAGTGGATTCAAAATAACGCGCGAGTTAATATGAAGTCGTGGATTCAAACTATTTAATTCAAATTAACTCGCGCGGGTTATTCTGAAGCATCTGGACCATTTTAACGCGCGCGAGTTATTTTGAATTTGAACCAGGCAAAGCTATACTGAGCTCAAGTACATGTACATGCAGTTTGTGTAGCGGCCATTCGCAGGCGCCCAGCTTAGCGCAGGAACCTGGAGAAAGGGACAGGTTGCTAGTGATCGAAAAAGTGGTTGTTGACGATCACTTTCCAGCTCTTTTGGTTGTTCTCGTCTTTTTTAGATTGCCATTGTCCCAAAGAAGGTTGTTTATGGTCCAAAGTTGGTACACTGGCGACCCGGACTCGACCACAGCAACGATGGTGACCGGGGAACCGACTCTCTGGAGGTGATACCGTATCGACAGCGGGCTGTGAACAACACCTCAAAACTGGGACTACATGTAGCACCAAAAACTTGTTTCAGCACCATAAAATAGGTTAGCAGCACCATATTGCACGGCACTGCACCAGACAGACCAGCACATGAAACAGGCCAGCCGCCGAGCTTAATGAGCTCGGCGCTCAGCCAATCAGCGCACAGTCGCTAGAGGCAACTTGCAACGTGCCGCTGGCGGCGCAGCGTTATGCAGTCCTGCACCACTGCTTCGCTGATAATCCACTATGCGGGGGCTGCACTCGCTTTATATTGGTTAGATCTAGATAATCCATACGAGGAATTAGGGAATTGGTCATTCGTCGTGCCGCAACCGGCATCCCAAGTCACAGGGAAATACCGGTACCAGCAAGATCGACTATCGGCGTTCTGCGACTCGAGCGAGCGTTTGGGGCTGCAAACAGCTAGATACATAACTTTATAGGGGCTATATACACACGACGCATGCGCGCATTTCTTCTTTAGGCCTCGCGTGGGACCCTCAATGCGAGAAACTCACCACCGCTTGACTGATCATTAGACACTTACCTCCGCTATGGCCTGTAAATCGACCACCAGCAACGATATTAGCTGTTACTGACCTGGCGTACTAAACAATTGATGTAACATGAGCACGTACTAAGGCGCTTGTTGGAATTTCTTCGCATGGAATATGGCTGAGCACAACACATGCAGATGCTTCATTGAGGCGTTAGTTTTAGTTCCTTTGAGCGGAGCTGGTACGAGTCGGCGCAGTTTTCACAGCCTGAGGCATCTATGAAGCTCCTGTTCTCACGCCTCATGTGACGACCGACCCAATCTACCTAGGTAGCTTGCATAAAGAAGAATTCCTCGCAAGAAAGGTAGCGCGATAAGCAAGGTTACTTCAAGTAGTTTTGTTAGGACAGTTTGGGTGAAGTAGCTGCATTTATTAAGACGACTGGGCTTACCAAAAATGTTGTGTGTCCATGGTTGATTACACGAAGCAGGGCAAGAATACGTAGCTATCGCTATCGCTTGCGATTTTCTTTATTTCTGCGACAGCTAAGCGCTCCCTAGATTCACTGAGGCGAAGCTGATTAACCTGCAGCATAGTAGCTTTAACGAATTGTGGTTTACTTTGCATACTGTTCGAATTCAAGTGTATTCAACTACTATATGGCTAGCTTGCGGACAGGATGTCGTGTGTGGCGGGGTTATGCCTTACACCAATAGCTAGATCGCATGACTACAGCCTGTAGTCTCACCGCGGCAGTTGCCACCAGCTCTTGGTCCTGCTGGCTCTGCTTGGCTTCACCACGTTAGAGGCTTGTATTACTATTATGTTACACTTAGGGCTACATGTACATATGAGCTTTAGCCTCGTACGAGCTTGGATAGCGTGAATCTAGGAGTAGGAATGCCATCAGTGTGTAAGTCACTGCTGCACTAGGCCACAGTCTAAAACTACCCCTGCGCGTATCGTGCGCTTCCAGGATGCACGCGTGGGGTGTCATTCGGTTCGCGATATCCTTATCTACATGTTCCATGCGAGCAGATGGCTCCTGCTCCCATCCAAACCCTCTAGGACGCGCACTCTTAGTGTGAATCATTTCGCATTAAGTCAACCTATATGCTACATGCGAGCAAATGAGTCCTGTCCTCGCCAGACGCCTTCCAGACGCGCGAGCGTAGTGGCAGCCGCTGTGTAACATACTAGCCTGTAAGGCCCGTACGAGTAAATAGCTTCTGCGCCGGTCACACATTTCTTAAGCTCCCTAGAGTAGTGCCTGAGGCTCGAAAATACTCCTGTCGTGGTACTCCATGCGAGCAAACATGCTCCAGCTCTTTGCATTTGTTGGAATTCGCCGCGAGCTTCCTCGTGCCGACATTGAGCTATGCACCTTGATTTGTGACTGACCACCACCCCTTTATGAGAAATTAGCAGTGTGCTGTGCCAGACAAGCCTGCGGAATGGACCGTCCATCGTCCTCTGAGCTGTACCGGTTCTATCTATTTGGTGTTATTCACTTTTTCCTTGGTGCTGCTAACGTTTCCTCCAGCGGGCTTCCCGCTAACTGCAGCGGGGAGCGAGGACAGGCGCAACAGTACTGACAAACGTTGGTACAATACTACTTAAGTAACGTACAATGAACGGCTTCAATACATGTAGCCTACCTGTAGCTAGCTATCTGGGGTGTAAGTATGCGGGGAGCTGGCTTGAGTCATCGCTATGAGCAGTGGTAGGTTGTGTCTTGTTTTACTAAGTCCCACCACTAAGTTCCACCTACAGGCATTCACTCTTAGGCATGCATTTCGGTACCCAAAGATATGCACGAAAGAATGCTACCGGTAAACCTCAAGCTGAAGGTGGTTAAGCAACACAAGTGGACTCGGGCACTGTCGAATACGTTAGAGTAATGCAAATGCATGTTTCTCTATTTAAAAAATGATCAGAGTCTTTGTACGGTCTCACTCCGAAGAAAAATGAAATTCAACAACATCTCCTGAGGGCTTTCATGCTCGCTTTGAAGCTGCAATCCATTGATTATTGCGGAATTACGGATTATTGTTTTGAAATATATCCCCCTAGGTATTACTGATTCGACTTTGATTTCCGTATGCGGGGTATTTAGTTTTTGGATTCCTGGAGCGGAGGCTCGGAATTACAATGTCGTGCCTCCGACCAGAAGAAACTCTGAAAATTTGAGGGTTTCTAAATATTTAGTTGAAAGCCACCGTTCAGCAACAAGCCCGATTGCATGGCCTAGTGGAAAATGGAAAGTGATAACAACACAATGAGAGCACAATGGCTAAAATCATACCAGTCCATCAAACGGCGTGACATGATTGCTGTTTATCGCAGCCGCCCCGGCCAAGTATTTTCCAATCGTTAACTTCAGATCGGAAAAATGCGTTGACGTATCGCACGGCGACCGCTGACTTCAAAACGCTATTGACGGAGCGTATCTACTGCTGATATTCCGCTACGTGCAGCGCGAATGAAAATGACTGTGCTTGCTATATTCGCTACGGTCTCGTCGGTGTTTCTGCAGCCATTGCTGCAGACATGCCAATACAGACGTGTTGCATTGCATACAACTACTGTACGAACTTAGACCATACAACACTCGGGGGTTATTGGCAAAACGGAACTCATCGACAATATATTACTGACACAACACAAACAACTAGGCCTGTGGATCCACAGGAGCACAAAGACAACTTGCCGGGTGCGTGTACGCCACAGCATACAGTACCCTCAGGCAGAGCTGACCATACCGATCCGACGGTAAGAACGTCGTAACGGACCCGCTCCTTACTCCGAGCGAAGCTGACGGTAGGCCTTCTGAGACATAGCGCCCGTGTCACCAGTTGCAGTGTTTGGTCCGTTGCTCGGGCCACTGCGCGGACCAGCGTTCTTGTTAGCGTTCGCAGTCGCCGTGGCGGTCGCAGTCGCGCCGCCGCTCGTCTGGACAGGGCCATCGTTACCACCGGGGCCAGCGCCGACGTTGGTATTCGCGTTGGCGTTGGCACCGCCAGCGTTGGCCACGGCGGTGGGTGCGCCTGCGTAGGCGTTAGCATTTGCGGGGGCGCCGGCATTCGCGTTGGAGACAGCATTGCCGGTATATGCGTTGGCATTCGCGGGCGCACCGACATTCGCGTTGGAGACGGCATTTGCAGGCGCCGCCGCGTTGTATCCAGGGACCGCCGACGCCGACAGCAGGCACACCGACACCGACATTGGCTCCAACGCAAGCCACGCCAGGCACACCGACATTGACACCGACATTGGCACCGACACCAGCCACGCCAGGCACGCCGACACCGACTCCCACACCGGGAGCATACACGCCGGGGCCGTACAAGCCTGCGCCGTACACACCTGGAGCCACTCCGACACCCACGGCACCGGAGACTGGGATCACACCGTGGAAGCGGGTGTTGTGCACGTGGTTGTTGTGGATGTAGCCGGGGTGGATATGGGCAAAAGTCTGGGCCACCTCCTGCTCCGCGCTCACTCCGCTTGACACGACGGCGGCGGCGGCGATGCACACGGCGAAGATGTTGCTGCTGCTGCTGAACATGGCTGGGGACTGCTGATGACTTTTGTTTGGTCTGGGAGGACAGGGAGAGCGCTGGCGCTAGGAGACACGCCTCGACTTGGTTGAGATCGAACGCGAATTGAAAAGTGAACTGTAAGCGCTCGTGGGTGCAGCGCGACGGTGAGTCTTGTGTAGACCCAGACGTGAAGCCTGTTTCAGGGGTGGGTGGCACCATATTGCAACAGCGTGGCGCCGAGGGTGCACGGCTCCCGTGTGTACGGCCCCGGCGTGTATGCTCCCGGTGTGGGAGTCGGTGTCGGCGTGCCTGGCGTGGCTGGTGTCGGTGCCAATGTCGGTGTCGGCGTGCCTGGCGTCGGAGCCAATGTCGGTGTCAGCGTGCCTGGCGTCGGAGCCAATGTCGGTGGTCCATCTGCCAGATACAACGCGGCGGCGCCTGGGAATGCCGTCTCCAACGCGAATGTCGGTACGGCGCCCACCAACGCCAACGCATACGCCGGCAATGCTGTCTCAAACGCGAACGCCGGCGCTCCAGCAAACGCCAACGCGTATGGCCGCGCGCCCACCGCCGTGGCCAACGCTGGCGGTGCCAACACCAACGCGAATGCCAACGTCGGCGCTGGCCCCGGTGGCAACGATGGCCCCGTCCAGACGAGCGGAGGCGCGACTGCGACCGCCACGGCGACTGCGAACGCTAGCACGAACGCTGGCCCGAGCGGTGGCCCCAGCAACGGACCGAGCACTGCAACTGATGGCGCGGGCGCTACGTCTCAGAAGGCGTACCGCCAGCTTCGCCCGGAGTAAGGAGCGGGTCTGTGACTACGTACTTACCGTCGGATCGGTATGGTCAGCTCTGCCTGGAGGTACTGTATGCTGAGGCGTACATGAACCCAGCAAGCTGTCTTTGTTCTCCTGTGGATCCACAGGCTTAGTTGTGTGTGTTGTGCCAGTAATATAATGTCGATGAGTTTCGCTTTGTCAATATCGGTAACCCACGGGTGTTGTACGTTCTCTACGTTCGTACAGTAGTTGTATGCAATACTACACGTTTGTCTTGGCATGTCTGCAGCAATGTCTACAGCAACAGCGACGAGACCGTTGCGGACCTGGCAAGAAATACTTTCAGCTACTTGGTTATTGTTCTGCTTGGGTTTGAGTGCACCGAAGCATGGAGACTGGAGGATGTATTACCTTTACAGTATTGATAAAGGTATTGGCAGGGTGGTATCGCCGAAACTACCTTATTTATTCTCGTGCTTACCTTCATGAGCTAGGGCGATCCTATGAAGTGTGTTATCTGGACTGCACACCTCAAGCATCAATTTAAGGCCAATTTTCCAAGCTTGCACAATGATCTATCACGCATATGGCTTGTCAGCTTCCGTTTTACTTCCTTTCTTCGTGCTTCCGGTGCTGTTACCTGTCCATATCTCCAGGGGTGTCTGCATTGCTTCCCAGCTCCATAAAGCTTGCACCGTTCTGACGCGACCCACCATCAATACGCTGGCGACCCCTTTTTACAAATGCCGGTGCATGGTAACCGGATTTTTAGGTCAATCCTACATTTTGGTCACGGGTCAAATCCTTACTTTGGTCACGTGACCTAAGCGAATGAGGTCACATGTAATTCGCAAACGGTTTGGTTGTTAAGTAAATGCGTTATAGCGATTCTGCTCCTGACAGAGAGCGACTTCCGCACCATTATTCCGCGCTTTCGTAGTCAAAAGTGTCGTCTGGACGATAGTCTGCTGTTTTATGATCCATCTCGGCATCGTCGGCCTCTAGCACTAGAGCAGGATTCAGGGTCGTCAGTGGCGATGGTAGGCTGCTCTCATAAGTCTTTGCTCTTCTCCGACCCCACAATGTCGGCGGCCTGACGCAATGGATAACAACGCGCGGTGCCGCATATTCGTGAGAAATACCTTTTCGTGACCTACATTACGCGATGGGGGCCGTCTCATGTTGAAGTGTCAAGCTCGAGTGCTGAGCTGTGGTGCGATGGGTTAGCTACTTCTAGGCGCGTATAAATTTTCTAAGTGAATGCTACAAAGCACGAAATAGAATCCGGAGACGATGTCGAAATTTCATAATGGGTTCCCTCTGTCGACGAAGTTGTTCATGGGAGGGTGTGTAGCCCTACAGTCTACTTGTACTATTACTATAATACCATGTCGCACTATACGAGCCGGTTGCCTCTGTGTACTTTGTAATCGTTGAGTTGCGTTATTGTGTAGAATGAAACCTAGGTGCAATTCTGTATGGTAGGCGGCTCAAAATATAGCATGGTACTACTAGCAGTGAAATATGGTAGGCAAATACATGATAAGTGCAGTGGAGGTTTTCACAGAAGCGAGCCCAGCCCACTCATCGGGTGGCTTCTACAGAGCGACGCTACCAAGCGGGCAGTAGGAAAGGGAGGGACAGCGAAACCAATGCAAACGACAGAGAGAGGTCGGTTTGGTAGAAGACGCTGGCAGAAGGCGCTAGCAGGAGTCAGCTGAAACACATAAGTACACAGATTACTTTGAAATCAACCTCTTAAGCAAAACAGAGCTTTGGTTTGCTCGGAGCGCTAGCTTCCCTGGTCCTTTATAATAGTGTTCCGAAACCTACTTACAGCTCTGACTCTTCGCTACAAATACAGTCGTTATGCCTCCGAGACGGCCGAGTCGCGAGGATCTCCCCCGCTTACCGTCGCGGTGGACAACAGTGCTCGCGTCCCTCCAAGCCGAAGCTGGACGCTCGAGCAGCGGACCTTCACTCTCACTGGCAACACCGTAGCAAGTGTGCATATGCTGTCACCTTGCAAGGTAGGCAGAGGGAATTGTAAGCGCTGGAGGATCGGGCATATGCTAGGCCGTTAGTTAGGCTAAATGACTGCAATGCGCCGCACCTTGAAACGAAACGAGACGGCGAGTCGAGTGTGCGGCCAAATCTGTGCAGCATACCCATGGCCTTCGGCAACGCTGTGATCCCAGGAACAGCGGGCGGCGGGGTACTCGACTTCGACCTCGAGCGAGGTTACGGGGCCCCACACGTCGAGCAAGACTGAAGGCTAGGTCGAGATAACGCTACGTGACGCTGAGTCCATGAGCTCAAGCGCTGAATGCGAGCGGAGTCCCGTAAGCACGGGTTGGTGACTTTGTACGGTGCTCGTACTGCAACATGGTAGGTAGCACCACCTCCTCTATCTAGGGTATTGCGATCTGCGCTCATACTACGAGCATCACACATGCGTGGTAGCAGCTCACTGTTTAGCAATGTAACTACTGCCCGTGCAACATGCATGGTAGGCGGTCTCTTGCAGTGTAAATGGTAGGAAGCACACATTTTAGCATGGTAAGGACTTGCAGCGCAACATGGTACTTTTGCTAGTAGCAAGCACGCTGTGCAAGATGATAGGCAGCCCACAGTGCAGCACTCAGCCAGCTTCTACTGTAACACAGCAGCAACTCACGGTGCAGCACGTCGTGTCCTGTAGGAAACCGCACTGACAGAGTACGAAAGCATTGAGAGAGGTGTCGTGTGTACTGAGAAACTTGTATGATGTCTAAATTCTTCAGGCTGAAGAGAAGTGGGCCATCGTCCGCTTCGAAGCTGCATACTTAAGTATGCATTTTGCTCTCATTCTCATGCGGGCGTGCGTGCATCTTACCGTCTGCATCAATGGGTGTGACCTGTTAAGTTTGGTCACGTGACCTAGCGTCCTGATGTGTGACCTATTTGACCATCATACCCGTGACCAACTGTTAGGATTGACCTGTTTTCCCCTCTTCGCCGGTGCATGGCTCCAAGCTTGGATGTCACCCTTACATTAAGTCTATCTTAGCCTCGCAGTCAGAACGTTGTTGGCGTATTTAGTGGCTTAGGCGACTACTTATCTCCGATTTCAATGTAATGCTGATAAGCTTTTCGCAACCAGACTATTTTATTAGTTTTCCTATTTTAATTAAAAAATAGTTTTCTTCCCTATTTGTTTAGGAGTGAGTTTTCTTTTTCGAAGCACAGCTTAAAGTGCATCAGCATCTCTCACGCCCTCATATTGGACTCGGATAACCGGTTCACTAGCGGAATCGGCGCACTATGAGTTTTGCTCTTTGCAAGCCTCCCGTGCACTGCGTTGAAACAACGTGTACATGTGGCGTCGTGCTTGCAGTCTGTGCACACGAAGTGGGCTGCCGCATTTCGACAAACCATGCAGATCGCAGGCTGCACAGGCATCTTGGTCCAGCCGCTATCTTCCTCGACAAGAGTCGCTATCTCCCTTCTGGCAGCATAACGGAAGGTCGCATAGCATCCGATGCAGTAGCGAGCGCCGCTCGACACTTTTCGCCTCGTCACGAAATGAACGGAGCAGCGCGTACAGAGAATGTAGTGATCTGGGGGTCCCCACGACGTCTCGCCCGTGTCTATCCGCTCATAGTACCCGCTGCTCTGGTTGTCTTGACGATACACCCAAGTTGAAGACTCGACAGGAATGAGAGGCTCGTCACTACCAATCAACTTCGGAGGTTGCCGTCGAACTTCTTGCGGTCGAGCAAGATTGAAATACACAACTTCGCCCGAGCTGGGCTCTATCCGTTTGACAAATGAGTTCCGGATAATGCGCCGACACACAGACCGCGCCTGTCGACAAAGAAACATCATCTGGATACGTGTGGCGGCGATGTTCTGGCGCCTTTGGTGAGCCCACTCGGCCTCCTTTTCGTTGAGCCGTACAAGTGCATCATCGATTCGCCACAGGATAATAGCCTCCCGAGCAATGCTTTCGCACTCCTCAATGACGACTTCATCGCACCAATGCTTCTCATACGTCACCGTGTTTAGGTAAAATGCCTTGGTGAGCTTCCGTGTTACAGCGCCATGAGGGGCTTCCAAGAAGACTTGCCAGCGACAACCCCGCGGCAGTATTCTGAACGGAGCATTGTCTGGGTCTCGAGCTAGCTCGTCGCAAATCCACTTCGCATCTGTCTCGAAAATTCGTGTAGCCTCGGCGTTTATCTGATCTTTTGCTTCGATACTATCTAGCCACGTGAGCGTGGCGGTACGCACTTCAGCAGCTACCTGCTCGGCGATGGCAGCCCAAGCCTGCCTTGCTTCCAGCTCGGCAGCACGCTCACAAGACGCCTTGTATTCAATGCGTTCCTCCTTCTGCTTTTGCATCTTGCGGTTGGCGTGCACACGGTCAGTTGCCGTGATAAACGAGCGTCTGCGATCCATTTCGTCCGATTGGCGAGCTCGGGCTTCCACTGCAGCACTCAGTTTGTCTTCGACTTCCATCAAGGTGCGCTCGGCCTCCACTAGCTGAAGTAGCTGCAAATCTTGATGTAATTGTCGCCCACGAATGTCTGCGGCTGCGGCTTCATCTTGCCGCCGTTTCTGGATTAGCCACGTATTCATGCACGATCGCAAAACTACACAATGCAAAAATGCAGTACGTCAGCACCAAAAGACAGGAAAAAATCCATAGATGAACGTACTCTTCCGATGCTGACTAGCAAGAAATAATGACGCGAGTTTGTCGCAGTGTTCACTACGCGCTTTTGCTTGCTGTATCCACAGCCACATTGTCACGGGCACACCATTACGTTAGTAAACAAAGTTCTTGACCTTGTGCAAGTATCTGTGCTCCCTTACTTTATAATAGATGGTCCATGATCGCCAACACCTCTGTCGACAAACACGAAGGTCGTGCCTTTCGCTACGTCGCCACGCTGCTGCATGTCTGAATAATAAACACAACAATATCCAGCCGTCAAATACCGCTCGCCGTCGTCAGACACAGGAGAACGCGAGGGAACCTACATCAGTTGCATGGATCGCCAAAACAGAGCCCACGGCTGGTAAGCTGAGCGCAGCAGCGCAAAACTGCGATATTTACTGGCCGCCAGTACCAGCTTCCGCATTTCTTGTCGCCGCTTGAGGTTCTGTCTGAACCCCCTTACTAGCTTCCTTGCCGAGCATGACCTGAAATGCGTGTCGCCTCTTCGGATGAGCTTCCGGTACGCCACAAAGATCTTCCATCTCGCAAGTCGCTGTCGAGGCTCGCGCGTGCGCCAAATACCCAGCGCTCGCTCAAAGCGAGCACGCGCCTCCTCCTTCGCAAAGCGCTCTTTAGCATGTTCATACACATCTCGATAAAAGTTAAGTCGCGTGTCATCCGTCAGACGCTTCCAGCACAGCGTTCGGATAGACTCCAGCAGCTTTGGCTGAGCTTCTAGCTTGCACAACCAACAATTGTTAGACCTTAAATGCAGGTGAATTTGACCACAGCAGCTACCTACCTGAGTACTCCCAGAATGTTGTCTCGGCGATATAGCTTCGTCCCCGTTGCGCCATCACCCCAAGTAAGTCTTTAACAAACGGCTGCATCTTGGACTCGTCCAGTTCATCTCCGCATGCCGTGAAGAGTATGCGCTGGACGTCGCATCCACGGACAGCCATCTTCATATCCCCTGTAGCTGCCGAGTTCTCGGCAAGAGGGAACGCAAACTCGTGGAACCAGCGTGTCACCATCTTCTTTTCACCTTCTCGCCAGCGATCCAACACGAACAACGCGCTCAGAAGTTCGCGGTAGTCGATGCTCGACGACTCTGGCTGATGCTGGAAAGCGTGGAAGACATTTCGCAAAGACGACACAATCTGCGCTGTCGGGATGGAGTGGCGTGCAGTGGAGGACACTGCCAAATGCAGCACTGAGCCGATCGCGATCTCCACCTGCGGCATCGTGACTTGATGCGATGCGAACCCATGGCGGAACTCGCGAGCCACGTCAATCAACCACGGCATCGCTGTCAGATTGTGCAGTGGAGCAGGTGTCGACGGCTCGCTCGGCTTTGCAGGGGTCGATGCTGAAGACGTAGACGGCGGTAACTTCGGTCGAGCCACCGCCTCACTTCGAGCGGTCATCGTTTCACTGACGACCGCGTACAATTGTCGAATGTGATGCCATCGGCCGAGAAAGCGCTCGCGACAGTGCTGCTGCTGGTTTTGGAGCTCGGAGCTCACAAGCTGCTCGTATTGGCGCGTGGTGGCTTCTTCACGCCGGTCTTTAATCCGACGCGGGTGCTGCAGGTTGCGATCGCCATCACCGAGTTGGAGCTTCTGGAGTAGCGGCGACCGTGGGGACGTCAGCCGGCGCTTGAGATCGCGCTTGCGTAGAGCTCCAGACCCATCGACGCCACCTGAGAGCGAAGCAAGCTGCATGAATCGAATCACCGAGACGGATTTAGTGCGGCGCTTCAGCAGCGGTATCCGTGCGGACTTACTTGGAGGGACGCTCAAGCAAGCATGGCGGACGGAGAACCGAGTCACCACGACAAGCTGGCTGCCTCTACTGCTATCCTTGCCGCGGTCTCAGCCGCCACATTGGCCTCCAACGTCCAAACTAACGGAGATGATTCCAGCAGCACTGTCGCCTATCAGCGCGTGCTCCCGCATGGCGACCGTCGCTGTGTAGAGAGAACCAGTAAAAAGTTACAATCTCTGGACGGTGTTGTTCACGTCTGGGTGCGTGACGCGCGATCCTTTCGCCATGGACAGGAGAGCACTGTGTACGTTGGACCTAGCCTGGTGGGCGGAGATATCATATTTTGATGTCGTTTGTGTAGCCCGTACTTCTCTCTACGTGTAGCTGCAACCATTCCCGTCAACCAACTTCGGGTGCGTTCATGGGATCTAAGCGCATCGCCTCGACTGTGAAAGCCTAACCAACAATTTCACGCGTTGGGCTCCAGGGTCTTGTTCAGGAGCAGTTTGCGCTCCTTTCGCCCTATCGAAAGGAAGTGGATGGCGAGCTGCAATTGTGCTTCGACGACCGCACGCTGGACGATGAAGAAGTGTTTTCCGCATATCTCCCGGGTGGGAATATAAACACTTCGGCCAAGACTGGGTATGTCGGGACTGCAGGTCATCGAAAACCTTCATGGCCCAAACGGTTCGTAGGTTAGTGCCGGATTGGAATCTTGTTGAGCCTCAGCTAACCGTGCCTTCCGACCAGGAATCCTGTGGGTGCTGCCCTGGCGTCCGTCTCGAAAGCAGCCTCTCCAATGGGGAAGCGGCGAGAACCTCACTGCAGCCGCTCACTCTTCAAAAACTCGACGAGCACAGTCACCTCAAAGCCACCAACCTGCACAGCCTCAGTAGCACAAAACACACCAGCATCATCAACAAACTAAAGAAATCAAACTCGGAGCATCTATTCGTCTGCACCTCACGACGCTCACTGCACTCATAAGACCCAAGTAGCAAGGACGAGAGATGGCTGCCTTCACCATTGAGAGAAATAGAGTCCCCGACATCACGCTCTCACCCCAGCAGTCCATGTGTCTCCTCGTCACTGCTCGTCTCCTCCTCGTCAATACTCTTCTCCTCTTCACCGTCCTTATCCTCATCCCCCTCCCTGCTCCTCTTACCCTTCTTCTTCTCCCCCCCCCTTCTAGTCTTGCCGCGCCGCCTCTTACCCTTCTTGTTCTTGTTCCTCCTCGAGAAGCAGCAGCACAAATACTCTCCCCACGTCGTTTGCTTCTCCTTCTTGTACGTCGGTCCTCCCCCCAACACCCGGTACAAAAATGGCACCAGGAACTCGCAGCGACACAAGCAGCGGTACGTCCAGCTCTCCTTGTCCTCTTCCTGCTGCGCGCGCAGCCCCTCCAGCCCCTTATTCTGCACGTCCAGCTCCTCGTTCATCTCCGCCACCAGCGAGCGCGCCTTCAACTCGGGCGCGCGCTGCATCTCGCGGATGTCGTCGATCATCACGGGCACCGCGTACATGTCCAGCGTCCAGCGCACGATGGGCTTGGCTCCGTCCGTGCCGTAGAGCTCCGCGTAGAGCGCGTAGACCTGCGGGTTCACGCCGCGGTAGTCCTTCGTCTGCTGCAGGCCGTCCCTGAGTCGGAACTCCTCGCGGTCGAAGAGCGAGTCGTTGGTGAGAGGCCCCGGCCGCTTGGGCGCGTTGGCGTCGTCCGGGTCGCCCAGCACGTAGCTCATCCAGGAGTCCAGCCACGCCGTCTCGACCAGGAACCACGCCTCGTGGCGCCGCAGCTCGCGCGAGTCGAAGGCCAGCACCAGGTCGCGCTCCATGTGGCGGCGGTCCACGCGCGCGTGGGGCGCGTTCAGGCCGCACTCCAGGTCCACGGACTCGTCGCTGGGGGACAGCGGCGGCGACGCCAGCGATGGAGCCATGATAATCAGTCCGGGCCGGACGGAATTTTCAAGTGAAATGAAAAAATGGATACAGTCAGGAAGTTGGGGAGGGAACACAAAGTAGTGTGGACAACACATATAGGACTGATTGATGTGCGACCATCGAAATACAAGATACGGTGAGACGATGAGGTCAGGTTTACCGTCTTGATCTCGTTGTCAACGCTTGTGCATAATGCTGGCCGCTCGGATGCCTGCAGCACCGGCGTGATGCGCTGCGTTGGCCGCTGATGCAGCGGGAGCCTCGCGCACTGAATGAAGGAGCCCAAATGTGCTGGGCTTGGTGGCTTTCACTTTTCAATTCGGCTCGTGGTAGAGCTCCGAATACGCCCCAATTGAACCCAAGTATTCACACCAGCATGCGGCTTTGGACTGCTGCGGCGCTAGCGCTTTCATTCACGACCGTGTTGGGCTCCAACTCGTCGTACTCTACCAAGTCGGGGATTCTACCGTGGGTGGACCCGTCCACCCCTGGCAGCGCGCAGACGTACACAACCTCCCGGGGGGAGACCTGGACGCTGACTATGAGTGACGAGTTCAACACGGAAGGCCGAAGCTTCGAGGCGGGAGACGACCACCTCTGGACGGCTCTGGAAAAGGCCGACGGCGTCAACTCGACGCTAGAGGTGTACTCGGTCAACATGACTGGCACGGAATGCGACGACGACGGTAACTGCTACTTCTTCATCAACACGACGGACGACGATCGCCGAGACGGTCTGGAACAGCTACATCTCCCCGCCAGGCTACCAGACCGTGTACTTTTACTACCGCTCAGGCATGGTGCAGTCGTGGAACAAGTTCTGCTTCCAGGGAGGAATAATCGAGGTGCGTGCACAGCTTCCAGGAGCTGTGACCAATGAGTCTGGAAACCCGGACGTCGAGACAGGCTCCACTACAGTGCGCGCCGCCAACATCGACTACTACCCGACTTGCCCTGGCATCTGGCTGCTCGGGAATCTTGGAAGGGCCATCTTCTCGGCGTCCACGAGCAGGATGTGGCCTTATTCCTACAACGAGTGCAATGAGACCATCTTTTCGTCGCAGAACCAGAGGGTCAGCGCTTGCAATGACACTCCTGGGTCAGGTCTTAACGCCAACCAAGGCCGTGGTGCTCCGGAAATCGATATTCTGGAAGGAGGTGGCACCGCCATCTCGACGTCGCTGCAGATTGGACCAGGAATGCCCGAAGATTTCCGACGTATCGCGGACAATTCGTCCGAATACTGCTACTATGTACTACTGAAGGCGCCAACCAAGCAGACGTCCCCACGGCGTACTACTACAACTTGCGCGACCACAAGTCGTGGTACCAGGGACTACGCTACGGCGCCAACAACTTATGCGACGTCAAAGACGACGATATCCAGTCCTTCGCTACGGTAAATGCCTCGATTCAAAAAGGCATCACGGTTAACGCCTGCACAATGGATACTTGTCCTGGATCGTACTACCCAAATGCGGACCTCGGCTATATGAATACCGGTGTGCACTGGGGTATCAACGCCAACGGCACGTGCTTTCCGAAGATGAACCAGTACGATGGTGCCTATTTGTGCACCGCCGGCAACACAGCTTCGGAGTGTACGGCATCGAGTGGCTCCACTAGCGCTGACTCGGAGTTTGCTTACCAAATGGACGCCATCTCAGCGAACTGGGAAGTGCACATGGCTGCCTACCTGGACTGGGTCACGTACTCCGTGGAATGGGTCATGGGAGATGAAGGCTACATCCGCTGGGAAGTCGAGGGCCAACCCATGTTCGAGGTCACCGCCGATGTGTTGACGAACCCGCCGCAGGACACCGCGCAGATGAACCCCAAGAAGATCATGATCGAGGAGACCATGTACATCATCTTCAACGTGGCCTTGTCGAGTTCGTGGGGCTCTTCTCCTCCCAATGCCGGCGAGGGAAGCTGTCGCGGCGACGGCTCCAGCTCAACGAACAACGCCATTTGCGACTCGTTCCCTATGTACCTGAAGATCGACTACGTTCGACTGTACCAGGACACGTCGGGTGACACGGCTATGGCGATCGGCTGCGATCCCGACACACACCCGACCAAGCAATGGATCGAGGACAACATCGATGACTACGTTGACGACAACCCGGACACGGCTGTCTCGGGTATGGCGTTCTGCGACTCCAACGCCGACTGTACGATCTCGACAACTGGCACTGTGACTGGTACTTGTTCAAATGGCTGGTGCAAGTGCAAGTCAAGCTCGTGGACAGGCCCACGATGCACTGAAGCGGCTTCCGAGTCTTCAGGTTCTTCTGATTCCGACGATTCCAATGTGTACGGCCCCCCAATGTACGGATCGGTGATCGCTGCAAGCGTGACAGTGCTCTGTACTGCCTGTACGCTTGTCTACTCGGTTGTGATGGCCAAACGCGACGCTGCCCAGTTGCAGAAGCACCAGGCCTTCAAGATGCGAAGTACGGCCAAGGATGCGTTCGGACCTATAAGTGAGCTAGTCGTCAAGGACGACTACAGTACCAATTTTGTCTGATAGAGGTACCAACACCCGAAGATAGAATGGAGTTCAGCCTGCGTGTTTGTGAAAAATGCCTACCCTACCTGTTTTTATGGTTTTGATATTTGGATCCGGACACAACATAGAGAAGGCTGTGGGGTGTGGGAAGATCTAAATGAGCCCATTAGCAATATCGGCGAGCGGCAGAACTTATTCAAGTCGTAGCAATCTTCTCCAGATCGGAAAATTTGTTCATCGATTGAGATGTGAGGCTGTGGGTTTCATTCCCTTATTTCATGGGTTTGCAAACTCTCTTCCTCACGCCACTAGTGCCGTTGCCGGTCAGCCGCATTGTAGGACCCCATTTTCACCGTAAGAGCGAATTACAGTGTCGCAGTTGGCATTTAATCCGATCACCAGGGTTATTACCGGCATCCTCCGTTCTTTACTGACGTTCGCTTATTACTGACAATCAATTATAGCCAATCAAAATACCTTATTGTCATCCTCCACTTTTAACTGACAACACAAAAATGGGTCATTTCCCAATCCACAAGATGTTGACGCACCGCAATTACGGCAGCAGAAAGCTCGAGGTGCTCGATGCCTGGGCACAGTGCGGTGACATCACCGCGGCTTTTAACGCCTTCTACAGCGGTCTAGATGAGTTTGTCCACGAACCGCGGCGAAAGCTCATGGACAGACAGCTCTCAAAAAGAATGCTCGGACGAGCGGCATAGGTATGGCCCTCCCCGCTGAAGCTGAGCAGGAGCTCGTCGTATGGATGAATGAACTGCGTGGGAGGGCGTATCACTTTCGGCTTTGATGTTGCACTTACAGGCCCTGGAAGCAGGCGATGACTACATGTATGTCACAGCCTTTAGTGAAGAAAGTAGACGTTGTAGCTAGTGAAATTATCGCTCAGCTTTCTAGCCTGAGTCTGATAGATCATAGAGTTTGAGCTGTGGCTGTCGAGCATGATACCATCGAGAGCAGCTCGGTCTGCGATAAAACAATGAGCTTTTTGTGTGTGTTTCACAATGCGCGGCAGACATCACTTTTTTTACCCACTTTTTGTAGCCAAACATGTCTGTCAGTAAAGAACGGAGGATCCGGTAATAATCAGAACTTGCTGAAGCGATTCAGAAGACAGATCACCAACAAAAACACACGCCAGAAATGCATCATGACTTCTGGCCTTCAGCAACTTGGATCTTACAAGTATGCCACCAAAATACCTCAGGAACAGATTACGCGTCGCCTGATGCCAAAGGAAAACCTAGTGCACTTCCAAATAGTACAACCTTTTCGATGCCATCATAAAATATAATATTAAGTCACAGGGACTTCACGCGATTAGGATCGGGAAGTCGAGTTGCTTTGGACTTCCATCGTATTGGCTTTACTGATTAATAACGCCTCTGAGATAGCTAGGTTGGTTGTGCTCAGCCAAACCAACCACTCTATCTACTTCGTAGTATCATAGGCTACCTGGTTCTCATAGGCTGTGATCGCAAGCATGGCACGAGGCGTCTTAGGAGTGATGAAAATGATCGGACCGGACGGGGTTACGTGTTATATGGAGCCATTTGAAAAGATAATACGCTCAATACGTTACATTACATACTGCACATCAATTCATCCGCCACATTCAATGTCTGCTACTCACTTCAGAATTTGCTCAAGAACGCAACAAACAGCAAGTGACCAAGCGCTATGCGCTTCTTCTGTGCCGCCGTGCTGGCGATATTTCTTATGGGGATAATTGAAGCTCTCGCGCCCATCGATTCCACCAACTCTGAATCCAGTTCACGCTCAGTGCCTCGTTTCGTTGTTGGAGCTGCATCGAGACGCTTGAGGTTCCAAGACGCAGCTACCATGGAGGAAGATGGCAGTGACGACAAAGCAGGCGAAGAGAGGACTGGCAGCATCCCAAGCTTATATCGTCAAGTGTCGGGAAGTTGATGTCGAAGATTTCTCGAGCCGAGAAGCTGGATGTCGAAGGCTTGGTGACGCACCGGGTGGACCCGAAGAGAGTTTTCACGAGCTTGAAACTTGGCCGATCTAGCTCGAATCTGGATGATGTTTTTGACTGGCTGAAGTACGTGGTGTGTTCAACTCTAATCCAACGAACAAGCACTTCTCTGATACTTTGATATTCGAGTTGGTGTGGAAAACCAGATGAAGACCTAGTGGTATTGTTCCAAAAGCTTCGGGACACCCCCGGCACAAAAGGCCTCGCAGACAGGTTGCAGATGAAATTGGTTTCTCCTCGCCATCCAGCCACAAGCCTATGATCGACGCGTGGATGAAGGCGCGAGTGCCTCCCCGCGACGTTTTCACCATTTTGCAACTTGATGATGAACTCCTCGACCAAATGCCGCAGGTCTACCAGTGGTTGAGATACATCAATGCGTACAGAACGACCGGGTCATTTTCCGAAGAGCAAACATTGGGTATGCTGGTGGGTTCCATGAACGAGGCTCAGTTAGCGCTTATGTTCCAGTCGGTGAAGGAAGTCCCCGATCTGAAGACGCAAGCTACGAATTTGCAGAATCTCATTTTCCAGAAAATGATCAAGGACAAGGAACCCCCACATGAATTCGCGTACTATTTAACGTCGCCGTTCGGTCACCCAGAAGACGTGTTTCACATGCTCGCGGTGGAAAGAGTTTACTTGAGAGTGTGGAAAAGTTATTCGCTGCCGGCAATGTTAAAGAAGCAGTTGAACTGTTGCGCGCGCGATGGGTTCTTGAGCACGACCATTTTTATGCGTTAACAAAGTTTCATTCCTTACAGCAGTAAGTCGCCGTCCACACAATCGACCCCCCATGCATCACCTCCGTTCCCGTCTCGTAGGCGCCTGTAGCTCGACGCGGGGGCTCGGTTCTCTCCGCACAGCATCTCCGAAGCCCTCAGCAGCGTATGACTCGCTGGTGAACAGCGGGGGCCTCCTTTTCGACGCCAAACAGGCGGCTATCGCCCGCCGGTTCCTGGACAAACTCCACTCTCGACTCGACGGCTACGCGTTGCCCGTTTTCGAGCCGCCAGCAGCGCGAGAAGATGCCAAGGAAGACGAGAAAACTGGCGGTGAAGAGCAGGCGGCCATGGTGCCGCGCGGGTTGTACGTCCACGGCGGCGTCGGCACGGGCAAGTCCATGCTGCTGGACCTGTTCTTCCGCGGCGCCAAGGTGGAGCGCAAGCGCCGCGTACACTTCAACGAGTTCATGCTGGAGGTGCAGACCCGCCTCGCACAGGAGAAGAGGAGGCAGCTGGAGCGCTACGGCCGACAGAGACACATTGTGCTGGACGAGAGTCGAGACGTCGTGCTGCAGGTGGCCCACGCCATAGCGGATGAGAGCCACCTGCTGTGCTTCGACGAGTTCCAGGTCACGGACGTGGCGGACGCGCTCATTATGAGAAAACTGTTCGGCGTGTTCTTTGCACGCGGGGTCGTCATGGTCGCGACGTCGAATACTGCGCCGCAGGTACGACGTGGGATGGAAGTGGATTGTTGTTAATGTATGGGGAACTGACGATGTGGCTGTCGGTGTTTGTTGGCAGGATCTCTACAAGGATGGTACGAACCGCGAGTACTTCCTGCCGTTCCTGGATCAACTCGCAAGGCATACCCGCGTGGTGCCGATTAACTCAGATGTGGACTACCGCTTTCTGAGCGAACCGGTGGGAGGCGAAGAGATTTTCCTCTCGCCTCTATCAGATGTTACACAGGAGAAGATGGACGCCTTGTATCGAGACTTGCTGATTCTCGGTGACGAAGAGGCAGCAGTGAATGGTGCTGTTCAGGATGAACTGCTGCGAGTGCCGGTGATGATGGGGCGCACGCTGGACGTCCGCGGTCGTGCGAAGAGTGGAGTGTGTCGAGCCTCGTTCAGTTTGCTGTGCGATACGGAGAAGGGCGCGGCAGACTACAAGGCCATGGCGGAATGCTTCCACACGCTGGTGCTGGATGACGTGCCGGCCCTGAGCATGACGCAGCACGACCAAGCGCGGCGGTTTATCCTGCTGGTGGACGAGCTGTACGAGCACCACACGCGACTTGTGGTGTCGTCTGAAGCAGCAGAGCCTCGCGGTATTTTCCTGTTCGACGATGAGAGTGTCCGCGCGGCATCGGAAGGTGCTAATAGTCCGGCTGCGATTGAAGAAGAGAAGCAGCGCGTGAACAAGGAGAATGCCGCGGTGGGTGTGCCGACAACGAGTTCTTGGGATGCTCCGGTTGGAGCATACGGTCCGATCCAAATGGCCGGTTTGGATGTAGGCAACCTCGTTGCTCTGAAAGATCTGAAGGTAGCGTTCAAGCGCGCTGTGTCGCGGCTGCGAGAAATGCAAAGCGATCGATATCTTGAGGAAAATATCCGCTGGCGGCCCAAGCGTGCCGAACGATTGGCTCAAGTTGTAGAAGTTGTCGACCTACAGTAGAGCATCGATAGATCTGCATCAAATATGCCGTTCGAGCAAGATCACGTTAGAAATACCGCAGTTAGCAATTACCTACGCCAAGAAATCCAGCTACTGCGTACTCATATCCTTTGGGTCGCTGTGCCTAAAACCACACCGGTTGCAGAATGGTAGTGATCTGCTCGGCCAAACCAGAAATAAGACAGTTTCTGTACCGCCCTACGAGACCCAGACTTAGCGCCAGTCATTGAAAAAGGGACAATAGGCCAATGCACTTAGGGCAGTGCTAAGTCAGCATCGCAACGGCTACTATGGCTACTACCATTAACGGGATAATAGCGCCGTACTGGCGGGTGCTGCTGCAGTCATGTCGATACACAGAAACGATGGGTTACTGTAGAAGATATAGCTTAGAACTGACAGAACTCGTGGTGTATTGAATTGATAGCGTACCAACGCCACACTCATCGACAATATATTACTGACACAACACAACTACTAGGCCTGTGGATCCACAGGAGAACAAATGCCACTTGCTGGATGCATGCACGTCATGGCGTATAGCACACCCACCCACACAGAGCTGGCCATACCGATCCGACGGTAACTACTCCCGGGCCCGCTCCTTACTCCGAGCGAAGCTGACGGTACGCCTTCTGAGACGTAGCGCCCGCGCCACCAGTTGCACTGTTCGGGGCGCTGCGCGGACCAGCGTTCGCGTTCGCAGTCGCAGTGGCCGTCGCAGTCGCGCCACCGCTCGTCTGGACGGGGCCATCGTTGCCACCGCGGCCGGCGCCGACGTTGGCATTCGCGTTGGCGTTTGCCGGAGCACCGGCATTTGCGTTCGAGACAGCATTGCCGGCGTATGCGTTGGCGTTGGCTGGCGCACCGACATTCACATTCGCGTTGGAGACGGCATTGGCAGGCGCCGAGTTGTATCCAACTGAGGGACCACCGGCGCCAACAGCAGGCACGCCGACACCGACATTGGCACCGACGCCAGCCACGCCCGGCACACCGACACCGACATTGGCACCGACGCCGGGAGCATACAAACCGGTGCCGTACAAGCCGGTGCCGTACACACCTGGGGCCACGCCGACACCCACGACCCCGGGGACTGGGATCACACCGTGGATGCGGGTGTTGTGCACGTGGTTGTTGTGGATGTAGCCGGGGTGGATGTGGGCAGAGGTCTGGGCCACCTCCTGCTCCGCGCTCACTCCGCTTGACACGGCGGCGGCGGCGGCGGCGATGCACACGGCGAAGATGTTGCTGCTGCTGAACATGGCTGGGGACTGCTTGCTGGAGACTTGAGCTGGGTCTGGAATGACAGGGAGAACGCTGGCTCTGGGAGATCTGCCTCGACTTGCTTGAGATCGAACGCGGATTGAAGAATGAAGTGTGAATGCGCTGGTGGCTGCAGCGCGACGGTCAGCCCCCCCCCCCCCCTACTAAAACACGGGAGGCACTGGTACAGACAGACACAAGGACCGTCGGTCAACAATGACCATCCCGTCGGGATAGGATCGTGGTAGGGACAGTTGACAACGACAGCACGTGTTTCGCGTTCGGGCATCTGAAAAGCTACTCTCTTTACAACTGCTTGTATTAATAAAACGGGGGCACAGTAGCTTGCTTGCCAACGGGTTGCCCTAGCACGCCAACGGGTTGGTTACCCTAGGCTTTCTTGTCGGGCCGGCTATGTAGATGCCGACTTCAACATCGAGCATACAATTACCACTATAAAATGGCGAGCCGCTCGGCACTCTTCGCTGCCAGAAATCTGCTCATCCCTCAGCTCCACCGATAAAGCGATTCGGATCGGTTCCTGCTTGCGAAAGTGTCGTGCCCGTTTAGTATCGTGCGGCGACCGCTGACTACACTAATACTAATGACGGAGCGTATCTGCCGCTGACAATGTCAGCCTGGCATTGCGTATAAGAACACGGCGTTGACATACAGCAGCGTTGAATGACTGTGAACACGTTGCTCGCCATATTCGCGCCGTACTGGCGGGTGCTGCTGCAGCCATGTCGATACACAGCAACGATGGGTTACTGTAGAAGATATAGCTTAGAACTGACAGAACTCGTGGTGTATTGAATTGATAGCGTACCAACGCCACACTCATCGACAATATATTACTGACACAACACAACTACTAGGCCTGTGGATCCACAGGAGAACAAATGCCACTTGCTGGATGCATGCACGTCATGGCGTATAGCACACCCACCCACACAGAGCTGGCCATACCGATCCGACGGTAACTACTCCCGGGCCCGCTCCTTACTCCGAGCGAAGCTGACGGTACGCCTTCTGAGACGTAGCGCCCGCGCCACCAGTTGCACTGTTCGGGGCGCTGCGCGGACCAGCGTTCGCGTTCGCAGTCGCAGTGGCCGTCGCAGTCGCGCCACCGCTCGTCTGGACGGGGCCATCGTTGCCACCGCGGCCGGCGCCGACGTTGGCATTCGCGTTGGCGTTTGCCGGAGCACCGGCATTTGCGTTCGAGACAGCATTGCCGGCGTATGCGTTGGCGTTGGCTGGCGCACCGACATTCGCATTCGCGTTGGAGACGGCATTCGCAGGCGCCGAGTTGTATCCAACTGAGGGACCACCGGCGCCAACAGCAGGCACGCCGACACCGACATTGGCACCGACGCCAGCCACGCCCGGCACACCGACACCGACATTGGCACCGACGCCGGGAGCATACAAACCGGTGCCGTACAAGCCGGTGCCGTACACACCTGGGGCCACGCCGACACCCACGACCCCGGGGACTGGGATCACACCGTGGATGCGGGTGTTGTGCACGTGGTTGTTGTGGATGTAGCCGGGGTGGATGTGGGCAGAGGTCTGGGCCACCTCCTGCTCCGCGCTCACTCCGCTTGACACGGCGGCGGCGGCGGCGGCGATGCACACGGCGAAGATGTTGCTGCTGCTGAACATGGCTGGGGACTGCTTGCTGGAGACTTGAGCTGGGTCTGGAATGACAGGGAGAACGCTGGCTCTGGGAGATCTGCCTCGACTTGCTTGAGATCGAACGCGGATTGAAGAATGAAGTGTGAATGCGCTGGTGGCTGCAGCGCGACGGTCAGCCCCCCCCCCTACTAAAACACGGGAGGCACTGGTACAGACAGACACAAGGACCGTCGGTCAACAATGACCATCCCGTCGGGATAGGATCGTGGTAGGGACAGTTGACAACGACAGCACGTGTTTCGCGTTCGGGCATCTGAAAAGCTACTCTCTTTACAACTGCTTGTATTAATAAAACGGGGGCACAGTAGCTTGCTTGCCAACGGGTTGCCCTAGCACGCCAACGGGTTGGTTACCCTAGGCTTTCTTGTCGGGCCGGCTATGTAGATGCCGACTTCAACATCGAGCATACAATTACCACTATAAAATGGCGAGCCGCTCGGCACTCTTCGCTGCCAGAAATCTGCTCATCCCTCAGCTCCACCGATAAAGCGATTCGGATCGGTTCCTGCTTGCGAAAGTGTCGTGCCCGTTTAGTATCGTGCGGCGACCGCTGACTACACTAATACTAATGACGGAGCGTATCTGCCGCTGACAATGTCAGCCTGGCATTGCGTATAAGAACACGGCGTTGACATACAGCAGCGTTGAATGACTGTGAACACGTTGCTCGCCATATTCGCGCCGTACTGGCGGGTGCTGCTGCAGCCATGTCGATACACAGCAACGATGGGTTACTGTAGAAGATATAGCTTAGAACTGACAGAACTCGTGGTGTATTGAATTGATAGCGTACCAACGCCACACTCATCGACAATAGATTACTGACACAACACAACTACTAGGCCTGTGGATCCACAGGAGAACAAATGCCACTTGCTGGATGCATGCACGTCATGGCGTATAGCACACCCACCCACACAGAGCTGGCCATACCGATCCGACGGTAACTACTCCCGGGCCCGCTCCTTACTCCGAGCGAAGCTGACGGTACGCCTTCTGAGACGTAGCGCCCGCGCCACCAGTTGCACTGTTCGGGGCGCTGCGCGGACCAGCGTTCGCGTTCGCAGTCGCAGTGGCCGTCGCAGTCGCGCCACCGCTCGTCTGGACGGCCACCGCGGCCGGCGCCGACGTTGGCATTCGCGTTGGCGTTTGCCGGAGCACCGGCATTTGCGTTCGAGACAGCATTGCCGGCGTATGCGTTGGCGTTGGCTGGCGCACCGACATTCACATTCGCGTTGGAGACGGCATTGGCAGGCGCCGAGTTGTATCCAACTGAGGGACCACCGGCGCCAACAGCAGGCACGCCGACACCGACATTGGCACCGACGCCAGCCACGCCCGGCACACCGACACCGACATTGGCACCGACGCCGGGAGCATACAAACCGGTGCCGTACAAGCCGGTGCCGTACACACCTGGGGCCACGCCGACACCCACGACCCCGGGGACTGGGATCACACCGTGGATGCGGGTGTTGTGCACGTGGTTGTTGTGGATGTAGCCGGGGTGGATGTGGGCAGAGGTCTGGGCCACCTCCTGCTCCGCGCTCACTCCGCTTGACACGGCGGCGGCGGCGGCGGCGATGCACACGGCGAAGATGTTGCTGCTGCTGAACATGGCTGGGGACTGCTTGCTGGAGACTTGAGCTGGGTCTGGAATGACAGGGAGAACGCTGGCTCTGGGAGATCTGCCTCGACTTGCTTGAGATCGAACGCGGATTGAAGAATGAAGTGTGAATGCGCTGGTGGCTGCAGCGCGACGGTCAGCCCCCCCCCTACTAAAACACGGGAGGCACTGGTACAGACAGACACAAGGACCGTCGGTCAACAATGACCATCCCGTCGGGATAGGATCGTGGTAGGGACAGTTGACAACGACAGCACGTGTTTCGCGTTCGGGCATCTGAAAAGCTACTCTCTTTACAACTGCTTGTATTAATAAAACGGGGGCACAGTAGCTTGCTTGCCAACGGGTTGCCCTAGCACGCCAACGGGTTGGTTACCCTAGGCTTTCTTGTCGGGCCGGCTATGTAGATGCCGACTTCAACATCGAGCATACAATTACCACTATAAAATGGCGAGCCGCTCGGCACTCTTCGCTGCCAGAAATCTGCTCATCCCTCAGCTCCACCGATGAAGCGATTCGGATCGGTTCCTGCTTGCGAAAGTGTCGTGCCCGTTTAGTATCGTGCGGCGACCGCTGACTACACTAATACTAATGACGGAGCGTATCTGCCGCTGACAATGTCAGCCTGGCATTGCGTATAAGAACACGGCGTTGACATACAGCAGCGTTGAATGACTGTGAACACGTTGCTCGCCATATTCGCGCCGTACTGGCGGGTGCTGCTGCAGCCATGTCGATACACAGCAACGATGGGTTACTGTAGAAGATATAGCTTAGAACTGACAGAACTCGTGGTGTATTGAATTGATAGCGTACCAACGCCACACTCATCGACAATAGATTACTGACACAACACAACTACTAGGCCTGTGGATCCACAGGAGAACAAATGCCACTTGCTGGATGCATGCACGTCATGGCGTATAGCACACCCACCCACACAGAGCTGGCCATACCGATCCGACGGTAACTACTCCCGGGCCCGCTCCTTACTCCGAGCGAAGCTGACGGTACGCCTTCTGAGACGTAGCGCCCGCGCCACCAGTTGCACTGTTCGGGGCGCTGCGCGGACCAGCGTTCGCGTTCGCAGTCGCAGTGGCCGTCGCAGTCGCGCCACCGCTCGTCTGGACGGGGCCATCGTTGCCACCGCGGCCGGCGCCGACGTTGGCATTCGCGTTGGCGTTTGCCGGAGCACCGGCATTTGCGTTCGAGACAGCATTGCCGGCGTATGCGTTGGCGTTGGCTGGCGCACCGACATTCACATTCGCGTTGGAGACGGCATTCGCAGGCGCCGAGTTGTATCCAACTGAGGGACCACCGGCGCCAACAGCAGGCACGCCGACACCGACATTGGCACCGACGCCAGCCACGCCCGGCACACCGACACCGACATTGGCACCGACGCCGGGAGCATACAAACCGGTGCCGTACAAGCCGGTGCCGTACACACCTGGGGCCACGCCGACACCCACGACCCCGGGGACTGGGATCACACCGTGGATGCGGGTGTTGTGCACGTGGTTGTTGTGGATGTAGCCGGGGTGGATGTGGGCAGAGGTCTGGGCCACCTCCTGCTCCGCGCTCACTCCGCTTGACACGGCGGCGGCGGCGGCGGCGATGCACACGGCGAAGATGTTGCTGCTGCTGAACATGGCTGGGGACTGCTTGCTGGAGACTTGAGCTGGGTCTGGAATGACAGGGAGAACGCTGGCTCTGGGAGATCTGCCTCGACTTGCTTGAGATCGAACGCGGATTGAAGAATGAAGTGTGAATGCGCTGGTGGCTGCAGCGCGACGGTCAGCCCCCCCCCCCTACTAAAACACGGGAGGCACTGGTACAGACAGACACAAGGACCGTCGGTCAACAATGACCATCCCGTCGGGATAGGATCGTGGTAGGGACAGTTGACAACGACAGCACGTGTTTCGCGTTCGGGCATCTGAAAAGCTACTCTCTTTACAACTGCTTGTATTAATAAAACGGGGGCACAGTAGCTTGCTTGCCAACGGGTTGCCCTAGCACGCCAACGGGTTGGTTACCCTAGGCTTTCTTGTCGGGCCGGCTATGTAGATGCCGACTTCAACATCGAGCATACAATTACCACTATAAAATGGCGAGCCGCTCGGCACTCTTCGCTGCCAGAAATCTGCTCATCCCTCAGCTCCACCGATGAAGCGATTCGGATCGGTTCCTGCTTGCGAAAGTGTCGTGCCCGTTTAGTATCGTGCGGCGACCGCTGACTACACTAATACTAATGACGGAGCGTATCTGCCGCTGACAATGTCAGCCTGGCATTGCGTATAAGAACATGGCGTTGACATACAGCAGCGTTGAGTGACTGTGAACACGTTGCTCGCCATATTCGCGCCGTACTGGCGGGTGCTGCTGCAGCCATGTCGATACACAGCAACGATGGGTTACTGTAGAAGATATAGCTTAGAACTGACAGAACTCGTGGTGTATTGAATTGATAGCGTACCAACGCCACACTCATCGACAATAGATTACTGACACAACACAACTACTAGGCCTGTGGATCCACAGGAGAACAAATGCCACTTGCTGGATGCATGCACGTCATGGCGTATAGCACACCCACCCACACAGAGCTGGCCATACCGATCCGACGGTAACTACTCCCGGGCCCGCTCCTTACTCCGAGCGAAGCTGACGGTACGCCTTCTGAGACGTAGCGCCCGCGCCACCAGTTGCACTGTTCGGGGCGCTGCGCGGACCAGCGTTCGCGTTCGCAGTCGCAGTGGCCGTCGCAGTCGCGCCACCGCTCGTCTGGACGGGGCCATCGTTGCCACCGCGGCCGGCGCCGACGTTGGCATTCGCGTTGGCGTTTGCCGGAGCACCGGCATTTGCGTTCGAGACAGCATTGCCGGCGTATGCGTTGGCGTTGGCTGGCGCACCGACATTCACATTCGCGTTGGAGACGGCATTCGCAGGCGCCGAGTTGTATCCAACTGAGGGACCACCGGCGCCAACAGCAGGCACGCCGACACCGACATTGGCACCGACGCCAGCCACGCCCGGCACACCGACACCGACATTGGCACCGACGCCGGGAGCATACAAACCGGTGCCGTACAAGCCGGTGCCGTACACACCTGGGGCCACGCCGACACCCACGACCCCGGGGACTGGGATCACACCGTGGATGCGGGTGTTGTGCACGTGGTTGTTGTGGATGTAGCCGGGGTGGATGTGGGCAGAGGTCTGGGCCACCTCCTGCTCCGCGCTCACTCCGCTTGACACGGCGGCGGCGGCGGCGGCGATGCACACGGCGAAGATGTTGCTGCTGCTGAACATGGCTGGGGACTGCTTGCTGGAGACTTGAGCTGGGTCTGGAATGACAGGGAGAACGCTGGCTCTGGGAGATCTGCCTCGACTTGCTTGAGATCGAACGCGGATTGAAGAATGAAGTGTGAATGCGCTGGTGGCTGCAGCGCGACGGTCAGCCCCCCCCCCCCCTACTAAAACACGGGAGGCACTGGTACAGACAGACACAAGGACCGTCGGTCAACAATGACCATCCCGTCGGGATAGGATCGTGGTAGGGACAGTTGACAACGACAGCACGTGTTTCGCGTTCGGGCATCTGAAAAGCTACTCTCTTTACAACTGCTTGTATTAATAAAACGGGGGCACAGTAGCTTGCTTGCCAACGGGTTGCCCTAGCACGCCAACGGGTTGGTTACCCTAGGCTTTCTTGTCGGGCCGGCTATGTAGATGCCGACTTCAACATCGAGCATACAATTACCACTATAAAATGGCGAGCCGCTCGGCACTCTTCGCTGCCAGAAATCTGCTCATCCCTCAGCTCCACCGATGAAGCGATTCGGATCGGTTCCTGCTTGCGAAAGTGTCGTGCCCGTTTAGTATCGTGCGGCGACCGCTGACTACACTAATACTAATGACGGAGCGAATGTGAATGTCGGTGCGCCAGCCAACGCCAACGCATACGCCGGCAGTGCTGTCTCGAACGCAAATGCCGGTGCTCCGGCAAACGCCAACGCGAATGCCAACGTCGGCGCCGGCCGCGGTGGCAACGATGGCCCCGTCCAGACGAGCGGTGGCGCGACTGCGACGGCCACTGCGACTGCGAACGCGAACGCTGGTCCGCGCAGCGCCCCGAACAGTGCAACTGGTGGCGCGGGCGCTACGTCTCAGAAGGCGTACCGTCAGCTTCGCTCGGAGTAAGGAGCGGGCCCGGGAGTAGTTACCGTCGGATCGGTATGGCCAGCTCTGTGTGGGTGGGTGTGCTATACGCCATGACGTGCATGCATCCAGCAAGTGGCATTTGTTCTCCTGTGGATCCACAGGCCTAGTAGTTGTGTTGTGTCAGTAATCTATTGTCGATGAGTGTGGCGTTGGTACGCTATCAATTCAATACACCACGAGTTCTGTCAGTTCTAAGCTATATCTTCTACAGTAACCCATCGTTGCTGTGTATCGACATGGCTGCAGCAGCACCCGCCAGTACGGCGCGAATATGGCGAGCAACGTGTTCACAGTCACTCAACGCTGCTGTATGTCAACGCCATGTTCTTATACGCAATGCCAGGCTGACATTGTCAGCGGCAGATACGCTCCGTCATTAGTATTAGTGTAGTCAGCGGTCGCCGCACGATACTAAACGGGCACGCCACTTTCGCAAGCAGGAACCGATCCGAATCGCTTTATCGGTGGAGCTGAGGGATGAGCAGATTTCTGGCAGCGAAGAGTGCCGAGCGGCTCGCCATTTTATAGTGGTAATTGTATGCTCGATGTTGAAGTCGGCATCTACATAGCCGGCCCGACAAGAAAGCCTAGGGTAACCAACCCGTTGGCGTGCTAGGGCAACCCGTTGGCAAGCAAGCTACTGTGCCCCCGTTTTATTAATACAAGCAGTTGTAAAGAGAGTAGCTTTTCAGATGCCCGAACGCGAAACACGTGCTGTCGTTGTCAACTGTCCCTACCACGATCCTATCCCGACGGGATGGTCATTGTTGACCGACGGTCCTTGTGTCTGTCTGTACCAGTGCCTCCCGTGTTTTAGTAGGGGGGGGGGCTGACCGTCGCGCTGCAGCCACCAGCGCATTCACACTTCATTCTTCAATCCGCGTTCGATCTCAAGCAAGTCGAGGCAGATCTCCCAGAGCCAGCGTTCTCCCTGTCATTCCAGACCCAGCTCAAGTCTCCAGCAAGCAGTCCCCAGCCATGTTCAGCAGCAGCAACATCTTCGCCGTGTGCATCGCCGCCGCCGCCGCCGCCGTGTCAAGCGGAGTGAGCGCGGAGCAGGAGGTGGCCCAGACCTCTGCCCACATCCACCCCGGCTACATCCACAACAACCACGTGCACAACACCCGCATCCACGGTGTGATCCCAGTCCCCGGGGTCGTGGGTGTCGGCGTGGCCCCAGGTGTGTACGGCACCGGCTTGTACGGCACCGGTTTGTATGCTCCCGGCGTCGGTGCCAATGTCGGTGTCGGTGTGCCGGGCGTGGCTGGCGTCGGTGCCAATGTCGGTGTCGGCGTGCCTGCTGTTGGCGCCGGTGGTCCCTCAGTTGGATACAACTCGGCGCCTGCGAATGCCGTCTCCAACGCGAATGTGAATGTCGGTGCGCCAGCCAACGCCAACGCATACGCCGGCAATGCTGTCTCGAACGCAAATGCCGGTGCTCCGGCAAACGCCAACGCGAATGCCAACGTCGGCGCCGGCCGCGGTGGCAACGATGGCCCCGTCCAGACGAGCGGTGGCGCGACTGCGACGGCCACTGCGACTGCGAACGCGAACGCTGGTCCGCGCAGCGCCCCGAACAGTGCAACTGGTGGCGCGGGCGCTACGTCTCAGAAGGCGTACCGTCAGCTTCGCTCGGAGTAAGGAGCGGGCCCGGGAGTAGTTACCGTCGGATCGGTATGGCCAGCTCTGTGTGGGTGGGTGTGCTATACGCCATGACGTGCATGCATCCAGCAAGTGGCATTTGTTCTCCTGTGGATCCACAGGCCTAGTAGTTGTGTTGTGTCAGTAATATATTGTCGATGAGTTTCGCTTTGCCAATACCGGTAACCCACGAGTGTTGTACGTTCTCTACGTTCGTACAGTAGTTGTATGCAACACGACACGTTTCTCTTGGCACATCTGCAGCAATGGCTACAGAAACAGCGACGAGACCGTTGCGGATATGGCAAGCAACACGTCCACAGTCATTTTCATGAGCGCTGTAGGTATTATACAGCATACAGACACCGTGTTTGTATGAGGAATAGCAGCGACAGATACGCTGCGTCAATAACGTAGTCAAGTCCGCGGTCGCCGCGCGATATGGTACTGTACGGCCACCGCACTTTCGCAATGAAACGATCCGTATCGCTTTTGTTTTCGGTGGAGCTGGACGTTGAGCAGATCTCTGCCAGGTCAGGGACGAGAGGTCATTTTGTCAGAGCCACGCAGGCTATGAAGAACATGTTGTACGGCTTGTCGTCCCACTCCCACTTGTGGGAACAAACACGCCACAGAGTCTTTAATCTCCCAAAGAAGTTTTCAACAGTCCGTTGTGGGCAATGTTGTTGTCGTTTTGCAGCTCGTCCAGCATTAGAGGCTATCCCAACGGACGCGGGCGTCGTTATTTTCTTCCTCTTGTATGCGCTGGGTGCAGTTTCTGGAGCGTGCAATCTCGATCGGAGTAGTGCAGAGCCAATTTGGAAGTGACAAAGTGTATTTGGAATAGGCTTGTGACTTCGTAGAATACAGGTCGAGGCCGGACGGTGGTCAACAACTAACAAATGAAACTAAAATCTGGCATTTACTATGCGACATCGTATGTATCTAACAGCCGGGCAGATGCGCAGTATTATTTTATTGCACAAGTGCATACATGTGTTGCACTAGGGTACGCACGCAGTTCCTCAGTAACAGTGCCTTAGGTCTATTGGTATTTGTATGCTCGATGTTGAAGTTGGCATCTACATAGTTTTTTGTGTCGGTTGAGCTCAATGGCTGGCAGATTTCTGTCAGTGAAGACTCTTCCCTGAAGAGTGGCTATACGGGTCAAATGCAGCGGATATATAGAGAGCTTCTGTACGCAGCAACATCAGCGAGTACGATGTAGTGTTCTGACCATTTTATACATTTTGAGCTTTTTTAACAACCGGACTCTGCCTTAAGTACACCACTCAAGTGTGTTGTGGTTGCACTTCGCTGTCTACTCGACTGGGTCCCTGCTACGAGCCTCACGGCCTGCAGATGCGTGGCGCGTGCCTCTAGGGGGCTGAAGTTGAAGTGTAGCGAATGCTGCGACCTGATGGGCGGATCATCTGGGGTCGCGTGGATATGATTGGGCGAGACAGTTGAAGTCAGATCAACAGCTGTGATTAGCATGGATAATCATATGCATTGACGTGCCCGTCCCAATCAGGTGTGACCGTCCCAACTGTGTTTGAGTATGGACCGTGCCCGTCCCAATCGAGTGTGCCCGTCCCGGGACACTGTGATTGGCTGACGGCCCGTGCCCGTCCCACTCAAGTGTGACCGCTGCACATGCATATAGTTAAATGAAGCCAAACGAGGGAGACGCTAGGAGAGCTACAGGAGTAGGAAGGAACAAGCAGAACAAAGACAACTAACTCAAATAAACTCACTTTCGGATTTCCTTCCTTCTGCACACTCGACTACAAGCCTCATTCGTCACTCTCAATTAGTTATGAGTCCAAGCTACGCGGACACCGTCAAGCTCGTGGAAGACAATTACTTCCACTGGGAGTTCAACATGCGGATGAAGCTTTCTCGCAATGGACTGCTGCCCCACATCAGCAAGGCGGAGTTCGACCCGGTGAGCTACCGCACCACGGACGCATGGAAGACCGACGATCTGAAGGCCCTTGGCGTGATCGCTGGCGACGTCAGCCTCACGTTCCAAGGCTACATCCGTGGTGCAATGACTGCGATGGACGCATGCACCATGCTCCAGGAGCAGTTCAACCGGAACACGATCAAGAACCGACTCCTCGTCACCAAGAAGCTGCACAACTTCAAGATGGAGCCCGGTACGCGGTTCGCAACGCATGTGGACCGATTCAAGGAGATCGTGCTCAAGATGGAGACGATTGGTGAGCCTCTGTACGAGAGTCGTCAGCTCGTGCTCCTGCTCGGCAGTTTGACGGACGAGTACCGGATGATCAGCACCGTGCTCGAGCACACGTGGACAAGTGGCTCAAGAGCAAGCGTCCGACTACGCGTTCACGGCAACGGGTGCGATGGAGAAGACGGAGTGGCTCGTGGACTCCGGTGCTAGCTCGCACATGACCAGCGTCCGGGACAAGTTCGTGTCCATGAAGGAGCTGAAGACGCCGGTCCGCATCACTATCGCGGACGGCACGAAGATCGACGCGGTACCGTCGGTTTGAAGCTGACGGACGGAACGTCTGTCACGCTGTCGGATGTGTTGTACATCCCGGAAGTTAATGGAAGCCTCATCTCGGTTGCGAAGCTGGCCGAGAAGGACTTCGTCGCGCAGTTTAGCAAGGACAAGTGTGTCCTTCGCTATGGCGATGCTACCGTCATGGAGGCCGAGCGCTGTGGAAACGTCTACAAGTTGAAGACAGTGGGGGACGAGATGTGTCGTGCGGCGACTGCATCTCGTAAGGAGCCATGGGCTGTTGTGCACGCCCGTCTCGGCCACATCCCCTTCAAGCGCTATGAACAGCTGCTGACCATGGCAGAAGGGGTGCCTCACGTTACGGATGGCGCCATTAGTGACAACGTCTGCGCAGGCTGCTGCATGGGCAAGATGAGAGCCGACGACTATCCCCGACACCCGGAGAAGCTGGTCAAGAGTGCAGGCGTACAGGATTTGGTGCACACGGACGTGATGGGTCCGATGCAGACCAAGCCCCCCGGTGGCTGCAGGTACGCTGTGACCTTCATTGACGACTACTCACGCCACGTGACGGTCTACTTCATGAAGGCCAAATCGGAGGTGCTGTCCAAGTTGAAGATCTACAAGGCAGCAATGGAGAATGCGACAGGCAAGCCGATCAAGCGCCTGCGTTCGGACAACGGCGGCGAGTACACAGGCAAGCAATTCAGGGCCTACCTCGACCGCAGCGGCATCAAGCACGAGAAGACGGTGCCGTACACGCCTCAGCAGAATGGTCTGGCTGAGCGCATGAACCGCAGTCTGGTGGAGATGGCGTGCTGCATGCTCTACCACGAAGTCATCGAAAAGAAGTGGTGGGCCGAGTCGGTCAACACGGTGGCGTGGATCATCAACCGAATCCCCAATTCGGTGAACGTGAAGACGCCCCATGAAATCGTTTACGGGACCAAGCCGCAGCTCAAGAACATGAAGGTGTTTGGTGCACTTGGCTACGCACATATTTCCGACGAGAAGCACCGCAAGCTGGATGCTAAGGCCTTCAAGTGTCGTTTCGTGCACTACGAGGATGGTGTCAAGGGATACCGAGTTCTCAACGTGGCGACAGGCAAGGTGCAAATCGTGCGCACTGTCAAGTTCATGGAGACGACGAGTCTGCAACACGTGGTGCCCAAGTCGGAGCTGGACGACGACGAGGTCACGGATACGGAGCCTAGCCACGGTGGATTGCAACCGGAGGAGTTGAAGCAACTCGTGCCAACCGTCGCTGAAGCTGGTGACGTGATCCCACTTTAATGTGACGCGGATGTAAACGATGCGATTGTGCCATACGGTTCGACCCCTCCTATGATTACCCGGTCGCGAGCTCGCCACATTGACGAGACAACGGATCGTGAAGAGGCAGGAGCCCGCAACAAGCAAGTCGTGGCGCCGTCGACAACCGGCACGAAGCGACAGTAGATGAGCCAAGGCAGAGCCCAGGTGCGCGAAGACCAGCTCGCCATTGAAGGTGGCCAAGCGATGGCTGCAACGCAGGAGGTCCCACGGACGTATGAAGAAGCCATGGCAAGTGCGGACCAAGTGGAATGGAAGCGAGCGATGCAGAGCGAGTTGAAGTCTCTTGTCGCCAACAAGACGTGGAAGCTGGTACCGAGACCAGCACACCAGCGGCCGATCGGCTGCCGTTGGGTATTCGCGTTGAAGCGCAACGAGAAAGGGCAAGTCATTCGGCACAAGGCCCGTATCGTGGCCAAGGGGTATTCGCAACGACACGGCGTGGACTACGAAGAGACGTAAGCGCCGGTGGCTTGCCTGAACTCGACCCGTGCCAAGTTGGCGAAGTGCGCCGCGGATGGATTCGAGATTGAGCAGTGTGACGTCGACACTGCGTTCCTGTACGGCAAACTGGAGGAGGAGCTCTACATGGAGCTGCCTCAAGGGCTCCGAGACCTGTTGTCACTGGCTGAAGCGGAAGGTGAAGACGACGTCGTGTGCATGCTGCTGCAGAGTTTGTATGGACTCAAGCAGGCATCGCGTGTTTTGGAACGAGCCGTATCGTGTTTCCGAAGTGTTATCTATCTCCCACTCGTACTCTGTAGCCTACGTGTAGCCTGTAGCCTAAGTGTACATGTGCGGTTTAACGGAGATTGCGTAGCGCACGGAGCACACGGCGCTGAGTCGCCGGACTCTTGGGTCCGTCGTCAGCACCATCCACGTCGCCCGCTGAAGCCGGGGTCTCCATCTCAACATCTGCATCCTTGTCCGCTTCCTCGCGTTCATCCTCGTTCGCATCTTCCTCTTCATCCGGCGAGGATTCTTCGATCGTTCGGTTAACGCGCTCCTGGCGGTCCTCAATTGGAGGGGGGGGGGGGGGGCGAGCTCGCAGAAGCTCTTCAATTGACGCCATCCGCCCTTCCAGCCCCTGCAACCTCTCGTCCACCGCTTGCAGACGCGCCAGTATGGTACGCAGCTGCGCAACAAGATAGACGTTCGCACCTTCATCTTGTCCTTCAGGAAGTAGGCTTGCGTCGTCGAGCGCACGCTCGTAGCGGTTACGGTGGCTTACGTCGTAGCTCTCCCCCTCCTTCAGGTGCCGGGCGAAGTGCTGCTTGAACTTGGACGTTGTCAGCGTCTTGTTGCACTGAGGGAATGTGCAAATAACCCCTTTGCGTTTGTTCGTCATGGTTGTTTAGCTTGGGGGGGGGGGGCTTGGCTTGGGATCTCTAATGATCGCAGCCACAGAGCCGGCTCTCCTGCTGCGATGTGTATCTTTTACAGCACAGTGTACCCTAAAGTGTAACTTTCGTGTAACCTATATTCCATGGGGTACACCGTAACCATAATGCGCCCTGTATCCCAACCGTATCCTGTAACCCCAATGTACCCTATTAATACCGGTACTACCAGTAATTTACCAGTTCTATCTCAACGATTGGTGCTGTTCAGTCGTCGTTTCGAGGCCAATGGAGCAAGACGATGAGGAAGACTTCGCCCGTGGTCGCGAATACTGCGACAAGAAGGCCTTCAAGCTAGCTGTGATGTCCTATGTGGTTCTGGTACGTTTCATGTTTACTTTCACAGTGTCAGCATGCTCTGTAGCTAACATAATGATCGCAGGGAAAGCGGGGCTGATACTTTCCTGACAACAACTCTGTCAAAATCACTGCCCGCTGCAAGATTAAGGGCTGTCCGTTTGCTGTACGCGGGCGTCTGACGGATGAAGGGTGTGTCCGTGTTACGTCTTCACATTTAGACCACTCGTGTCAGCCCTTGCAGCACAAGACGCCGCCGGCACTCATTGCGAAGGCTGTGGCCGCTACGGAGCTGCGGAACAGGAGCTCGGTTAAGGCCGTGAGAGTGCTAGGGTGTGGTTTGGTGCTGATGTCCCGTACAAGCAAGCGTATGATGCCCTGCAGCTGGAGACGCAGTCTGTGGATATGCGTGGTGCAAGTTATCGGCTCCTGAAGCCCTGGCTCGATGCGATGACTACAGCCAATCCTGACAGTGTCGTGGATCTCGTCTCTTCAAGCGACGATCACGTTCTAGCATAGTGAACCCTAGTCATATGCATAATCAGTGGCTCTGAAGCCATGTACTGATTCTACTACTGATTTAGGTTAGACAGTGCGTACCCACTTCGTAACCCTTCGAGTAACTCTCGTGTAACCCCGTTACACGCTGTACATATCCAGTCAAACCGAAGAAACTGTGGAGCGACTCTTGGGTTCGTGGTACAGGCCAATCGCGGATAGTCTGCACCTTGTCCGGATCAATGCGAACTCCATTCCGACCGATAAAATCACCCAGACACGGGATCTCTTCAGCACAGAAAACACATTTGGAGAGCTTCACGTACAACTTGTTCTTCTTCAAAATCTCCAACACGTCACGAAGGGCTCGGAGGTGCTCGTTGATGTCTTTCGACTTCGTGAACACGTAGATATCATCGTAGAATGAACGTGTGTGTGGCCGACCCTTGAACAATGAAGAAGTCAATCGATGCCTCCGGCAACGGGTCAGCAGACATACCAGCAATGAGAGTTCTCAACTCTTGGGCATAGTCCATCAACTCCTTCTTGCTCTGCCTGGTCGCCAGGAAGCGTGAGCGCACGCGATACGCCTCGTTAGGTGGAGCAAACACTCGGGACAATTGCTGTTTCAGCTGGTCCCACGTCGGGAAGGCCACCTCGACCGACGTCCCGGACGTTAGTGCCCACTCTCTCGCTCGCCCACCGAGCTTCGAGATAGCTAGTGCCACGCGCTGCGACTCCGTCCGGAGTAGAGCTGAGCTCATAGCCATCTCAACTTCACGGGTCCAAAGCATCAAGCTTTCACCCTCCTTGCCTTCGAAGGTCTTCACGCTCAACATGAGCGGCTTGGGTCTTGTTCCCGCGTCAGATGACGAAGCGGGCGCTTGGGGCGCCGCGGCCGTTGCCATCCTCTGCTGGAGGTGCTCTAGCAGAGCATTCTCGTAGCTTGAAAACGCCTCGAGACGCGCGTTCACCGCGTCGGGGCCTTGCTGCGCAAGTTGCGTCACGCCCTCCGGGCCCAGCAAGGACATAAGCTTTTTAAGCGCATCCTGCTGGTTCGGGGGCAAGTGAGCGAACTGCTCCATTCTCCACAGAGGGTCAGTCTATACAGACTCAGGTGTCGGATTAACTACAAGTGCTACCAAGTGCAGCGGGGCTGCCGTAGCTTTGCATCAGAGGAAGCTTAACAGACTCACAGAGTCTCAGCTTAAGATAGCCCGTTCTAATACCAGAACGTACGAGTCCGTACACCTTACGGACTTCAAGAGTCAACCCTTAACTCTTAGCTGTGTGAATCTCAAACTGAATGTATTTCCCTTTATTGCGGCAAAGCCGCCTACGGTGTAAATGTATCCGGTTCACTATCTAGCATAGTGAACCCTAGTCATATGCATAATCAGTGGCTCTGAAGCCATGTACTGATTCTACTACTGATTTAGGTTAGACAGTGCGTACCCACTTCGTAACCCTTCGAGTAACTCTCGTGTAACCCCGTTACACGCTGTACATATCCAGTCAAACCGAAGAAACTGTGGAGCGACTCTTGGGTTCGTGGTACAGGCCAATCGCGGATAGTCTGCACCTTGTCCGGATCAATGCGAACTCCATTCCGACCGATAAAATCACCCAGACACGGGATCTCTTCAGCACAGAAAACACATTTGGAGAGCTTCACGTACAACTTGTTCTTCTTCAAAATCTCCAACACGTCACGAAGGGCTCGGAGGTGCTCGTTGATGTCTTTCGACTTCGTGAACACGTAGATATCATCGTAGAATGAACGTGTGTGTGGCCGACCCTTGAACAATGAAGAAGTCAATCGATGCCTCCGGCAACGGGTCAGCAGACATACCAGCAATGAGAGTTCTCAACTCTTGGGCATAGTCCATCAACTCCTTCTTGCTCTGCCTGGTCGCCAGGAAGCGTGAGCGCACGCGATACGCCTCGTTAGGCGGAGCAAACACTCGGGACAATTGCTGTTTCAGCTGGTCCCACGTCGGGAAGGCCACCTCGACCGACGTCCCGGACGTTAGTGCCCACTCTCTCGCTCGCCCACCGAGCTTCGAGATAGCTAGTGCCACGCGCTGCGACTCCGTCCGGAGTAGAGCTGAGCTCATAGCCATCTCAACTTCACGGGTCCAAAGCATCAAGCTTTCACCCTCCTTGCCTTCGAAGGTCTTCACGCTCAACATGAGCGGCTTGGGTCTTGTTCCCGCGTCAGATGACGAAGCGGGCGCTTGGGGCGCCGCGGCCGTTGCCATCCTCTGCTGGAGGTGCTCTAGCAGAGCATTCTCGTAGCTTGAAAACGCCTCGAGACGCGCGTTCACCGCGTCGGGGCCTTGCTGCGCAAGTTGCGTCACGCCCTCCGGGCCCAGCAAGGACATAAGCTTTTTAAGCGCATCCTGCTGGTTCGGGGGCAAGTGAGCGAACTGCTCCATTCTCCACAGAGGGTCAGTCTATACAGACTCAGGTGTCGGATTAACTACAAGTGCTACCAAGTGCAGCGGGGCTGCCGTAGCTTTGCATCAGAGGAAGCTTAACAGACTCACAGAGTCTCAGCTTAAGATAGCCCGTTCTAATACCAGAACGTACGAGTCCGTACACCTTACGGACTCCAAGAGTCAACCCTTAACTCTTAGCTGTGTGAATCTCAAACTGAATGTATTTCCCTTTATTGCGGCAAAGCCGCCTACGGTGTAAATGTATCCGGTTCACTATCTAGCATAGTGAACCCTAGTCATATGCATAATCAGTGGCTCTGAAGCCATATACTGATTCTACTACTGATTTAGGTTAGACAGTGCGTACCCACTTCGTAACCCTTCGGGTAACTCTCGTGTAACCCCGTTACACGCTGTACATATCCAGTCAAACCGAAGAAACTGTGGAGCGACTCTTGGGTTCGTGGTACAGGCCAATCGCGGATAGTCTGCACCTTGTCCGGATCAATGCGAACTCCATTCCGACCGATAAAATCACCCAGACACGGGATCTCTTCAGCACAGAAAACACATTTGGAGAGCTTCACGTACAACTTGTTCTTCTTCAAAATCTCCAACACGTCACGAAGGGCTCGGAGGTGCTCGTTGATGTCTTTCGACTTCGTGAACACGTAGATATCATCGTAGAATGAACGTGTGTGTGGCCGACCCTTGAACAATGAAGAAGTCAATCGATGCCTCCGGCAACGGGTCAGCAGACATACCAGCAATAAGAGTTCTCAACTCTTGGGCATAGTCCATCAACTCCTTCTTGCTCTGCCTGGTCGCCAGGAAGCGTGAGCGCACGCGATACGCCTCGTTAGGTGGAGCAAACACTCGGGACAATTGCTGTTTCAGCTGGTCCCACGTCGGGAAGGCCACCTCGACCGACGTCCCGGACGTTAGTGCCCACTCTCTCGCTCGCCCACCGAGCTTCGAGATAGCTAGTGCCACGCGCTGCGACTCCGTCCGGAGTAGAGCTGAGCTCATAGCCATCTCAACTTCACGGGTCCAAAGCATCAAGCTTTCACCCTCCTTGCCTTCGAAGGTCTTCACGCTCAACATGATCGGCTTGGGTCTTGTTCCCGCGTCAGATGACGAAGCGGGCGCATGGGGCGCCGCGGCCGTTGCCATCCTCTGCTGGAGGTGCTCTAGCAGAGCATTCTCGTAGCTTGAAAACGCCTCGAGACGCGCGTTCACCGCGTCGGGGCCTTGCTGCGCAAGTTGCGTCACGCCCTCCGGGCCCAGCAAGGACATAAGCTTTTTAAGCGCATCCTGCTGGTTCGGGGGCAAGTGAGCGAACTGCTCCATTCTCCACAGAGGGTCAGTCTATACAGACTCAGGTGTCGGATTGACTACAAGTGCTACCAAGTGCAGCGGGGCTGCCGTAGCTTTGCATCAGAGGAAGCTTAACAGACTCACAGAGTCTCAGCTTAAGATAGCCCGTTCTAATACCAGAACGTACGAGTCCGTACACCTTACGGACTCCAAGAGTCAACCCTTAACTCTTAGCTGTGTGAATCTCAAACTGAATGTATTTCCCTTTATTGCGGCAAAGCCGCCTACGGTGTAAATGTATCCGGTTCACTATCTAGCATAGTGAACCCTAGTCATATGCATAATCAGTGGCTCTGAAGCCATATACTGATGCTACTACTGATTTAGGTTAGACAGTGCGTACCCACTTCGTAACCCTTCGGGTAACTCTCGTGTAACCCCGTTACACGCTGTACATATCCAGTCAAACCGAAGAAACTGTGGAGCGACTCTTGGGTTCGTGGTACAGGCCAATCGCGGATAGTCTGCACCTTGTCCGGATCAATGCGAACTCCATTCCGACCGATAAAATCACCCAGACACGGGATCTCTTCAGCACAGAAAACACATTTGGAGAGCTTCACGTACAACTTGTTCTTCTTCAAAATCTCCAACACGTCACGAAGGGCTCGGAGGTGCTCGTTGATGTCTTTCGACTTCGTGAACACGTAGATATCATTGTAGAATGAACGTGTGTGTGGCCGACCCTTGAACAATGAAGAAGTCAATCGATGCCTCCGGCAACGGGTCAGCAGACATACCAGCAATGAGAGTTCTCAACTCTTGGGCATAGTCCATCAACTCCTTCTTGCTCTGCCTGGTCGCCAGGAAGCGTGAGCGCACGCGATACGCCTCGTTAGGCGGAGCAAACACTCGGGACAATTGCTGTTTCAGCTGGTCCCACGTCGGGAAGGCCACCTCGACCGACGTCCCGGACGTTAGTGCCCACTCTCTCGCTCGCCCACCGAGCTTCGAGATAGCTAGTGCCACGCGCTGCGACTCCGTCCGGAGTAGAGCTGAGCTCATAGCCATCTCAACTTCACGGGTCCAAAGCATCAAGCTTTCACCCTCCTTGCCTTCGAAGGTCTTCACGCTCAACATGATCGGCTTGGGTCTTGTTCCCGCGTCAGATGACGAAGCGGGCGCATGGGGCGCCGCGGCCGTTGCCATCCTCTGCTGGAGGTGCTCTAGCAGAGCATTCTCGTAGCTTGAAAACGCCTCGAGACGCGCGTTCACCGCGTCGGGGCCTTGCTGCGCAAGTTGCGTCACGCCCTCCGGGCCCAGCAAGGACATAAGCTTTTTAAGCGCATCCTGCTGGTTCGGGGGCAAGTGAGCGAACTGCTCCATTCTCCACAGAGGGTCAGTCTATACAGACTCAGGTGTCGGATTAACTACAAGTGCTACCAAGTGCAGCGGGGCTGCCGTAGCTTTGCATCAGAGGAAGCTTAACAGACTCACAGAGTCTCAGCTTAAGATAGCCCGTTCTAATACCAGAACGTACGAGTCCGTACACCTTACGGACTCCAAGGGTCAACCCTTAACTCTTAGCTGTGTGAATCTCAAACTGAATGTATTTCCCTTTATTGCGGCAAAGCCGCCTACGGTGTAAATGTATCCGGTTCACTATCTAGCATAGTGAACCCTAGTCATATGCATAATCAGTGGCTCTGAAGCCATATACTGATTCTACTACTGATTTAGGTTAGACAGTGCGTACCCACTTCGTAACCCTTCGGGTAACTCTCGTGTAACCCCGTTACACGCTGTACATATCCAGTCAAACCGAAGAAACTGTGGAGCGACTCTTGGGTTCGTGGTACAGGCCAATCGCGGATAGTCTGCACCTTGTCCGGATCAATGCGAACTCCATTCCGACCGATAAAATCACCCAGACACGGGATCTCTTCAGCACAGAAAACACATTTGGAGAGCTTCACGTACAACTTGTTCTTCTTCAAAATCTCCAACACGTCACGAAGGGCTCGGAGGTGCTCGTTGATGTCTTTCGACTTCGTGAACACGTAGATATCATCGTAGAATGAACGTGTGTGTGGCTGTGTGAGGCAACAAGCCTGGGCAGTTCAAGCGCGACTGCAACAAGTTGAAGAGCGAGTAGGGAAACGACCAGCCACGCCAGTAGGAGAGGGACCTGACGTGAAGAGCACTAGCGAGGAAGATTTAACCGTAAACGAAGCTACGTTGCATCTACTTTGCGAAGACCCTCTCGTGTACGACCGCGCACCATTGCTCGCCGTTAATGGCAACATCGAGCAGCGCGAGAAAAAGATTGGCGCCAAGGTTTTGCTGGACTGTGGCGCTACGACGGTCTATGTGTCACGCATGTTTGTGAAGAAGCATGAGCTGAAGACGCATGTGTACACAGACCGAACGATCAAAGTGAAACTGGGAGACAACAACTTTGGGGAAGCAGTCTTGGAGCTAGCGACGATAACTGTTCGCCTCGATGATTCCCCCAACTACCAGTGTGTCGCTGTCGTGCTCGACATTCCGGATGAGTTTGACTGTGTCCTCGGGATGCCATTTTTCGTGGATGTACAGCCAGAGATCGACTGGAAACGTCGATGCTTCAAGAATGGCGTATCAGTTGGAGCCTCGGGAGCAGAAACTTCGACTCACAGCGGGAAGTGCAGTCAGACTATAGGTTCCGGGTTTCACCGAGCTGTGACCAGCGTAAGCTCGTCTACTATAAGCCGTGATTCCTGTCGAGCCGTCGTGCCAGAAACACTGTTGGAAGACGAAGCCGTAGCTACTGAAAGACCAGCTGGTGATACGGAGAACCTCTCGAGGCGAGAGAAGAGGAATGCCAAGGTTGAGGCAATGTTTATTCTTGGAGTAGTCGACTCGGAGGGGTCCAAACGAAGTTCATCACGCGGAAGAAGCTGCGAAAGTTTCTGCGGCTACCTGCGAAGGACCAGCCTGAACACGATTTCATGATTGTGTTGACAAACGACACGAACAAGGAGATTCAGAGTGGCATAAGACGAAGTGACGAACCTGACAATGTTGAAACGGAGAAGGCAAAGCGGTTCCTGCAAACTGATTGGGAGTTGTTCAAGAAAATCCCTGCGTACCCGATCATTCTGGAGTATAAAGCCAGTGTGTTTACACCCAAGTTGCCGGACGAATTGCCGATGGAGCGTGATATTGAGCACCGTTTCGACGTGGAGGACCCCAACATTGCAATGTACCGACAGCAGTGGAGACTCTCGCCCGAGCGGAAGGCCGAGATCGACAAGTGGGTGCGAGACATGATCGCTAAGGGATTGATTCGGCCGAGTATTAGCCCTCATGCAGCTCCGACATTCTGCGTTCGTAAACCTGTGGGATGGCACATCGTACACGACTACTGGTATTTGAACAGCAACACGATCCAACAGAGCGTACCGATGACGCGTAAGGAAGACGTCTACTACCTATCGTGCATGGACCTCATGTCAGCATACTACCAAGTACAGATGAAGATGGATCACGTTCCAAGCGCCCAGTGGATTAAACCAGTATCTGGTGTTACCGATGGGAGTCAGCAACGCACCAGCAACGATGCATCGATTGACGTCTTCATTGTTCAAGGGTCGGCCACACACACGTTCATTCTACGATGATATCTACGTGTTCACGAAGTCGAAAGACATCAACGAGCACCTCCGAGCCCTTCGTGACGTGTTGGAGATTTTGAAGAAGAACAAGTTGTACGTGAAGCTCTCCAAATGTGTTTTCTGTGCTGAAGAGATCCCGTGTCTGGGTGATTTTATCGGTCGGAATGGAGTTCGCATTGATCCGGACAAGGTGCAGACTATCCGCGATTGGCCTGTACCACGAACCCAAGAGTCGCTCCACAGTTTCTTCGGTTTGACTGGATATGTACAGCGTGTAACGGGGTTACACGAGAGTTACCCGAAGGGTTACGAAGTGGGTACGCACTGTCTAACCTAAATCAGTAGTAGAATCAGTATATGGCTTCAGAGCCACTGATTATGCATATGACTAGGGTTCACTATGCTAGATAGTGAACCGGATACATTTACACCGTAGGCGGCTTTGCCGCAATAAAGGGAAATACATTCAGTTTGAGATTCACACAGCTAAGAGTTAAGGGTTGACTCTTGGAGTCCGTAAGGTGTACGGACTCGTACGTTCTGGTATTAGAACGGGCTATCTTAAGCTGATACTCTGTGAGTCTGTTAAGCTTCCTCTGATGCAAAGCTACGGCAGCCCCGCTGCACTTGGTAGCACTTGTAGTCAATCCGACACCTGAGTCTGTATAGACTGACCCTCTGTGGAGAATGGAGCAGTTCGCTCACTTGCCCCCGAACCAGCAGGATGCGCTTAAAAAGCTTATGTCCTTGCTGGGCCCGGAGGGCGTGACGCAACTTGCGCAGCAAGGCCCCGACGCGGTGAACGCGCGTCTCGAGGCGTTTTCAAGCTACGAGAATGCTCTGCTAGCAGAGGATGGCAACGGCCGCGGCGCCCCATGCGCCCGCTTCGTCATCTGACGCGGGAACAAGACCCAAGCCGATCATGTTGAGCGTGAAGACCTTCGAAGGCAAGGAGGGTGAAAGCTTGATGCTTTGGACCCGTGAAGTTGAGATGGCTATGAGCTCAGCTCTACTCCGGACGGAGTCGCAGCGCGTGGCACTAGCTATCTCGAAGCTCGGTGGGCGAGCGAGAGAGTGGGCACTAACGTCCGGGACGTCGGTCGAGGTGGCCTTCCCGACGTGGGACCAGCTGAAACAGCAATTGTCCCGAGTGTTTGCTCCACCTAACGAGGCGTATCGCGTGCGCTCACGCTTCCTGGCGACCAGGCAGAGCAAGAAGGAGTTGATGGACTATGCCCAAGAGTTGAGAACTCTCATTGCTGGTATGTCTGCTGACCCGTTGCCGGAGGCATCGATTGACTTCTTCATTGTTCAAGGGTCGGCCACACACACGTTCATTCTACGATGATATCTACGTGTTCACGAAGTCGAAAGACATCAACGAGCACCTCCGAGCCCTTCGTGACGTGTTGGAGATTTTGAAGAAGAACAAGTTGTACGTGAAGCTCTCCAAATGTGTTTTCTGTGCTGAAGAGATCCCGTGTCTGGGTGATTTTATCGGTCGGAATGGAGTTCGCATTGATCCGGACAAGGTGCAGACTATCCGCGATTGGCCTGTACCACGAACCCAAGAGTCGCTCCACAGTTTCTTCGGTTTGACTGGATATGTACAGCGTGTAACGGGGTTACACGAGAGTTACTCGAAGGGTTACGAAGTGGGTACGCACTGTCTAACCTAAATCAGTAGTAGAATCAGTACATGGCTTCAGAGCCACTGATTATGCATATGACTAGGGTTCACTATGCTAGAACGTGATCGTCGCTTGAAGAGACGAGATCCACGACACTGTCAGGATTGGCTGTAGTCATCGCATCGAGCCAGGGCTTCAGGAGCCGATAACTTGCACCACGCATATCCACAGACTGCGTCTCCAGCTGCAGGGCATCATACGCTTGCTTGTACGGGACATCAGCACCAAACCACACCCTAGCACTCTCACGGCCTTAACCGAGCTCCTGTTCCGCAGCTCCGTAGCGGCCACAGCCTTCGCAATGAGTGCCGGCGGCGTCTTGTGCTGCAAGGGCTGACACGAGTGGTCTAAATGTGAAGACGTAACACGGACACACCCTTCATCCGTCAGACGCCCGCGTACAGCAAACGGACAGCCCTTAATCTTGCAGCGGGCAGTGATTTTGACAGAGTTGTTGTCAGGAAAGTATCAGCCCCGCTTTCCCTGCGATCATTATGTTAGCTACAGAGCATGCTGACACTGTGAAAGTAAACATGAAACGTACCAGAACCACATAGGACATCACAGCTAGCTTGAAGGCCTTCTTGTCGCAGTATTCGCGACCACGGGCGAAGTCTTCCTCATCGTCTTGCTCCATTGGCCTCGAAACGACGACTGAACAGCACCAATCGTTGAGATAGAACTGGTAAATTACTGGTAGTACCGGTATTAATAGGGTACATTGGGGTTACAGGATACGGTTGGGATACAGGGCGCATTATGGTTACGGTGTACCCCATGGAATATAGGTTACACGAAAGTTACACTTTAGGGTACACTGTGCTGTAAAAGATACACATCGCAGCAGGAGAGCCGGCTCTGTGGCTGCGATCATTAGAGATCCCAAGCCAAGCCCCCCCCCCCCAAGCTAAACAACCATGACGAACAAACGCAAAGGGGTTATTTGCACATTCCCTCAGTGCAACAAGACGCTGACAACGTCCAAGTTCAAGCAGCACTTCGCCCGGCACCTGAAGGAGGGGGAGAGCTACGACGTAAGCCACCGTAACCGCTACGAGCGTGCGCTCGACGACGCAAGCCTACTTCCTGAAGGACAAGATGAAGGTGCGAACGTCTATCTTGTTGCGCAGCTGCGTACCATACTGGCGCGTCTGCAAGCGGTGGACGAGAGGTTGCAGGGGCTGGAAGGGCGGATGGCGTCAATTGAAGAGCTTCTGCGAGCTCGCCCCCCCCCCCCCCCTCCAATTGAGGACCGCCAGGAGCGCGTTAACCGAACGATCGAAGAATCCTCGCCGGATGAAGAGGAAGATGCGAACGAGGATGAACGCGAGGAAGCGGACAAGGATGCAGATGTTGAGATGGAGACCCCGGCTTCAGCGGGCGACGTGGATGGTGCTGACGACGGACCCAAGAGTCCGGCGACTCAGCGCCGTGTGCTCCGTGCGCTACGCAATCTCCGTTAAACCGCACATGTACACTTAGGCTACAGGCTACACGTAGGCTACAGAGTACGAGTGGGAGATAGATAACACTTCGGAAACACGATACGGCTCGTTCCAAAACACGCGATGCCTGCTTGAGTCCATACAAACTCTGCAGCAGCATGCACACGACGTCGTCTTCACCTTCCGCTTCAGCCAGTGACAACAGGTCTCGGAGCCCTTGAGGCAGCTCCATGTAGAGCTCCTCCTCCAGTTTGCCGTACAGGAACGCAGTGTCGACGTCACACTGCTCAATCTCGAATCCATCCGCGGCGCACTTCGCCAACTTGGCACGGGTCGAGTTCAGGCAAGCCACCGGCGCTTACGTCTCTTCGTAGTCCACGCCGTGTCGTTGCGAATACCCCTTGGCCACGATACGGGCCTTGTGCCGAATGACTTGCCCTTTCTCGTTGCGCTTCAACGCGAATACCCAACGGCAGCCGATCGGCCGCTGGTGTGCTGGTCTCGGTACCAGCTTCCACGTCTTGTTGGCGACAAGAGACTTCAACTCGCTCTGCATCGCTCGCTTCCATTCCACTTGGTCCGCACTTGCCATGGCTTCTTCATACGTCCGTGGGACCTCCTGCGTTGCAGCCATCGCTTGGCCACCTTCAATGGCGAGCTGGTCTTCGCGCACCTGGGCTCTGCCTTGGCTCATCTACTGTCGCTTCGTGCCGGTTGTCGACGGCGCCACGACTTGCTTGTTGCGGGCTCCTGCCTCTTCACGATCCGTTGTCTCGTCAATGTGGCGAGCTCGCGACCGGGTAATCATAGGAGGGGTCGAACCGTATGGCACAATCGCATCGTTTACATCCGCGTCACATTAAAGTGGGATCACGTCACCAGCTTCAGCGACGGTTGGCACGAGTTGCTTCAACTCCTCCGGTTGCAATCCACCGTGGCTAGGCTCCGTATCCGTGACCTCGTCGTCGTCCAGCTCCGACTTGGGCACCACGTGTTGCAGACTCGTCGTCTCCATGAACTTGACAGTGCGCACGATTTGCACCTTGCCTGTCGCCACGTTGAGAACTCGGTATCCCTTGACACCATCCTCGTAGTGCACGAAACGACACTTGAAGGCCTTAGCATCCAGCTTGCGGTGCTTCTCGTCGGAAATATGTGCGTAGCCAAGTGCACCAAACACCTTCATGTTCTTGAGCTGCGGCTTGGTCCCGTAAACGATTTCATGGGGCGTCTTCACGTTCACCGAATTGGGGATTCGGTTGATGATCCACGCCACCGTGTTGACCGACTCGGCCCACCACTTCTTTTCGATGACTTCGTGGTAGAGCATGCAGCACGCCATCTCCACCAGACTGCGGTTCATGCGCTCAGCCAGACCATTCTGCTGAGGCGTGTACGGCACCGTCTTCTCGTGCTTGATGCCGCTGCGGTCGAGGTAGGCCCTGAATTGCTTGCCTGTGTACTCGCCGCCGTTGTCCGAACGCAGGCGCTTGATCGGCTTGCCTGTCGCATTCTCCATTGCTGCCTTGTAGATCTTCAACTTGGACAGCACCTCCGATTTGGCCTTCATGAAGTAGACCGTCACGTGGCGTGAGTAGTCGTCAATGAAGGTCACAGCGTACCTGCAGCCACCGGGGGGCTTGGTCTGCATCGGACCCATCACGTCCGTGTGCACCAAATCCTGTACGCCTGCACTCTTGACCAGCTTCTCCGGGTGTCGGGGATAGTCGTCGGCTCTCATCTTGCCCATGCAGCAGCCTGCGCAGACGTTGTCACTAATGGCGCCATCCGTAACGTGAGGCACCCCTTCTGCCATGGTCAGCAGCTGTTCATAGCGCTTGAAGGGGATGTGGCCGAGACGGGCGTGCACAACAGCCCATGGCTCCTTACGAGATGCAGTCGCCGCACGACACATCTCGTCCCCCACTGTCTTCAACTTGTAGACGTTTCCACAGCGCTCGGCCTCCATGACGGTAGCATCGCCATAGCGAAGGACACACTTGTCCTTGCTAAACTGCGCGACGAAGTCCTTCTCGGCCAGCTTCGCAACCGAGATGAGGCTTCCATTAACTTCCGGGATGTACAACACATCCGACAGCGTGACAGACGTTCCGTCCGTCAGCTTCAAACCGACGGTACCGCGTCGATCTTCGTGCCGTCCGCGATAGTGATGCGGACCGGCGTCTTCAGCTCCTTCATGGACACGAACTTGTCCCGGACGCTGGTCATGTGCGAGCTAGCACCGGAGTCCACGAGCCACTCCGTCTTCTCCATCGCACCCGTTGCCGTGAACGCGTAGTCGGACGCTTGCTCTTGAGCCACTTGTCCACGTGTGCTCGAGCACGGTGCTGATCATCCGGTACTCGTCCGTCAAACTGCCGAGCAGGAGCACGAGCTGACGACTCTCGTACAGAGGCTCACCAATCGTCTCCATCTTGAGCACGATCTCCTTGAATCGGTCCACATGCGTTGCGAACCGCGTACCGGGCTCCATCTTGAAGTTGTGCAGCTTCTTGGTGACGAGGAGTCGGTTCTTGATCGTGTTCCGGTTGAACTGCTCCTGGAGCATGGTGCATGCGTCCATCGCAGTCATTGCACCACGGATGTAGCCTTGGAACGTGAGGCTGACGTCGCCAGCGATCACGCCAAGGGCCTTCAGATCGTCGGTCTTCCATGCGTCCGTGGTGCGGTAGCTCACCGGGTCGAACTCCGCCTTGCTGATGTGGGGCAGCAGTCCATTGCGAGAAAGCTTCATCCGCATGTTGAACTCCCAGTGGAAGTAATTGTCTTCCACGAGCTTGACGGTGTCCGCGTAGCTTGGACTCATAACTAATTGAGAGTGACGAATGAGGCTTGTAGTCGAGTGTGCAGAAGGAAGGAAATCCGAAAGTGAGTTTATTTGAGTTAGTTGTCTTTGTTCTGCTTGTTCCTTCCTACTCCTGTAGCTCTCCTAGCGTCTCCCTCGTTTGGCTTCATTTAACTATATGCATGTGCAGCGGTCACACTTGAGTGGGACGGGCACGGGCCGTCAGCCAATCACAGTGTCCCGGGACGGGCACACTCGATTGGGACGGGCACGGTCCATACTCAAACACAGTTGGGACGGTCACACCTGATTGGGACGGGCACGTCAATGCATATGATTATCCATGCTAATCACAGCTGTTGATCTGACTTCAACTGTCTCGCCCAATCATATCCACGCGACCCCAGATGATCCGCCCATCAGGTCGCAGCATTCGCTACACTTCAACTTCAGCCCCCTAGAGGCACGCGCCACGCATCTGCAGGCCGTGAGGCTCGTAGCAGGGACCCAGTCGAGTAGACAGCGAAGTGCAACCACAACACACTTGAGTGGTGTACTTAAGGCAGAGTCCGGTTGTTAAAAAAGCTCAAAATGTATAAAATGGTCAGAACACTACATCGTACTCGCTGATGTTGCTGCGTACAGAAGCTCTCTATATATCCGCTGCATTTGACCCGTATAGCCACTCTTCAGGGAAGAGTCTTCACTGACAGAAATCTGCCAGCCATTGAGCTCAACCGACACAAAAAACTATGTAGATGCCAACTTCAACATCGAGCATACAAATACCAATAGACCTAAGGCACTGTTACTGAGGAACTGCGTGCGTACCCTAGTGCAACACATGTATGCACTTGTGCAATAAAATAATACTGCGCATCTGCCCGGCTGTTAGATACATACGATGTCGCATAGTAAATGCCAGATTTTAGTTTCATTTGTTAGTTGTTGACCACCGTCCGGCCTCGACCTGTATTCTACGAAGTCACAAGCCTATTCCAAATACACTTTGTCACTTCCAAATTGGCTCTGCACTACTCCGATCGAGATTGCACGCTCCAGAAACTGCACCCAGCGCATACAAGAGGAAGAAAATAACGACGCCCGCGTCCGTTGGGATAGCCTCTAATGCTGGACGAGCTGCAAAACGACAACAACATTGCCCACAACGGACTGTTGAAAACTTCTTTGGGAGATTAAAGACTCTGTGGCGTGTTTGTTCCCACAAGTGGGAGTGGGACGACAAGCCGTACAACATGTTCTTCATAGCCTGCGTGGCTCTGACAAAATGACCTCTCGTCCCTGACCTGGCAGAGATCTGCTCAACGTCCAGCTCCACCGAAAACAAAAGCGATACGGATCGTTTCATTGCGAAAGTGCGGTGGC